GACATTCCGAAATATAAATGGAAAAAATGTATTTCCACTCATGACTAACTAGAATATACATAAATTTTAGTTATAATCCGCCAAGAGAGAGAAGACATCTTGCACTTACTAACATGACAAATACACAAAGTACAGTATCATCGACGAATCGCATTAGATTATCTGACCATGGCGTTAATCCATTCTGATTGAAACCAGTCACTGTGATGATGAATGCTGCATACCAAGGATTGACGGGTCGACCATCTTGTTTCAAATGATACGGTTCATAGTGGGTTTGAATCCAACCACCAATGCAAAAGTAAGCACCAAGGTAAATTGTTATACAGGTCAACGGAATTAGCGCTAAGCACGTCAAATACGCTCGATAGCGCAGTTCTTCCGCCGTAGGTAATCGAGATATTTTCTCCTCAGCTTCGAATGAGTATTCACATTTGTGTGCTGGTTCCGATAGGATACGGTAGGCCAAATGATCATTGTCAACCATAATACCTTGTTCGCGTTTGTGTGTTCGCGCTTTGATGACTAGCGCTGGCAGAGTACTAACAGTTATGCCACTGGCTAAGGTGAAAAGCATCAAAGCAACTTGGGAATATGTGGATAGACGAGCGAAATCTAATGTTGATAAACCACAATTATAAACGCAAGATGAAGCAATAAACCAGGCATCGATGTATCGAACACGCATTAATCGATTTGGTTTAATATAATTTTCTATGATAACAACGACCAATCCACCTAGTAAACCATTGAAAATGAAAATAAATATATGAATATAGAAATAATCTCTCATATGCCATCGATATCTTTTCCACCAGGATCGTTTTTCGCTGGGCGAGGCTGATGACGATAGATCAGAAGTTTTATTATCGCTTTCATCAAGTATTCTGTGATCAGATCGTGAATCCATTCATCTGTTATGTCGGTATATGAATGCGCAAGGCAGGTTACAATTTAAAATCGATTGCGTAAGGAACTGTCGCACTTGGCGACTCGATTTTTTTTAGTTATACCGTAGAGCATGATATTAATGTATGGGTATATTCATTCACATACACTGCAAAAGATTGTTTGTACAAGGAGAGAATGTGAACATACTGCAATTTGATTGAATGACTCTGTTCTTTCTTGTTCAAGCGATTGAACGAAGAATAGGTAGTTCTGATTATAAAAAGCTATTTCTCTTTCTCTGCTTCTCTCCTTTAGGTACACCGATGAATTTAACTTGCTCGTCAATGTCATAGGTACGAGGTTGAAAAATCAAAAATGCAAGAATTATGTTTACTGATGAGGTAAGGTCAAACAAAAGCGATATGTGTCTTTGTTCGGTGTGATTCAGAATGAAATAATCGCAAAGATTGAACAGAGCTGTTTCTACTACTTCGGCCGAGTGCATTTTACGTTTAAATTTCAGTTTTTATCAAGTAAAAAATCACGAGGACACATATGCGCGTGTGTGTGACACAATCTCAATAATTAATGAAAATTCTCCAACCATCTGATTGTGCAGTTAGCATAAAAATTCATTCGCCGGTGCTCGTAATCAACAATCCATAAGAATATGGCCCAAACATGAGAGAACAATCAAAAAATTTGAATACAATCAATAGGTCGGAATAACGCAGACAGAAAAATAATACGTAACAGATGAGTTACAACACACTTGTTACAAAACCGGCTTATTTTGGTCAATACAATCACACTTGTATTCAGTAATTGATTGAAATACTCCTTGCACTGCGTGTCGACCGTGTGACTCAACATTGAATGTTCAATCACGGTGTTGGCTGATGTGAATCTACATCATGTCGTTTTTATTGACAATCGATGAATATGAAAGATTGCTTCGGTACATTTTCGCAATCTCTGAAGAAAAACTGTTCGAAACAAGCGACTAGTCAACGTGTAAATATAAAATGATTTAGCATAGTTACTATAGTAAAGAAGCGTTGTAAATGACATTAGAAATGATCCAATCATTTTGTCATAGCCCTTTAATGGTGGTCCAAGAATATAATATGCATAATAGATCATTCGTGTTAGCGTTAATAATGAACTTAAACCGACTTGAACTAACATCATCTAAAAGAATGAAATAGACGGCAATTATGATTCGAGGAAGTGAATTACTAAAATTAATTGTCGTTCAGTTTTATGGCTGGGCCGAGCTACACTTCGATTGCTGGTTGTAATTGTGTCTATTGGAATTTCCATAAATTTCCTTTGCCGCACGCGTTTGATATGCAATAAAGTAATAAAACCGAAGATCAACATGAGTATATGAGGAATGACTCCAAGCCAAAAAACGACAAACAGACCATCGAATATCGCATAAGTTCCGACGAGTGTCGAACATCTCGGTCGCAGATCGTACGTAATCAAAATATGAGAACAAGAAATTAAAGCAACAAGAATGGCGATAATAGCTGAACGATAGGCGTTCTTTATACGACTAAACGAACGTAAACACGCATAAGTTGACGATGACATACAACGATCGACAGCTGACAATAGTATCAAATAAGTGGCAATCAGTGGAATAGCAGACACAAGATAAGCTCGAAATTTACAATAAAATCGATTTGTGTTCTGGAGATTGCTACCTAAATGATCTGCAGCTAGGCGAGAGATCAATCCGAATGTAATTGAAAAAAATTCGAATACTGATGCGCACAGGAAATAGAAAGCACATGAATTTTGACGTAGTTGGCGAGATGTGAATGTGAGAAAGTTGCATAAACAACCAAAAATGCCCACAATCAGGAGAAGAACCGGTCCGTAATAAGTCATTTGTATGGTGACAATTTGAATTGTTGTTCTCGTTGTCAGATCACGAGACGATGACGACATATTCATATCACACATGATAGAAAGATTTTCACTTTTGAATATCTGATTTAGATGAAATTTGTATCGAAATCACCAGCTGTTAACGTTCTCACGATGACAATTACTTTTTCAACCTACATCGAAAAGAAATCTTTGTTAGTTTATCGTTACTCACAGATCAATCTGAGAAATGTGCGTTGTCACTATGCTCATCCTTTTCTATTTGTCTTCGTTAGTGCATGTGATCTTCAATACGAAAGAACGGCTGACGTGATTTTCTCCTTCTCCGGTAGGAAGTCACGTTATCAAATAGATCGATTCTTTATGTTGTTCTATTGAATACATTTGCATATCCTAAATAGAAAGCGCTCAGACTAATAATTGGTGTGCACTATTGTGGAATCGTATCGTGAACGATTTTATTTATACGTTCAAAGAGTTTTGTATTGAATCGAATCTATCGATCGACGAGATGAGAGAATACCGAATGTTTTCGAAGAATTCCAAATCGATATAGTATGACCCGCGTACTTTGTTTGATCAACGTAGACATAATTTAAGCTTTTTCCATACTAGACTGCTTCTCGTGAATTTCACGTGAGAATCGGCTGTAGACTGTTTCAATTTGTTGATTAATTGCATTTCAATTATGCTAAAAGCCTTCTCACAATTGAAAATCTATTATGTCACCATCAGTAACGTATGCTGTCCGTGCTTCGATAAATAATTTCAAATTTTCACACAAATGAACCACTTTCAAGATGTTCGATTCGAGTAGAAGATCTTTTCAATGGAATCGTGGTAGACAATGCATTCATTTGACATTCATTAGCGGATGTTGTATTGATAGACTATTTATAATTTGTGCAGATATAATAGGAACAACTGACTTTTATCCAAAATTATTGCATTTCAGTTTAATCTAGTCTTGACAGGAAAATTTCTCTTTAGATTACCATCTACTTCCAAGTCTATTAGTTGATGGGGAATCAAGATAAAGTTTGATGATTTTTTTTCTTTTGTTCGAGAACGTTCATTTCTGTAGTGCACACGTCATCCTTGATGGTTGACGTGATACTTTAGAATTCGGTGGTGAATTGATGGTCTTGGCTTAATATGAAATCAGGTATAGCCTGTTTTAGACGGAATAATATTTTCCTCAAATGTTCGACATCAAACTTTGCTAAATATTAGTGCAATTGAGACAGCATCTGCAATGTCTTCTACCTTGCTAGCATTAGACGGATGTTGCCTTGACGTAATTGGTTGCTCTGACACGAGATCGTTCTTCATCAGTAACAATAACAGAAACGTAAAAGAGTCGAAAAAACATTCAGTACACATGTGACGACCCCGCCGTGTTTTTCTCTCGGTTGCAGAAATATCTCAGATACGGCAACTGTCTGTGAAAATTCTTCGACATAGATGACATAGAGAAGAAAGAAAGACAGTATTTTTTTCTTACAAAGAAACTCAGGTAAGATTCAATATTGATATTTTATTAAAAATTGAATGAATCAACGGAGTGTCTGCATGCAGAATTGTTCGTAGAGTTTAAAGAGAAACGATACAGATGAAGGCGTTATTTCATAGCCTATCAAACGACAATTAACAGCCTGATCTAGTTTTTTTTTTAATCAGTAGTGAACAAAAGAGATCTTAAGCCGTTGCAGCACCTACTACGATTGCAGTCGCGTGCAGTTAGGTCGTCTTCTCTCTCATGCGCTCAAAGAGCGTCTAGAGAAATACTCGGGATAAAAGTGATCATTTCGGGTCGCAATTACTTTGCCGACGCCGTTTTGCCGACGATCATTTTGCCCACAGATACGTTTTGCCGACAAACACATTTTAATCTGAACTTGTGTGGTCAACATTATTTTGACGATCAGGATTCAGATGAGAGCGTAGAGGATGTGTAGATAAGGCTTTAGGGGAGATCTAGATGAGGGTGTAGAAGAGCAATTAAGGGAGAATATTATAGCTATGGTAGAAATATGGTTAAAAGTGAATGTTGCATCGGATACTCTCGGGATTTCGTTTTAAATGGAATTTTATGTTTTGAAATTTTTGGCGAAGAGATCTGTCAGCAAGGTGGTTGTGGGTAAAATGATCTTCGGCAAAACAGCGTCAGCAAAGTGTATCGGACCCGTCATTTCATGTCTTCTAGTTGAATGGAAAACGACTCATCATATCATTCCAATTCATCAATCACGTGTCTAATGTTCGACACACGTGCACTTTGCGTCGTTTGCGGAGCACCTGCCATAGGTAATCGTATAAATCTGATAAGAATTTATATGACGGATTAACGTGATTTAGGGCGAAATTTCGATGCGTATACTTGTTTATCGTGTAAAGGTAAGAAGCACGAATATTGTTGACAATAGTTGCTCCTCTCTTTCTTGTGTATAGCATTTTTCCGTCGGAATGCTTACAATGATCAGGTAAGTTAATTGATGTCAGATTTGATCTATATAAAACTGATTCATTCGTTCGCTAGGTTCGTTTTACTTGTCGTTCATCAAGTTCATGTGAAATAACAACATTGACTCGACGACACTGTTCGGCATGTCGTTTAAATAAATGCTTCCGACAGGGAATGAAAAAGGAACTTATTCGAAGTTTAGTGGCGATTAAACAAGCTACGTCAGGGGCGATAATCCGTCGGTCTCATCGTGAATCTCAATCTCCTCTATTAACCACGGTTCGTTCATCATAGATGAAATATACTTCTATTTCGAAAGATATTTCTCTAGATCAATCACGTCGTTATTGATGATCAATCAGTTTTATCATTAGATGATTGGAATTTATTAAGTAACATTCAAAATGCCTATGAAGAATATTGCGTTGAACCATTCCTTGCCTCTCACGAACGAATATCCTTGATAGTTACCACTCAGCCATACCGTACACGGATTAAACTTCAACGTTTGATCGATTTAATCAAGAAATACTATTTGATTGTCGTTTCCTTTATAAAACATGTTCTCGAATTCGATCCATCGACTGAACATGACTATATTTACATTCAGAACAATTTACGAGCACTATCGCTTCTAAATGTCAGTGAACTGATGAAATGCAATATTTTAAAACATGCACCTTGGGAATACGATCGTTGTTTATTCGAATTGGTCTTAACGGAGGACATACTTCAACGCTTTGAACAACATTTACATATCTACCAAACCACTTCACCGCACGATGCAGTGATAATCAAGTTATTTCTTATCAGTCTTGCATTTTCTTCTCGCATCTATCCGATCTTTGGGAAAGATCAATATCATTCAATGGATTTCTATCCATTTCCACAACAACTTGTTTCAGCTCAAAATTATTACATAACGTTACTATGGAAGTATGTGATATATCGACTAGGGATTCACAATGCTATTATCTACTCAGCCAGATTTATTCAACATTTTCTTCGTCAGCAAATGCTTGACGCTGACGTCTTGAATATAATCAACAATCGAGACGATCATGGACAACTTGTTGCACTTATTCGAAGCGAACTTAGTGATAATTAGTAACAGATGAAGTGTTTCCAATATTGTGATTGATGTTATAAATGGTATATAAATATTCCTGTATTGATTCAATAAAATTCTTGAAAATTCCTCACATAGTAGATTAATCTTTCCGAAAAAATTCTCCTTTCACATCTCTGCTTTCCTTTTCTCTATTCCGGTGCAGAAAAGGCACTCATGTTAAATTAGAACACTCCATGATCAGATTTCAGGGATAATCTGGATATGATATATCATCAAATTCTACCTATTCAACTTATTCGTACACATGCAGAGAAACAGAAAACTAATTAAAGAATGTCGTTTAGAGACTAAGTCGAGCTTTCCTTTTTCTTTTATCTAATTTATTGAAAGGAAATTCTTTCCTTTTGTGGCATAATTACTGAGCTTTATTCATTTTTCACATGCAAGAATATGTCGGAAGGCTAACATGGCGTATTATTTATAAACACAGGTGTTGCGGAAAAGCAAAGTACATGCTAACTTTGACATACCAAATGTTTTTTCACCTACATCGTTTTTGACTGTCCTTTGTCAACATTAAAATCCTCTTGAAAGTATGAGTGATTGAAACAATTATTGCATCTTAAAGAGTATAATAAGTTTGCAATGATGATCAAGTGCGCTCTTAGATTTTTAACGGAGTGTTTCATTCTCATCGCTCACTCCTAGTTATCATTTCAAAAAAGTCGATGAGAAAGTCTTTCCAAGCCATCTAAATGAACATACACTTAAACAGGGCAAATATTGAATTAATTATGGATAAGAAGAACGCAAAGTAGCTCATCTGGTGATTTGATCATGTTTTTGAAGTATCAACAAAGACACGCTATACTTATTTGTTCTTGAGTGCTAAAGGCTTTTTACTCGGATGACGTCAAATTGACTTTCTTTATGCAGAAAGCATGCGCTCATGTGGCGGATTTGGATTAAGAGCATGCATATTCAATACGTTTCGTGCATAGGAGTACAATCTGATTTTTCTGCCGGTGACACCGAATCTTTATATTCATGACGAACTTGTTTGCGTTTGTAGTTTTCATGCTACTCGTAAAAATCAATACTATATACTAGCGACCTACGTGTGTCAGATTGGCTGTCCGGCACGGGCCAATCATCGAACGATGAGTCATGCGATTCACTTACATAGATATTATTCATTGATTTGATTGATATACTACTTCCATTTTCATGCATATTTCTGTTATAACAAATTGAGAATGTTTAAAAGTAACAAGCCTAATAAACCTGCAAGAAAGTCAGGCGGTGGAGCGGCTCTCATGCAGCAGGTCTGTGCTATAACAAGCTGAGGATTTGTGTTTGTTATTAGTTAATTTTTCGAGTAGATGGGTTTTCAAATACCAAATTTTGATGAATCAGGCATGGGTATGAATGACGACGACGATGATGATGATTTGGAAGCTGAACTGCAAAGATTACAGCAAGGAATGGGTGGTGATTCAAGAGGGAAAGCCAACCAACGAAAGCCAGGTTAGTAGACATTGAATAATTAATCGTATTCTCTAAATAGACGATATATCTGCTGTTGTGATATAGGTGGGCCGACACAAGATCTCAAAGCATTTCATAGTGATGTACATAAACTTCTTCAAGATATTGATCGACCGATAAATGATGATGAACTTTCTGATGTTGATGATGATGAGCTTCTTGTAAGTCTATATGATGTTCAATGGTTGCTGTGAACGAATTTGTTTCGTAGGCTGAACTCAATGAAATTACCGAAGATATCGAACACGATTCGCACGAACCACCAAAACAAGCCCAAGCCGCATCTACTGGAAATATCCTGTCCTTACTCGAAGGACGCCAGGATATGTATAATAAGGCAATAGCATCTGCAAAGGCTAACGGTGATGCATCTAAAGCGAGACGTTTAGACCGACAAATAAAAGTACGCTTTCCAATTTTTCGTAGACTAGTTTCGATTATTATGTTAAATACGTAGACTATTCAAGAACTACTTCACTCGGCTCGGGCTGGTGCGCCTATCAATGAAAGTGATATCCCACCTGAAGTATTCATTGCTCCTTCGGCAGCATCTGTTCCAGCGAAAGCACCTCCTACAATCGAACAACCTCCACCGGTACCACAACCACGTGCCGTACCTACAGCGCCCCAACCTCAAGCACCAATTGCACCTCAGCGACCTTCGCAACCACGCACTGTACCATTGCCTCAACCGACTGCCGCAGTAGATCATTCAGTAGTCTATCGAAGTGAGTTAACTTCTCATATTTCAATCATCTAATCGTTGATCAATCTGTATAGCACCAGTACCTCCGACTACAACAGATTCAGATCCAGCTGTCGCTCGATTGAAAGCATTAGCTTTACAAGCTAAACAACAAGGAGATATGGCTAAAGCAAAAGAATATATTATTCAACTAAGAGTAAATTTGTTATTCAATGATTTGAATGATACTATTTACGTTCTATAATAGACCTTACAAGGCAAAGCAAGCATTGCTACTCCTTCGACAACTCAAAAAGAAACATATGATAATGTTCCCGATGATGATGTTCCACCGCCACCTTTACCACGTAAGTAATAGAATTTGTTATGACTTTATCAATTGTTAATGCTTTTGTGTTCGGTGTGCAGTAAAAGCTCCAGAACCAAGTACAGTTATGGAGGCGTTACAACAACGCCATGAAGAATTAACTAAACGTGGTGAAGAGGCAGCTACTAAAGGAGATTCATCGAAGGCAAGACGAATGGAGCGATTGTCTAAGGTACTGTTCTCATACGTATATCTCATTTATAAACTATGCATTGTAACATCAATAAATTTGATTCGTATTCACTTTGTCTTATAGCAATATGAAGAAGCTATCGATGCTACCCGCAAAGGTCGCCCATACGATTACGCTGAACTACCTGACCTACCAGGTTTTGCTCCTATTCCTGTTCAGCAGGCAAAACCACAACCATCTGGCTCAACTTCATCAAATCCAGCAGCAAGACCATCACCATCGAATCCACAAGCACGCCCATCGCAAGCACAACAGCAGCAACAACGTCAAACTATTCAAGTAGCAGCATCTACTAGCGCAACAAGTAAATTCCTATTGACAATGTTTTCTTCATTTCATTTCGATTCGCTATCAGGCGCAAGGAAAAGCCAACAGGCCCAAGTATTACGTCTTAAGCAAGCCAAGTTTCATAAACTTGCCTTACAAGCAAAACAAAAAGGTTCGTTGACAGATTTTTCTTCTTCATTAACTGTTTTTCTGTCATCCTAGGTGATCTTGAAACAGCAAAAAAGTTCCTTATCGCATATAAAGGACTCGATCAAATGATTGCTGCTGCTGAGGCAGGCTTACCCATTGATATGGGTCAAGTATGCTAGTTCTCATCTAGTCCGAAAGAAAGTTTCGTATGTATTCTTTCCAGGTACCTAAATTACCAGATGATGACAACAATGACTTAGTGACTGATGATGATTTAACACAAGATTTAGCTAATGCAGATCGTGATACTGTTTTTCGTCGCTTACAAGATGACCTTCTTCGTCAAGTTCAACTCTGTGCACGTAACGAACAAATCTACGCGCAAATGGAAGAACCGAACAGCGCCAAGCACGCAAAGGAGTATAAACAACTCGAACAACGCTGTGCACATGATCTTGAAAAGTTGAGAAAATGTTTTCAACATGGTTTAAAACCACCACTGTTCCATTACGAACGACGACAAATGAATATAATTCAAACAAATAATGATCTCGGAGAAAATGATCTCGAGGTAATTTTTGCAAACATTTTCCACATCAATTCGAAATCTGTCGTAAATCTCTTCGTATAGGTGATTGTTATACGTGGTATTAATCTACCCGTTCCTTCGGGAATTTCTTCGTCGTCACTGGAAACTTATGTTGTTATCGAATTTCCTTATCCCACAGAAACTCCTCAAGTAGCTCGGACTCGTCATACTGCCGGTTCTACCAATGCTGAATACCCTGAATCCGTGCATAAATTCTATATCAAACGTAACGATGCTAAATTCAAACGATTGATGAATCGAAAAGAATTGAAACTCGGCGTTTTCTATAAACCTGGCTTTCTCCGATCAGATCGTCCGTTGGGCGTGGCATCGGTCAAATTAGCAGCGTTGGAACAAACATGTACCATGCATGAATCCGTTGATTTATTTGAAAGTGAACATAAGAAAAAGATTGAAGGCAAACTAGAAGTGAAATTACGTATTCGAGAAGCATTGGGACAAACAAAAGCATCGGATATCTTGCCACAACGATGGCTAGTTATCGATAGTTTTGAAGAACTGGTAAGTTTCACAGAATTCACACTCATATCTTCATTCTTTCACATCTATATTGTAGCCACAAAGTCATAAACCATCATCGACCTCGAGGTATGTTGAAAACTGTTTTTTTTTCGATAAGACTAGTTACTACTGTTCGAACTCCTAATCCATTCGACAATTTCCCCTACGCTCACACCTAATTCAGGTCGTCATCATCTGGCGCTGCTGCACCAGCAATAACTGCTATTGCTAGTCTGATTCCTACAGGCGAAGCACTAGGCCAACTGGCTATAAGTATGGCAGAACCTAAAGATAAAGATGAAGGAGTAACGGATAGCAGGTATCAATGTGCTTGAATTTCGGAAATGAAGTATTGCATTTGTGTGTGTGTGTGTATGTGTGTTATCCCAGTAATTTATGCATGGTTTGCACCCTGTATTAGCTTTGTTTGACATGTATATATCCTTCCCCTATTGTTAAGTAGCCGTCAGCAACGACGAAGCCATCAACCCCAACCAGCACCTGTGCCTGTTTCAACGACTCCACAAAGTATTCAAGTACTTAATTACGAAGCATCACGTCTACAACAACAGGTGAGTTGCTCGATTCATTGAAGGAAATTGTTTGATTTCGTCAGTAGATTGAACAACTACAGGACCGTCTTACAACAGAACAACTTCACCAATTACAACGCAAACTTCGTGAGATCGAAGATCAAAATGAGCAATTAGTAGAATCCTTACGTACGGGAGGAAAACAGGTTCTAAATGGTACGTTTCACTATTGCTTCTTTTTTTTGAAATCGATTTTTCTTTCCTGTAGAACATCTTCGTGGTCTTGAGGAGTTGATTGATTATTACGATCAAGAAGCACGTGAATATCATCAGCGACATGATTCGAAAAAAGCGGATGTTTGTTTGACTAAAAGGAGACTCGTCGAAAAAGAAGTAAAATCTTTCATAAAATTCGACTTGTTCTGTACACATTTCTCTCGTTCAGATTGGCACGTTAACAGGACAGCAACCATCGACAACTACGTCAAGATTTTAACATTTTCTCATCATTTATTTGCTTTTTGTATCAATTTATTGTACGCTTTTTTTTGCATTATCGAAATACCAGCGAAAACGATGATTTTTTTCCGATAAATAATTAAATTTCCTACGATATCTATGTATCATATAATTAAAAATCAACATCCTCAATTCTTCTCTCCACTGTCTGTTTTTTCCTTCATTTATTCCAATCAGAAAACAAGTAACAAATAGACGGCTGATCGTTAAATTAATATTGTAATTCACTTTCGATTAATTTCTTATATTGCTCAAAACCGTACTCAAGTGAAGTCACACTACCATTTCGGCAAAGCCAAGCTTCCGTACAAACACGTTTGATCATCAATTCATCGTGAGAGACAAGTACCACACCACCTTGGAACTTCTTGATGGCTTCGGCTAACGCTTCGATTGTTTCCATATCTAGAAAGAATCGTACGCGTTCCAGAAATAGAGAAGATCTCTAGTCACAGTTCTTACCGAGATGATTGGTCGGTTCATCTAGTACGAGGATGTGCGGACTAAACAACGGGAAACAAAATAATTATATCTGATGAAAGATAGTATTCATACTTTTTCATACACATCAGACTGAACGCAACCCGACATTTTTGCCCTCCAGATAAGCTGAGAACAGATTGTAGAGCTGTGTCACCAGTTATACCAAAACGGCCAAGTTCTGTACGATATTGTTCGATTGTTCTACCGGGATATCTCGATTGTAAAACTTCCACTGAATTGATATTCATTGGTAGTTGATCGACAAAATGTTGTGTAAAGTAACCAACTACTAAATTTCGATGACCATGTCGTTGTCCCTTGGTTGGTTCTAATTCTTCGACTAATAGCTTCAACAGAGTAGTTTTGCCTGATCCATTTTCACCCATAATACAAATACGTGACTGAAGATTAGCTGATAGATTGATGTTATTCAATATCAAGCGGCTATCTTTCGAATAAGAAAATGCAACGTCGTCTAACTGCATAATAGTGCCATGAAGTGGCTCGGGATCGGGAAAGCGGAAGTGAACTTCATGTTCCTTTTCAACCGGTCGAAGAATCGGTCTAGTTGATTCAAAAAACAAAGTTTGTGATGCTGTTACATTAATCAACATTCGTTTAACTTACAATTTTTCTAAGAGTTTCAATTTACTCTGTACTTGTGCGGCACGATTAGCATTGTATCGAAAACGATCGATGAATACCTACAAGAATGAACACTTCTCCTAGAGACTATTGACGTTCGTTTTACGAACCTGAATATGATCGCGATATTCCTTTTGTGCTTCATATTCTCGTTGTTGGTTTTTCAAACGTTCCGTTCGAGCAGAAACAAACGTATCGTAATTGCCGCTATGAAAACATAAGACTACGAAGAGACAAGAGATTTGAATAGACTCCTACCGATAAGAATCGAGTTTTTGCGAATTTAAATGTAGAATATCAGTTGCAACAGTATTAAGAAATGTTCGATCGTGTGAAACAACTAAAATCGTACTTTTCCATGTTTGTAAATAATTCTCTAGCCAAATGATTGCTTTGAGATCTAACATGTTTGTCGGTTCATCGAGTAAGAGAAGATCAGGTCTAAATCATTCGCACCAATAGAAACGATTCTCACTTCAGCTAAACAATATTTACTTGGAAAACAGAGCGCGTGCTAAGGCCAAACGCATTCGCCAACCACCAGAGAACTCTCTATTGAACGAAGGAAATAGAAATGATAGGTGCCGTAAGTGAATTGGCTCTTACTTAGTCGCCATTGCTTGCATTTGTGATGTAAATCCGAGACCATTCAAGATGACAGCTGCTCGTGACTCAGCTTTATGTGCTTCAATGGCCTCTAACTCCGCATAGATGGCTGTCAAACGTTTTGATATAAACGAATCTTGAGCAGCTGATGAACCGCCACTAGAAAGAATGTCGGATGAGGATCAAGTCTGAGAAATACGATATGTTTTACCTTATTTGTACTCTTTTATTTAATTCTTTTTCTTCATTCAACAATGCATTTCGTCGTTCATCACATTCGAGAACACTTTGAAGAGCAAGAGTATCGGTACCTTCAATCTCTTGTTCAACGTGTAATATTCGAATATGGGAAGGAAGCACAAGATTTCGACTAGAGAATGTACGAAAGAATTTGCTTATTTTCTCTATACCATCACAAGTTACTTAGCAATAACACGCAGTAACGTTGATTTACCCAAACCATTTCGACCAACGAAGCCATATCGACGACCATAGATGAGATCCATTGTACCGCCAAGAATTAACATTCTAATAGAACAATAACAACTAAATAACGATTGATTATGAGCATCTTACTTGTTTCCGTAGGATACATCAAAATTATCAATATGAACGTCGTATCTAATATAGTATAGACAAACAAATCGAAATCGAGTTTGCTCAATAGAAAATATGAACTTACGATCTGCTTGCTGTGTCGCCATTTTCGCTATCTGTTAGTAGTTTTTTATTAGTTGCTTGACTAACAACTGCTTCTTCTAGTCGCGCTTGTACTCTAGAGATTCGTGAACGAAGTAAAAATCTTTTGACAAATATTTTTCTATACTTGTTCTCTCCATTTGTTCCTCCATCTCGAGCACGTTTTTCCTGTTTTTCTCGAAGTTTTGCTTCAGCTTTTTCAAGTTTTTTCTGCGAAACCGTCGTAGATTCGTTCAATGGTTTGATCAATGAACGATCAGCTACATTAAATAAAGCCGACGAAACTTCTTCGAAGATGTTTCCCGAGTAATGACCGATAGAAACTGGTGTCGAAAGTTTTTTTGGTTCATTCGTCGAATCATTTCCATTGGATAATGTTTCTCTGGAAAAGAGATGGTGAAGATTGCCTTTTCATGGAAATTTCAACATACAATTTCAATTGATCACAAACGAATTGGCAGAGATCAGCGATTGCTGCTTGTTCACGTTCATTATGAGCAACTTCTTCAAAAATAGGTCTGAGTGCATCGTCGACCTCTTGAAAATCAATATAATCAGATTTATTTGTTTCCAGAATGTCTACAAAAAGTGAGAAATAGTTTGCGAAGGAAAATGAAAGAGAAAACAGACCAGTGATGTAACCCAAAATATCGTCATTAACTGCTGGTAATGTAGCACGGATTCGATTGATAATCGCTTCCATTTTTGATTGTTTTCTCGATGATTGAAGTAACTAAACGAGAGAAACGACGAAAGCAAAAAGCAAGGAGTGATCAACAGGAACATATAGCTGATTGAGGAATGGACCGAAAGCGGTAAAAGGAAGTTAACCAATGATTGTACCGTATGGCAACAGTCATGATCTGACATCTCGAGGATGAGTTGTGATCCAAGATTACTATTAATAAATGTTGGTGATCACAGTTGGTTGATTATGTACTTCATGTTCTGTACGTACTAATTCGAATAGTTCTGTTATCATTGAGTGACAATGTACTCGATAACGCAATAGAACGATCGGACAGAAGTATGACTTAAAAATATACACAAGAGTTTGATTAATTTCTATGTAAATATGATGAAAGATAATTCTTATTGTTTCTCTTTTCATTTCTATAAACTCTACAGTAAATATAAAGGTAAATATCAATTGTCTTGTGCAAGGTAGAACGCAAGTTCGAGCAATAGAAATATAACCTTATAAATATCGATGCTTGTGTCACAGCCAATATCGAATGGAGGAGTTCTTCATGGTTCAGTATTCAAGCCGGTGCTATGTGAAATCATAACTGAGAAAACAGTGCTGGTATTCAGTGGGGTGTAGTCTATCGCTGACCAGCATTGTGTAATCCAGTTAAAATTGGTGGCACATCAGCAACTGTTGGTGCAGCTGGCGGTTTCTCGCAAGGCAGCGGATATGATCCATTTACACGATGGTAAGGGATGCCAACCGATCATATTCTTGAATTTGATGTTATCCTACTGAATAGACGACGAGAAAATGTCAACGCTTGTGAAAATACCGATTTATTTTGGACGTTGCGTAGTGGCGTCGCTGGAGTTTTCGCTATAGCACTATCGGTTATTCTATGTATTTATTCAACATCCTCAGTTGTTGGAAGTGTTCAATTTTTTCCTCATCGAACAACATTTGCTATGCGAATGTTGTTCACCACTTTGTTCGATTCTTGCTAATATTAGCTGATGAAGGATGGACTGATTATTTCTATTTGACAGTGAAAACATTTATACTCGTATTTTTACTGCACAACGGTAATCTCGAGGCAGCAAATTCCTGTCGAAATCAATTTTTAAATGATTAAAACGATTTTAATTTCACACGAACATATATATACAACTTTCCTGGATTTGTAGATCTCTTTCAGACAGATCTAAAACCATAAAATCGAACAACTCTGCATGGCTAAATGCCCTACTGCACATGATCTATTCTCAAGGTTGAAATGATAATTCATCTCAAGAAGATCAAGACAAGCTTGCAAACTATCTTCGGTGGTTCACAATCGACTGCATATATGAATGAAGATGATTCAAATGAAGTCTATTGGCAGCAGAAATGTTTTAGAATAACAGAACTTTACAAACAATTGTAGGCAATCAAGGATAAAAATTGATCCAAATGGCATTTTAGGTTGCAGAAAATGTGCCGGCACTGATGATTGGCCAGAAGACTTGAACCATCCTAAGACATAGAATGCAAACAAAGTGGATTCATTCGTCTTAATTCGATTGAGAGCAAATCTACTTTTTTATGCTCAGTATCATATATCTTATCATATGAATAAACGAAGGACAAATCATGTTCAATTAACTTTCATCGTTTTAGTCAGTTTCGATGGTAGAATGCACACGTGCTATTCATCATAATAACTCACAGTAACTTTTGATATATCTAGAGATAAGTGTTCATTAATACAGTTAGATATGAGACAAGATATTTTATTTCTCTCAAAGCTTAATTTATCGCCAGCTTTCATCCTCGATCATGGCCTTTTTGAAAATATGCACCTTGAATTACACGGAGATGTATAAGTAGTCATCAGACAAGTTTTTAATTGAAGAATTTCTCTACATAGTCATATTTGCATATGAAAGGCCTTTGTCTCTCTATCAATTTAGTCGCTAGAGACATAAATGAGTTTAAATTGAAAACTATGTAAATATATACACGATATACATTTCCTATCAGACAGGTCCTATCGATAATCTTGAAATTGTTATCAATATTCAAAATTCATATCTTTCTCTACAGATTCTACATGTGATATCAATATGTATGACTCATATGAGACCTTGGTAGTTTGAATATCAAGACTGATGTCCATGTAACATATTGCTTTGTTTCTAATTCAATATTTATCAAATGAACTACATTCACAAAATCATGAGCAGAAAAAAGAACGAGTGGAAAAGTATGATTCTATTGTTAAAAGTCTAAAACACTAATTCCATTGATTAGGTTGTGTTGATGATTCCGAATGAGCAGCTTTTGCCTAGAATAGAAACAAATGATGTGTTCAAATAGGTTACATAAGTCAGAGTTACAACATACTTTTCGTTGGGCCATTATATCAGTCACTTCACGATCTTCAGGTAGCATCGATGGCGATATAGGTGGATGTTGCTGCTGTTGTTGTTGTTGTTGTTGCTGTTGATTGGATTTAGTTATTTTACCTAATTTAACTAAGATATGAACAAGACGTCGAGCAGATAATGCCTCATTCACTAGAAATGATCGAATGAAAGATGAGTTAGCGATTGCGAAGTCTCTTACAATTGTATCCAAGCTCTTTTCCAGCGGAAGTAACATCATTTTCTGTTAATGTGATACCGAATCGCTGTAAAACAGCGGGTATTGAAGTATAGGGTAAGCGACCTGATGGATCCATTTGCATGAAAATCTCTACAAAGAAACAGCTGTTAGAGAACTTTGAAGTTTTCGATGAAAGATACCAACCATTGAGTTGACGGACAGTTAATTTCTCGCCGACACCGACAGGTGGCTGTTCTTTCTAAGAAGAAAAAAATTAGACAGATGAATATCTTCATGACTTGGAAAAAAATGTTCTTACCGATACAACACTTTGCTCTTTATTACTTGATACTGACTGGCCAGTATGATGGGAACGGTGACGATGATGATGATGATGGTGATGCTGGTGAACTTTGGGTTCCATCACAGGAACAGGTGGCAGCTGTTGTTGTTGTTGTTGTTGTTGTTGTTGTTGTTGTTGTTGAGGTTGTAGTGCTGGCACTAGCTGCTGTTGAAACATGTTAGGTACACGCATGGCTGGATTATGTCGACCACCTGTGTCAACACTTCGTGCACGATCTCTTGCGCCTCGTTTTTGATCGGCATAAATGTTGTTGTTTGGCATCATGCTGGACATAGGTTGGTTGGGCATGTTTGCCCATGGTGAGTTGAAGGGGAAGGGAACTTGTGGTTGATACATTGGACGCAGAGTGGCATGCTGTTGTTGGTTGGAATGAAATGTACGAAATGATGGTGGAAGCCCCATAGTATTCGATGCAGATCGGGATGACGTGGCATAGTTATTGGTAGAGTGTAATTTGGCTTTGCCGACAGTCGAGACGGATAGTGGAGGATAGACAGGTTGTCTAGAATAAGGTTCAATGAGAAAAACCAAAGAAATCAAATATTAGTTTACTGTTGTGGTTGCTGATAAACAACATGAGTAGATGGCTGTTGTCCATAGTAGAAGGGTTGTCGATAGATTGGGTTTTGTTGTGGAACAAAGGATGGAGTCATGAACAAATTGGATCGTTGCTGCTGTAACAGAGGATTGCTGAAATAGGGTTGGACAGGTCGTTGCTGTTGCCAAAGATTGCCAGGATTGGGAGCATTTGGCGCATAGGGCATCATCATTTTGGGATATTCTCTACTAATCTTATTTCCTTGTTGTTTACTATACGATGCCTTACGTTGACTTTCACGTGAATGACTACGATGATTAGTCGACTGCTTTTGTTGTGGTGTTACAGATGTTTCACGTTCTTTCGAATGTGTGCGTTGATGATCAACTTTAGGCTGAGTATTACTTGTCATACGAATTGAAGATATTGTTGTATGAACAATGTTACCCGATTGGGAAATCGTTGTGGTTGTCGGTGCAACACGATCTTGATATTGGGTCGGACTGCGTGAACGTCGCGGGCTTCGGTCTTTTTTCGTATCATTATCTGGTTCAGTTGTAATGGAAACATCNGTTTCACGTTCTTTCGAATGTGTGCGTTGATGATCAACTTTAGGCTGAGTATTACTTGTCATACGAATTGAAGATATTGTTGTATGAACAATGTTACCCGATTGGGAAATCGTTGTGGTTGTCGGTGCAACACGATCTTGATATTGGGCTGGACTGCGTGAACGTCTCGGGCTTCGGTCTTTTTTCGTGTCATTATCTGGTTCAGTTGTAATGGAAACATCAGGAACGGTTTGATTAGCTTCATTGATGTCATTAGCGACGGATGAGTTGTTGGATACAACTTTCGGTGATCGTTTTTCAACAAGAATAACACGTTCAACATCTGCTTCACATTTCACTTTTACTTTATATTTTCCTGTTCGATAAAGCTCTAATGCCGCTGGATAGTCACGAAGAAGCTGTTCGACTTCTTTCGCAGTTTTGATTGTTCGCGAACCTTCCATTGTACTTTGAACTAAAATGAAATTAATCAGAGATAATCTTGCTTAATTTCAATAAAAATTCAATTTACATTGTGTTTTCGTATAAGGACCGCTTTGCACAGCCATGTTGGCATTATTTGTGGCGACTGATGATAGCGCACTGATCGGAGTGGACGATTTCGGTAAAGTTGCAGGAGGCATTTGTTTCTAGTCTTCTCTTTTACTTAACTAACTTATCTAAATAAAAGTGAGTCATCTTTTCTTTTTGCAAAGATTTACATATGATCAAATGGAAACAGTCTCAGAGCGAATGGTTAGATCTTAGCGATCTTTAATTCAACTTACTTTTGGCAAGACGATCGCTGAATTGTTGATCACCTCTATCGATGAGACACAGTCAACTTCGATTGTCTTTTATCAACGTCTGATTAAACTTTTGGTTACGCTTTGATTGAACAAAAAGAGAAAAAGAAAACCGAATGAGCGCTACGACGATGTGAACAACCTATAGATACTAACACGACATACTCATATAACCGAAAGGTAAAAAAAAGGAGTGAGTTGTCCGATTGAATCAAACAACAAACGCAATCAATTTTTTATACGAGTGCATTTGATCATGGCGTTAGACGGTCACACGTTACACTCGAATGCATTCGATGACATGTATGAAAAGTCTTCCTTTCATCCTTCTCGTAAAACATCGATGATAAATCACTCTTTCAATACACAAACGTATCTATGCATATACTCTGATCATTTTTCATGTCGAATGTATTTTGAAAGATATAACTAATGATTTAATTCAACAAAGTTTTATTTGAAACAAAAAAAAAAGAAATGGATCAAAGAAANTCACACGTTACACTCGAATGCATTCGATGACATGTATGAAAAGTCTTCCTTTCATCCTTCTCGTAAAACATCGATGATAAATCACTCTTTCAATACACAAACGTATCTATGCATATACTCTGATCATTTTTCATGTCGAATGTATTTTGAAAGATATAACTAATGATTTAATTCAACAAAGTTTTATTTGAAACAAAAAAAAAAGAAATGGATCAAAGAAAAAGAGACCTATTTTGTCTTGATTAAAGAGAAAAAAAACGAAGAAGAGTGCATAGATACATTTATCAAGCTATATGAGCAATACGATGAACCAATTCATCGAGATTGTATCGGGGCTTTCTTGATTTTGTTGTTGCTTCAGTCGACGACTCGTCTTCAGCAACCAAGTCCGGTGTTAATATCATTGCACAATGAGCAAACCATGCATAGGATTTCACCAGTTGACATCCCTCACGTGATAACTAAATAATAGTCAAATGAACGAGAAAAGAAATAGATTTCAAACAAATATACCTGTACAGCTAAATCACGATCAGATGTGACTATAATTGTATGTTTATTCTTGTCGTGATGATCATTTCGTCGAGCACTGTCAATGAGCATGTCGTCTGTTGTTCGATAGATTGGATGAGCACTAGTTACGTTTACACTACCGATTTGATCTACTTGACGAGTCGAATCGAAAATGAGTTCAACTTTCGGAATACGCATTTGTTCATTCCAAGCCGCAGCTAGTTGTCCGATAGCTCGTTCCGTTTTATGACGAGCATGGTTCAAACAGAGTTGACGAAGACAATCCACGACAAACATCATGTTGTTTCCGTCGAGATAGACTTCTTCGATGTCATTAGGCCAATCATTTCGGTGATTTATATTGATATAAGCACCGTGAGCCTGAGCAAGTGAGATACGTTGCTAGAAAATCAAGAGAAATTCGTCGTAAAAGTATTTGTTGAGGTAATTTACCTGAACTCGTTTCTCGGCTTCTTGTTGACGTTCTTGGCGCTCCTTTTGAATTCGAGCGACAGTCAGTTCAATAGAATCATTACATTCATGAAAAATAGCAAGAAGCTTGGCAGGATTTCCATGAATACCTGCAGCACGCAGCTCTTTGATATGATCAAGATCATCCGCGACAAATTCGTATTGTTTCTTCGAAGAATCATTCGATTTTTCGTTAACTTTGTCATCATCATCATCGTCTTCACTATCCGATGATGACTTTTTGTGTTGTTTTTCGGCTAAAAGCCCCTTGACTCTATCAATCTGGCCATCCGCTTTTTCTAGCAATTTTAATAGATGTTGCTTGTTCTTGGTTTTCACGCCATCAGCTTCGAGCTTAGCAATTTGATCTTTATATTTTAAATTCAATGCAGCCTGTTTCTCTTTTGCCGCTCTTTGTCGTAGCAAAATTTCCTTAACCTATTGTCAATAAATCGGTTAGCCTACATCAATTCATTCTTTTTCCTACGCTACCTTGTTAACGTCACCGTGTTGTTTCTCGAGATTGTTCACTACGCGAGGACATTTGGTATTGAAACCGGCATTTGATAATTGAGCTAGTTGGACAGTATACTTGTTTCGGAGTCTAGCTCGTTGTTGCTCCTTTGTTTCGTTTGGATCGGAAGGAGCGTCGTCCGATGGTTTTCCAAGTTGTTCAAGATACTGTTGAATGTATTCAATCTCTCCGCCAAATCGTTCAAACATTTTCAGTAAACTTGAACGCTTTAGCGATTGAGACGAAGGATAGGATTTTTGTAGAATATCCAACTCCTTGCCGTATTGATCTTCCAGTGAAGCCATTTTTTTATTGCGAAATTCCCGGTGAAAAAGATGTGCACGGACCTGATGAAAGAGTGCGTGTTTTTTTTTGTTATATCGATAGAAATAAATGAGAAAACCTCCGTTCACCCGCATAGGAGGTGTTCGCGGGCAGAAAAACAAAGTATGCCTTACCTGATCCATATCGCCATTGCTCTCTCTCAATCTACGCCGGATTTGATAGTGAGATTCGTTGGGAAAACGTTCTTGAAGCAATTGATATTGCTCATCATATTGTTGCTGATTTGACGCCATGTTTGCAAGTTTTCATAAAACAATTTCTCAACCAACACCACTTTTTATACTCAATAGTGACTCATTTCAGAAACTTGCGCAATGCTTGCTTAAAAGGTAAGCGAGTAATGGCGTGGTTTGTTTGCGAAGAATGAAATGTAGATTTTGTGGACGTAGCTGATACATGAGACTTGATTTTGATAATAATTGCCTAATTAATCTAAACATTTCATGAGAAGATGATGCAATATTGATAATTGATTGGTCAGATTCTGGACACGATCCAGCGAAGTTTTATCTTAATGATATCCTAGTTTGTTCTTATTAAATGATATAGAAGTGCAGATCTATTTATGGCGCACACCAGAATTTCTTTATTACAAGATACAAAAAATACGCGAGCCTGTCAGAAAGAAAAGAAAGAAAAACGTGTCGAGTCATTGTATGAATTGAAGGTCCCCGTTAAGTAGTTTCAATCATATTCTACAAGCACGGTGTTTTTAGTTTTATTGAAATTTATCGATTATTGTAAATTAGCTAAGTACAACAGGCAAGTGTCATCTCTTACAGATAGATTATAATCAATAAAATCCGTTAATTTGCTTGCTACTATGCAAGTATTTATCCGTAGTTAATTCGAAATAAATACTATGGTATTCAACGGAAACTAAGAATCTCATATTTACGGGATAGATGTCGTATGAAACGTCTGAATGTCTTCTTTTACTATATTTAAGGTACGATGGCATCTATTAGTAATAGAAATTATCCATACAAACCACCTGTATTCACTGATGAAGATCGTCTAGATAAACTCAAAAATACATTACCAGATCTTAAAGAACTTTTCCAACAAGAATTCTCAGGAAATCATTTTCCCGGTCTTATCTATGGATTGATCGTTGATGGGCAATTATTTTGTAGTGAAAGTTTTGGTTATACGAATTTAGAACAAAACCTACCAACAACAACAAAATCATTATTCCGTATCGCATCGATGACGAAAAGTATCACTGCCATGGCTATTGTTAAACTTCGCGATGATGGTAAACTTCGTCTTGACGATCCAGTTGATAAATATATTCCTGAAATATTTACTAATGAACTAACAAATGATGGACCGATCATAACGGTTCGTCATCTGTTGATTCAAGATGCCGGCATGCCAGAAGATGATCAATGGGGTGATCAACAGTTAGCTTTACCGGATGAAGACTTTCTAAAACTGTTGAAAAACGGAATTTCATTGTCGAATCCACCTGGAACAATATGGGAGTATACAAATCTTGCATATGCGATGTTAGGACGAATAATTACCGTCGTTTCTGAAATGCCCTATCAAAATTATATCAAACAAGAAATTCTTGATCCACTCGGAATGACGCACACTATCTGGGAATACAGCGATGCTCCATCGGAGCTATTAGTATGCGGTTACCGATGGGAATGTGACAGTTACTCGAAAGAAACACCACTTCATCATGGCTCTTTTGGTGCCATGGGCGGTTTAATCAGTTCGATCGATGATTTCAGTAAATACGTCGCGTATCATCTACAAGCATGGCCAGCACGAAGTGAACCTGAATATGGTCCACTGCGACGTAGTTCGCTTCGCGAAATGCATCACCCGTGGAATTTTATTGAACTGAAAACTTTTCCGCATCGTTCATGTTTAGTAACGAGTGCCTATTGTTATGGACTCAAGTGGAGTATGGATCAAGATGGGGTTATATCTGTCAGTCATTCAGGAGGTTTACCCGGATTTGGCTGTAATTGGATGATGTTGCCTGAATATGGCGTTGGCTTGGTCTCGTTTGCAAATTCTACATATGCCGATTTAGAACATATTAATACAACGATTATTGATAAGCTAGTTCACTTGGCCGATCTGAAACCTCGAAAATTACCAATATCAAAGATTCTTGCTGAACGAAAAGAACAGGTGATACAAGTTATACTAAACAACAACTGGAATATTCATGATTCAGAATTATTGACGATTTTTGCGGACAACTTCTTTAACAATTCATCGCTAGAACGACGAAAAGCCGTCTCACGAGACTTGTTGGATCAAATAGGAAAAGTTGTCGAGATCGAAGAATTAACACCAAAGAATCAGTTATCTGGTACATTCCATCTCAAAGGTGAGAATGGTTCGGTTCGTATTCTACTATGTTTATCACCGGAAAGTATACCGTTGGTTCAAGAATTAGAATTAACTATGATTAAACAATCATAAATACAGGAATTGTGATTCCCCTCAAAAGACTCTTCTATTTCTTCTATTTATGTCCTGCATTGATTGATAGAATAAATCATTCTCTAACAATATGTTATCTATCTTTGGACGAAATGTGTATGCAGTATAGATGTCGCTAAGCAATTATATACTGTTGAATAAATACCCAAAAGAACGTCCTTTTACTCGCTGACGGTACGCCACACCCTTTTGTCTATTTATGTTTCGTTTCAAAATGGAGGTCTTTCATTGTTTCGAAATATTCATTTGAATGGCCGCCATTGTATGTAAATTTTGTCTCTGGTATGATGACTTCACCATTGGTCAGTCTGCTTATTTTCTCATTCATAGGTAAAGATCGAAGTGCAGTCATCAATGACAGGAGCACGAAAAACGCGATCAACAAGTGTGGCTGCCACTCCTCCTCAAACAATTGCTGATGCCACTGAATCACCTGCTCTCGATGATTTACAGGCAAATCTTCGTTCACCAACGGAATTTGTAAATATCTACAATCAATACTATCAAGATGTCACACTTCGTTCATCATTTGTTAACAAACTTTGTCATATATTAGCTGATTCAACGTACGTCCACTCGGACATTCTACAACATATTCTCGATTCTTTTCGAACGAACCATGATACATTACTGGTAGAGGTAACTGAAACACAGTTTAAACAAGACATATTACCATTTATCAAACGTCTACTAACTACTTGCGACGATAGTGACGAGATTCTGTTATCTCTTTTACGATTTCTTATTGTTCTTATTGATCACCGATCAAATCTTTTAAGTTCAACAGTAGCTGAATGGCTTTCAACTGTATTACACTTTGTAGTTACGCGAATTTCGTCGACATCATATCTGATCTATGGCCAGTTAGTTGTTGACTTACTTGCTCGAATAGTCAAATGTTTCACACCATTACCAAAGGAAATTGTTGACGTACTAGGTCGATCGCCCTCATCAATCATTTCCACGAGTTTCTTGACTCAGTTGAAAACGTGGGTCAAGCATGTCGATGATCATAAACTAGCTTTGTATGCTATTCACTTATGGGAGCCATTAGCTGCACTTCTTAGTCGATTATTAACGCGTGGCCATACGAAAGGAAACGAAATGTTGGCTGTTATTCAAGATGGTAAGCACACTCTTTCTATTTCTACTGGAAAATCTTTACTCTCTATATTATTTCAGCGTTTGTCGTTGCTAACTATGCTATTCGTGGTGCTGCATTCACCGCTTGGGCTTCATTCATGTCACACATCTACCGTTCAGATTTGAATCTCAATCAAGATGATACACATCAGCAACAACTATACAATCGTCTATTAAAACTATTTCTCACCCCATTTCTACCCGATTATACAGCCAAAAGTAAATCAGCATCCATAGCCAAATGCCGAGCATGGTTAATATTGGTTTCGGTATATCCAACACATATCGATGACGTTCTCTTGCCATTTCTTGCATTTGCATTTGGCCATCAAACCTCAACGAAAACATCGACGACAAATACAGCATGGTGGCCTGAATGTCGCAAACTAGCAATCGAGTGTTTACATGAGACTTTAACAAATCACGGTGAAAATGTGATAAAAGCAGCTGGTGATCAAATTCTCAGTTATTTGCTCGATTCAGCTATGGAAGAAATCAATGAGGAGAAATCTTTGTGGTTAACAATTTGGAACTGCTACTTGACTCATCTGACACGTTTATTTACGATGAATAATTCTATCAGTGAGACACAACGAAATGCAATCAACACATGTCTGCTGATGCGACTCGAACAATTCTGGATTGACTCGCGTCTTTCGACAGACTTCCTATTAAAGATATTTGAAACATTTGAACGAACTGGATTTCCATTAGCAATCGAAACTGTTCTACGAGATTCCAGCATACGAACAAAAACATTATCATCATCTCAAAATAATCGAACACGTACGAAAAGAAACTTTCACATAACATTTCAATTATTTCCTTCGTTTTTTTTTCTCTTAGAGGATGCATCATCACCTGCGGATCAATCATCGCCAACACGTACAACCCTCTCCGATCAATATCTTCATATGTTTCTCGAACATGCTATCCGTTATACACCGGATGATCCAACAATCGAACAGACATATCTGCATATTCTCTCCTATTTGATCGATACGTTAACGAAAACATCTGATGACAATTTCTGTCAACAAACAAGTTTATTGCTACTCAAATGTTCATTCGAACTACCACTGCAGCCTTTGAAGATTCCTTCTCTCTTCTGGCATATTTGGCTACGTTGTTCAACACATCTGATACCGATTCTTAATAATACCCGTTCAGTTGAATTAAACAATCAACGGCAAGAAACAACAATTGATTTATTACTTCGCCCGTTCTCATTCAGTGACAGCGAACATCTTGACTATTCGTATACTTTAGTCTGGACGCAATTGTTCAAAGCACTATGCCGTTTAGTTTTACTTGACGGTAAACACTTGATTCATTTATATACAGAGTTACTTCGACAGCGTCTTGTTTTCGAACAAGCAATTGCTGATCAACACAATCAGCGTTCATTCGGATTTCTATTAACAACAATCAAATGCTTATTGAAAACACTGAACGATCTTGATTTGAATAATATTCCCAAACGTACATTACCATCCGTATCGTCAATCACGCTTTGTTATACACAGTTATCAGTAATCATGAATGCGATTCTGGAACGTCTCTTGTTATCGACTGACGAAAGTACAACACAGTGGTTATTTGTTTGTTACACTTTAATGAAATCGAATAAGATCTCGACGAATGAACAAAGCAAATCGACCGTGTTCATCTTTGTACGCGATTTGATCGTTGATCTATTTGGTACATGTAGAACATGTTCACAACTAGAAACTATTCTAACGAATTTAACACATATTCACTCATTTCTACTCACATACGATCAATCAATTATTTCAACATCGGCCTCGAGTGCATCGCCTGTCTCGTCGAGCAAACAACAAACGGATAACGTGATATTAAATAAGATAATCTCGACTATTCAAACTGTTTTCGAATCTTCGAATGGTTCATCATTGTTACAACTAGTGTATCCAATATTGATCGTCACATTTCAACATAGTAAGGCAATAATTAGAAATAAAGCCAGAAAATGTTGGAATGAAACTTTTGGACGTTTAACATTTATTAGTTATCCGAATGAATTAAGGTAATGTCACACTTTTGTTAAAGATTATGCAACATATGAAAACCGTTTGGATTTCTTTAGAGCATGTCTGCGCGATTTGAAAGATAAAGAACATTTATTATTACCATGCTTTCTGGCCGATCACGAAAATAGTAATACAGCTGGCAGTGGCGTTATCATACCAAGTACACCTGAAGAAAGTCAACTATCTCAACAAATTGACATTCCAACACCTTTGATTATGACATCGATGAATCCTAAGCCATCATTGCCATCGTCGCCGGCACGATTTTCCTCGCCATGTGCGCCGCTGACTCGTTCAATTGCAGTGGAAAAATCCGAACCAGTATTTGTTCCAATTACAAACAATATCAATCACGATAGTTCGTCCGATTCACCAGTAGTGATTGCCAAACGCATGACATCAACAAGTAGTGCCCTAACAGAAAAACAAAAAGAAAAGTTACGCACACGGCATGTCATACCATTGCTTTGTGATGATAATAGTGATACACAATCGCTAACATGTACAATGGACACACCAACCATCGAAAATATGATGGCAACCTATCAGCTTCGTAATACTAGCACTGGCAATGCACAATCAACAGTAGAAAATAATTTAGCTTTATCTCAACAGTCATCTTCCGAAGCTCAGCCTTTCGTTCAAACGCCACCAGAAAATGATTCACCAACTGATGCATCGATAACAGCGTCAGGATCATCGTCGCCACCCCCAATCTCATCAGCATCATCTACACCTATAGAACATGAAGACTCATCGTTACATACGTCAACAACTGCTGCTGCTTCCAACAGCAATACAGAAGAGGACATTCCAGAAGAATCGTCGATAGCACGAAAACTGCGTCGATCACGTCGTCCATCAACATCGGCCCGCAAGAGTCTAACGAACAATACAAGAAGAAAACGTGGCATTGCTTCGTCAAATGAAGTACCCACTCCTGTTCCATCGGTTGTAGTTGAACCAGCAGCACCATCTTCATCTGACGATATCGAAATTATTAAAGCGCGTCCACTGAAAAGCATTCTCAAGCGCTTGTCACCAACGAAACCTCGTCAAGATCATGCACGTCGCGTCGCTTTCCATGATCAAGTTAAAGTTCTCCTATTCCCATCACCACTACGCCGCGATCCCAATGGACAACAACAGAAAAAGAAAAGTCCAAATAAAGACGAAAGTAATAGATATTCGTCGACTATATCAACTCGACGTTCTAGTGGAATACATAGTAGCAATAATAACAATAGTAATAGCAATATGATTAGTGAACAAATAAATAAACCACGTTCGTCGAAATTGTTCATTCTTCCGGACAAGCCAACAAATGACGTAAGTCGAAAGGTAGTTGTCTAAATTAGATTTGTCTACATATTGTCAATTTTGTCATACTTTGGAGTGAAGTTTGTTGAGTCCGGTGGAGATAATTTATTCCTGACTAGATAATCTGCACTCCTTGGTTGACATCAATGTTGTGTTGTTCTGTGTTGTATTGACTTGTTGCAGCAGTTCATTATCTCTCAGTCACTTCGTCTGTGTAATTAGTGACTAGAGATCTTGCACTGATGTAATGTGTCCTTCGTTTGTCGTTGTTGAAAACCATGTTCCCTGTCGATATGGATATTAGGAATAATCTGTAACTTCTTTAAATGCAGAATTCAGTTCAATGTGAGTAATCTATTTGTTTCATTTTGCTCACTCTAGACTACTTTAAATACAACCGATGTTAATACAAATCAAACTAAACCTGTAGAACCCATCTTTGCGGCATTAGCGGATTGTGATAAACCACTAGATTCTTTAATTCACGTGGTCTACGGTGGAGTTTGGTATGTTAATTCAATAATCTCTTCTCTACCTTTTGTACCAACAATATTGCACCTTTTAGTCCAACCAATGCTATCAACTATTTTCGCTCGATTAAAATCAATACCGTTGGTGATATTGCTCGTTCCACCGCCGAACAAATTGAAGTGTATCCACTTCCACCACCTAAATTAGCAAACATACAAAAAGCTCTTTCGATCTATCAAGAACGCTTGATTACATCTCCATCATTATCGCCCATCATCGGCACCAATGGTGAGTCGATGGCACCTATTGCAAGTACATCAGAGGAACCCATTGGTAAATTTAAATTGTTTTGCTCTTCAAGAAAACCAGCCTCACGTCTCTTTCAATATCTTTCTAGCCTTTAGTGATGGAACATTCATCAAAGGAGCAGCTTCACCGCCACTACCAACAACAGCAACAACAACAAATATCCATGGTCCACACCATACGTTGTATGACGTTGACACTCTAATTGACAGTCTTGATTATGAACGACTCTATTTAAATGATGATAAGGATTCCAATGAAGAATCTATTCCACCGTCAACTAGTCAAACAGATTTTATTCGGGCAAGACGGCAATTAGCATTAGCAAATCGTGATGACCAAATCTCTCCTCAGAAACGTCGGTTATCGACCACAAACGAAGATAACGACACTGATGATATCGAAAATCAGATCCAAAATGACGAAATCTCTCCAAAAAAACAATCAGTGATGGCTCTCACACTCGGTGATCGCTTACAGAGAGCAGCTGACACATTTCAAGCAACTGGTCGATTGCCATTCGATGATGACTATATTGAACTTGTTCGACAATTATTCAATAATTCATCATTGACACATCTGGAACAATTGCATTTAAAAAGTTTATTTCTTGATGGCTAGTTTGTTTTCTTTGTGATATATACATACATATACATATATTTTTCTCTTTTTCTTTACTTTCATTATGTCAGATATGAATATAATTTTCTGTTATTTTTCTTCCATTTAATTCCTGTGTTAGTAAAAATGAAATATGTGCTTTCATTCTCAATGTATGAAAATAAAATATAGATATGATTACAAATCAATTAAAAAATAGTAAGCTAAGAAAAAAAAAAGACATTTGTCATAATATAGTAATCTCTTCTTTTCTCTTTTTCAATAACTTATGTAATCTCTCTTCTTCTCGTTCAATGTATTACATAAGAGTTGAAGAGAAGAAGAAGAAGAATGAGTGAGTATAAAGATTACGACAGAAGGACCATTTCTTCTTTCTCTCTTCGCTCATTGTTCAGATGTAGCATATGCTTACTCTCTGTTCTATCATTCAGTGCATGAAGAAATCAAAATGTGACTGCTGTGTACGTCAAACATGTGTTTAGATGTTGAATGTCCGAAGATGGACTGAATCAAAGTAGTTTCATCGTTAAAAATTCATTTCATCTGTAGACTTTTTTTTCGTTTAGTTATTCAATTCAATGATTAATAGACCTTAGGTTTGATTAATGATTTCATTCGTATAGATGTTGTCCTCTTGTAAATTGATTTCGTTTGGCGAGGCATACTGAACAGTGATGTATTGAGTACTATTAGTCCTTAATCAGTATTCATTGAACTTCTTCTTTTTATTTGTTCTGTAAAATAAATATTTACTTCTGTGTATGTACAATTGTATTGAACAATGTGTGCGTTTGAAACGGGCAATAGAGGTTTCTTTTAGAATTACAAACATATAACACCGAAATGATATATATGATTATCAAAGATCTAATAATTTCTGTGTGGAAAGTTCTACCGTGGCCGTTTCTTTTTGCCAAAAATAACTTGGTATGAGACAAGTTTATGTAGTAAATGAGACTTTTGCTGAATGAGTCGACACAATTTATATACTACGATGCAAAAATAAAGGTGAGAAAAGATAAGGATCTCCGTTTTTTCCACTTGATTACTGGCGCCCTCGTCTATTCGCTTTGTGTGAAGGTTCTAACTAATAACAAATAGTTGTTTAATCTTCATATCAATGACAGATAAGCTTCTACGTTTTTAAAATTGAACTAAATCATTTTGATTTAAAACATGTCGGGCATCTTTAATCGTTTGAAAAGTCGCAAAGTAAAGAACATCACGATTACACTTTCAATAACATTCGTTAATACTCTCTACGCATAGACTGGCTCTCCAGCGTCAGCAAACAATTCTCATAACATCGCACATGAAAGTGAACCAGCAGTACAAGCATGCACATTTGACGAAGAAGTTTGTCGTCGGATTGTGATAGTTTTGTTTCTGTATCTTGTGTTTTTTCTCAAGGGCTTTCTCTGTCCGATTTGTCATCAGAAGTTCAATGATCACACGCAACTTGCGCAACATTATACAGACACTCACGCACAAGAACCCGTCGTAGAGAAACCAACTACAAATGGACATGAAATGATTACAAAACGAGATGAGATTGAAGGAGATGATGTAATTCCAGATGTAATCCTATGGAAACAACAGTGTATTGCTTCAGAAGAAAGTCGAATGCTGAGTAAGGATGGCTTGATAAACCGTTTAGATAAGTAGAGCGTTAAACTTGATTTTCGAAAAAGCATCAAATTTCGCTATCCATTTTCTTCGATGATAAGAAATTTGAATCACGAATTGATCTTGATGCGTGAGATTTGTTGACGAAACTATCTCTATTGATTAATTCTAGTATCGAATGAGCTAATACAGCAAAAACAACGTTCTGATGACCTCGAAGAAGAACTTCAAATTTTGAAAAAACATCTGAAGTCTGCGCAGAATAAAGTTGTTGAACAAGTAAAGCCATATGATGAAATTTGTTCATTTTTTTCAACTAGTAATCCTTTTCAGTCGGAAGAAATCGCGAGTTTAAAAGCAACTAAAGATGTGTACGACTCTCAGCTCGCTATGTTTACTAATGAACTTCTCAACACCAAAGTCTGTCTTTGAATCAATCCATACATGCTTGACAAACTGTCGTGTCTCAATTTCAGGACGAATTGAAAGCAAAACAAAACCAAATTGCTACTCTATGCAATGATCTTATCCCTAGGTATATAGTTTTCTCTTTCATAATCGACAATTCATTGCTTTTGGCTGCTCAATCTATATCTTTTCTTGTTTTCTTTCAAATTTCACTCCCATCCAGTTTGTAAGTACCCTGCACTAGATAAAATCTCACCTATGCATGTTAACGTCAAGTTTATTTGTGTCACGACCTTTTCATTCACATATTGTTCATTCTCAGATCCACAACAGATGATGTCAATGTGCTTAAGCGTGAACTCGTTACTGTTCAACAATGCATGAATGAGATGGCTTTAGAAAAAGAACAGCAAATTGAAAGGCTACGTACCATACTCATAGAAAAGTATGTAGGATAGATTGAAAACCAACATGTTTTTTTTTCTTTCCTTTTCAGTGATAAATCTGTACAAAGATTCGAACAAGTTGAAACTTGTCTGAATCAAGTAAATTCATCGTAATCGTAAATCACAGCCATACGAGTACAATTTCTTGTAGAATTTGTCCATATACGATGAATTAGTCAAAGCAAATACTATATTAATAGAAAAGGATATCAATCAAATGAAACGATCAGTTCAATCAATCCGAGAACAAAAAACAAAACTTCAGCGCACTACTAAACATATGCAAAACGATCTTTCACAACAAGTAAGTTCAAGATTCTTCATTTTTATCATACAATCATTCTTCATTTCAGACACAGATCAATATAAAACTAACAAATGACTTACAAGCAGAACAACGGCAAGCGGCTTCATATCAAAGACAAATAGAAACTTTAAACAATGAAATTCAAATATTAGAGAAAAATTTAAATGACTTACAAGAGGAAAAAAAACAATTTATTCAAACACAAATGAACGGCGACGAAGATCAAGAAAGGCAAAACCTTGTTCGACAAATTACACAGCAAAAAGTAAGATAGATCAAACTCGATTTCTGTGAAAACAAAACTACATGAGTTTATGAAAGGATCAATATGAACAACAAACGAAAGATCTTCGAGTTCAAATCAAACAAATCAGCAATCAACGGCACCAAGTTCAAGATGAACTGGATCAAATATCTCAGCAACTTGCACTGATAAACAACGAAAAGGTATTACTCTAGTAGAATTCGTTCATCGACTCATCGTCTCTTGCTCTTGTCTAGACTCAATTACAAAATGAACGCATTCGTGATAAGAATGAAATAGATTCACTTAGAAAACAGATGATGGATAATAACAGTGATAAAGTAAGAGATTCGAGGAGGCATCAACTGGCTTTAGTTTTTGAACTAATCCATTTCAGATACAACAAATAGACGAATTAAAGAAACAACTATCCACATTAAGCGAACGTACGGCACATACAGAGAATAGTCTACAAAAAGCGAATGAATTCAATGCTGGTCAAGTGAGTTATTTAGTTAGTTGAACCAATCGACTAATAATTCACATACTTTTAGAAACAAGATATCGAACGATTGAAAGCTGAATTAGTCGATCAAGTAAACCGATTTGAACAGGAGAAAAGAGGCCTACAACAAGCGTTTGATCAACAAGTGCGAACAACTATTTCCCAGTTACGTGACCAATTAGACCAAAAAGTATTCGAAAAAAAATCTCTTTTTAATTGTAAATGATCATTGATCTTTTATAGACTGCATATATACAACGATTGTCAAATCGCATTCGCCGTTGTCTTGATTTCGCGCATAGAACTCAAGAATATTTTGGAACAAAGATTTCTACAAATCAAACAAACCTACTAGAAGCTATCGAACAAGTAATTGTTGAATAAGAAGCTTCTATCCTATTTCTATGTATGTCATTAGGCCAAACAAGAGTCTCGTTCTGTTCGTGCGCAAACACTAGAACAAATCCGTGAAGAATTTACGCACTATTTAACTGTTTATCACACTCTATTTACTGAAAGTCAAGTGAGCGCATTCGGACGAAACATGATTTATTGAATATTTGTTGTGTTTAGACACAAATAGAAAAGGATAAGTTGAAACTGATTGAACAACAACAACAGTTCGAAAAACAAGTGAGCCAACTGAAATATGAGCATGAGAAATCGATGGAAGTACACCACGACAAGAAACAGAAACTGGAAATACAACTAGGCGAATTAAATCGTCAAGTGCTTCAAGTAATTCGACACATATCTATGCATAAATTATAGATAGATGTTTAGGTCTCCGAATCACTATCAGAGGCAACACGAACCGTTGATATTCAGCGAGAAAAATATGAAAAGCAAATTGTATGTGAAAAAAGGATTCATGTTTAATCGATATCACTTGTTGGATTATGTTTCTACTAGAAAACATTGGAACGTGAACTCGAATCCCGAACTAAACGACATGAAATGCAGTTATCTGCTTTGACAGAAAACCTTGCCACTGTACGTACGGAGCTGAGGGCGACGAATGAAAAAGTCGCCATTCTTGAACAAATCAAAGCAGAAAAAGCCGGTCAGTAGATGAGAACTCGACTTGTTAGTTTACACTCCTCTCGATACGTTAGATACGGATGCACGTTTAGCTGTCAGTCAGGAAGAACGTAGAGTTCTATTGGAACGATCATTGGCAAGCGAGAGCAAATACGAAAAACTTCTTTTCGAAAATGGTCAATTAACAAAGAAGAATATAGATTTGGATGCTGCATTACAAGAAATAGCACGCGAGTTTCAAGTTGTTCAGATTCAAAACAATAAATTCAATCAACGTCGTTGGCTAAACGATGATGATGTGCATAGTTGTATGAAATGCAATCAAACATTTTCGGTTACTCAACGTAAACATCACTGTCGAAGTTGTGGAAATATTTTCTGTGATAGTTGTTCTTCTAAAACAGCGATTGTTGCAGCTTCGTCAAAGAAACCTCAGCGAGTGTGTGATCAATGTTACAAGGACTTGACTTCTTGATATGCGCTTGTCTTCTCGATCTATTTTTGTTTTTTTTTATTGATCTCTTTGCAATGAACCAAATACAGAAAACAAAAGAATGATATTTGATTTCATCGCGAAAGATTCGATTAAGTTGTCAGTGATGTAGCTGTCCTTGCGAAGTATGAAATGGAAAGCCGTACTCTTACTTTGTCATTCCAAGGAGATTTTACAATTTGAAAGCAAACTCTTGTTTCATAGATGATGTTATCGAGCAAATGATACTCTCTGTCTTGTTTTGTTTAAAAAAAAACGTAACGTTATACATTCCATTGCCTACTTTAACAACAACAAACATTCGAAAGACAAGCAAGGATAATGAATGTTGTTTATGTATTGTTTTAATTGTTAGAAGCTGTTCGTGGTGTCGGAATTTCCACTTGTGGTTTAATCACTGTTCCTCGTCGGATTTCACCCCAACCAATCAAACGGAAATTTTTATCAACACGACGGCTGAGAGCAATCTTTTCAGATACTTCCGTACAAACTGGATTCGTCAATTGGATTTTGGCTAAGTCATCCTTTATAGCCAAGACTCGACCACCTGTACTCAAGGAGCCAATGTTAACCATTAACATTTCGTTTTTCGTTAATTTAGCAACCTTAGATATGAAACAATGCGGTCTATAGATGGATTAAGAAATGAAATGCAACAACTCACCTTGGCGCCTTTTCTGTCACCTTCGGTTCTAACACCAACCAAACGTCGAAGAAGAAAATAAGTTATTTGAATTTCCGTATAGATTTCTGGCAATGCTCCAACTTCACCAAGTACTTGACCGACAAGACGATCGGCACGACATAAAGTTGGATCAATTTTTGTTCCAACACCAATCAAGCCACCAGGTACAGCATAGGCAAGGTCATTCTGTTCAGCATAGAGTGAAACGATCTTTGAAAGAAGCGGACGACACTGAAGACGGCCTTCATTATCCTTGGAGACAATACCAGGTCGAACTTCGATTTCTTGGCCAACCTATTGCCATTCATATGAAATTGATTATTGTTCGTCGGCTGAGAAGCCTTCACTTACTTTAAGAACGCCTTTAAGAATACTACCACCAGCAACACCGCCTTTCAGATCGTCAACTTCAGCACCGGGTTTATTGACATCAAATGAACGAATAACTACGAGCAAATTGTCGTTAGTGAGCGAAGGAAACAACTATTACTAATGTATTTTCTCACCAATCAATCGTGGTTTGGATGAAAAATCTCGTAATGGTACTGGAATCTTTCTTGTAATATATTCGCAGATAACTTCAATATTGTACTTCAGCTGTGCGCTGATTGGAATAATTGGGGCGCCCTCTGCGTTTGTGCCTAACCGAACGAATGATCACATTCGAGTATATTCACAAAAGGAAAACGAAAGGAGATGTTTACCTTTGACAAAATCAATAATCTGTTGATATTGTTCCTTGGCTTGAGTTTCTCTTACAAGATCAATTTTATTTTGCAAGACCAATATTGAATTCAATTTCATGATGCCAATAGCTGCTAAATGTTCGGATGTTTGCGGCTGTGGACAAGTTTCGTTTGCAGCTAAAAGATAACGGTTTGTTTGTACTCCGATCAACGGAACAGAAAACGTCGTTTTCTTTACCAATAAGTAAAAGAGCAGCATCCATGACGGCGGCGCCGTTCAACATAGTGGCCATCAGGATATCGTGACCAGGACAATCAACAAATGAAACGTGTCGAACAAGTCGAAATTGACCACCGCAATCCTTACGATCACATGGGAAAACGTCTTCTCTGCTCGAGCCAGACGAACGAAAACGTTCTGGCCGAGGGCATTTCTCATTGTCACATTCGAATATCTATATGAAAAAAAAGGAATCCTATAAATTCTAGACATAACTTCTAGTTTTTCGCACTTTAGCATTGGCGTAACCTAATTTAATGGTAATGTTTCGTTCTTTTTCGTTTTTAAATCGAACTGTCAAGACACCAGATAATGATTTGACGACAGTTGATTTACCATGTGCGACATGGCCAATGGTACCAATGTTGATTGTTGCTTGTCGACTAATAACTTCAGGCGTCAATGGCGATAGTTGACTGGGATTCTAAAGTTATAAGTAAAACGCAAGAATTTCGAAATGATTTAGAAGTTCATTTACGAACCATATCAGCTATAGATTGTTTGGCCAAATGAGGTTGACCAGCGGTTTCGTAGGCAGTCATGTTTGATATAGAGATTTGATTAGTTTTGCTTGTGGGATGATATATGAAGATTGAATATAAGTGATCTAAAAGGAGTTTATGAACTGTGACTTGATATATAATTATGCAAATAATGAAATTATGCAATGGCACACGGTTCGAATGATGAAATGGCTAGAACTAGATAAATATTTTTTGACGGTATTGAGAGCACAGCGAAACCGCCATTGCATTGAAGTGTAGATTGCCTTTAGAGTAGAATACGAAGAAAAAGAAAAGAGGGCGTTAAATGCCAGCATTTCGCTAAACTTTCTTTCTGTTCTTATTGTTCAATAGATATATCTATCGTGTGCAACAAAGAAAAGATTCTTTGTTTATTAACATACACTTCAAATAACGAAGAACTCGATTCTATCAATAGAACTTGTCATTCATTTTTTGTCTTGCTTTTCTTTCCATACCATCGAGGGAAATGCACTCAAGATTAGCAGTTAGATAGCTATCATCCTTGAAATCAATTATCAATCTATCTTTTTCTTGTCTTTGCAATCGATACAGAGCACAGACATGCGGACCAGTATGTGTTTACATCATCCAGCATCATTTTCTCCTCCATTCGGTTTCTTAAAGTTGTTGAATACTAATTGCAGCGAAATATGCAATTAATTAGTTAACGACCGAAAGAATTCCTATTGGTTTTTCATTAGTACATTCCGACGACGAGACAGAAGTGTACCTATTGAACATATTGCTCGTTTTATATAAGAATTGTAAGCTTCATTTAGCTATTCTGTCAATGATTGTAAATAGAAAATTAATCAATATTTTATTAACAAATACTATTAGTAAAAGTATACATTCAGTTGTGACTATTGAATAAATTGGAAATCTAATATTGGAGATTCGATTTACACGTAATCAACCATAAACTACCCATCAGTCCCAACCGTACTTTTCAAACATTGTGTCAAACATGAGATTTTCATGAAACATTATTTTCCATAGATGTCACAATATGTTTATAGCAATCAGCTGATCCTCGTCATCATTATAGTGGCATTCAGTGAAGTCCAATGACGGTTGAATAGAGTGGATGTGTATGACGGGTATATGACTGGCCTAAATGGATCGTTTATCTTTTTACTCTTTTATTTCTTTTTCGCTTTCTTTGTAGATTCACATTAGTCTACGCCGTTATTTTTTTCATTGTCTTAGTTCTCCAAACAATTGATCGATAATCACGGTGCCATGGCAAATCAAGGCCCGTATAATTATTCATATATTTTCAAATATATTATTATCGGTGATATGGGTGTTGGAAAGAGCTGTCTACTACATCAATTCACAGAGAAAAAGGTTTGTTATCATTCATCACGAAGTCAGACGATTCATATGCAGTATTATCACATGTAAATAGTTCATGGCCGATTGTCCACACACCATTGGGGTAGAGTTTGGTACGCGTATCATTGAAGTCAATGGACAAAAAATCAAATTACAAATATGGTACATCGTCATAAAATCTTTTAAATACCGTCTCTGATAAGTTTCGTTGTTTTCTTTTCATAGGGACACCGCTGGTCAAGAACGATTTCGTGCTGTTACACGTGAGTGATTTGTTTTGAAGGAAATGCATGATCAATGTTTCGTTTTTGTTTTTCAAGGTTCATACTATCGTGGTGCAGCTGGCGCTCTCATGGTCTACGATATAACTCGACGTGCCACTTACAATCATCTAAGCGGATGGTTAACGGATGCAAGAAGTCTGACTAATCCAAATACAGTTATTTTTCTTATCGGTAACAAAGGTGATTTGGATGGTCAACGCGAAGTAACCTACGATGAAGCAAAACGATTCGCTGATGAAAATGATTTACTCTTTCTTGAAACATCCGCTAAAACAGGTGATCATGTAGAAGATGCATTTATCGAAACCGCTCGAAAAATCTACCAAAATATTCAAGATGGTTCACTAGACTTGAATGCTGCCGAATCAGGTGTTCAACCTAAGCCATCTGCTAATCCTCGATCGGCGAATGGTACGGTTGGTCTGGACGGAACCGGGCAGAGTGGTGATTCGAAATGTCAATGTTAACAAAAAAAAAGAAGTTCCTTTTTTAAATTTTTAATTCTTATCGATGGAGAGAAAAAGCGTCATATTAGCAATGATGAACTTATCTCGTTCTCAAAATCGATTCAAATTTCTTCTTCTTCTTTTTCTTTTTTTTTACATCGTAATTGTCGGTACTCTTATTTTTCTTCACCTGTACATTGTGTGTGTGTGGTTTTCTCTTTCTCTTCTTGCGGTTCATTCTTGATTGTTTGTCTTTTGATCGTCATTATCATTTCCAGAAAACAGAAAAAATTAAACGCCTATCCAAAAACTTTGATGCAGCGCGCGCACACACACACACATAAACACACTCGTATACATATATACATATATATATAAATATAAATACAATATTATCTATATCTATTCGGTGTTTTTAGATTAAAAAAAGCGATTTCGAATTTTCACATCGTAAGGGTAGTGGATGATTGCATTTATGCAATTGTTTTCGAAGATTATAACGAAATGATTAACTCTAGGTATATCAATCTGTGATCTGATTCATGAACTCACTCTAGTAACAAAGTTGACGGAGTGTGTCAGTCATTATTTTTGCACACGATCTGTCATATTGTATCTTCTGCTTCAGTGATGATACTTGCCTCAGGAGTTTTCGCCTATTCATGAAATATGTTGTCAACTAAACTGATAAACATATATGAGAGAATGTTCTCTCAATTCTTGTCATCAGATTCGGCTAGCTACTTATTTTACGGCTATGTATGTCTGTACACGCCTGTCCTAATATTTAAAAGGTTGTGCGGTTCTTTCGCTCCATGCGTCGAGTACTCGATGGATATAGTAATCGGTATTAGTAAACGGATGTGTGTCTGTGTGAGGTAATCAACTACTGCTATATGTAACTAGGCAAACAGAATGTATTTGAAACATGTTTAATGTATGGGTTTTTCCTAAAATAATATCTGCTAACACCGACCAACTATGGTGTTCTTGTTTACGTTCATCATTTTATTCACATTTAGCTATATGTCCTTCTCATCCATTTGTCCGGTTGTATCGTCCTGGTGCATATGCTTTAATGTATACAAAAAAAAACGAGGAAAATGACAGCATTTTCAATAAAGTAGACAAACACACAAACAAACAAACAAACAAACAAACAAAAAGTAAAGGAAAGAAGCAGTGGATGACTTTTGAAAGACAAGAATTGTTTTTTGTACTGACGATGTTCTCGCGCCATAGAATATCAAATTCATATAAAACAAATAAGGAAAAAAGCAAGCAGAAAACACACACACGCACACATATCCAATCGTTGCAACTGTTCAAATCAAAGTTAAATAAACACACACAGATAGAGAAAGAGAGAGGAAAAAAATCATCCGTTCATCTTTATTTTATTACTGCTGTTGTGGTTGTTGTTGTTGTTGTTGTTGTTGGACTTTATAATTCTCATCAGGAGCGGCTGATGATTTGTTGTAATATGAGCCGCCACTTCGTCGTGGATTGTTTCCGTTACCGCGATATCCACCACGGCCTCCTCCACGGTTCACTCCATTTCGTGATGGATAGTTATTTCGACCCCCACCTTGTGCGCCATTGTTTGCATTTCCTTGATAGTTTTTCTGAGTTTTTGGTTCGATGTTCAATCGAACATTTTGATATTCTACATGCTCTAACTGAACAACACTTGCTGCAACATCTGAATCTTCAAAAACGACGAACCCATAATTCTGTTCAAGGAAAAAAAACAACCAGTCGTACGGATGGGTTTTTAGTAATCAAGCAATGTACCTTTTTTCCATCGCTCGATGGTTGACGGATTTTGGCTTCACGAACACGACCAAACTGCGAAAAACATTCAACTAATGTTTCATTGGTAAACTCAGCTGGTAAGGATCCAACGAAAACTTGATTGCCATTAGATACTGCTGAGTTACCGCCTGAGCGGCGAGCAGTATTTTGATCGTACGGTGCATTCGAATCGCCCCATTGAGCGCCGCGACTATTGTTTTGATAGAAATTAGCACTGCCTCGTTGTTGGTTAGTCGATGGTTTACTACCAGTTGTTGGACGTGTTGTATTTGTTTGCTGAACTGGTGGTGATGGAACTGGACCAGGTGGTGTTGAAGTTGGTACTACACCTGTTGATGAGTTCAATTTAGCAATGCCAGCGTAGGATGCACCTTCCGTTGGTGCTGTTGTTGGCTTTGCGAGTTGTTGACTTTCTTGAGTATTTGGTTGTTGTTGTTGTTGACCATTGAAACTAACTGTATTATTCAGGCCATTTCTATGGAAAATATTTGATTTATGGCATATAGATCCTTGGTACACTTACATCGGTATTTCTGGCTGTGCAGGCTGTTGTTGCTGTCTAGCCGGTTGATTTGGAATGACCTGTTGTTGCTGTTGTTGTTGTTGTTGTTGTTGTTGTTGTTGACTACCAGTATTACGTGGAGGTAGTTGTGCGTGTTGTGGTTCTTCAACCGGTGGTCGTGGTGGAGCTGCTGCCACTGGTAATGGCTGTGTGCCGGCAGCTGATGAATCGGCATTTGAAACCTTATCCTAAACCATTAACATTTCTATAGTACTCTCTTAATCCCTTTTTAATATCCTAGTTACCGTATCACCATAGATTTGTGAACTAGAACCATCATCTTCGTCAGAGCCATCATCAAAAACTTCATCTTGATAGCGAAAGATATCGTTTTGTACGTAGTACTTCTTTGGTTGTCGTGGTGCTAATACGAATGTTTGCATAAAACGACGCATTGGATCACCATTGTTCGATAGTTCGCCGGTGACCTGGACGACAACGCCATTACCAATAGTCGGATGAGAATCAACCTGGCGAATCTTAGCGTGACAGTCACGTAAGCTAAGACCATCAATTCGTCGAGCAATATCTTCTGGACCAACGGCTGGTTGTTCGATTGAACCTGGACGATCAACACCACCATGAATAAATGTACTATCCGTTGAATAAAATCTTTCATAATCGTAAACAAGAATAAGTACACGAAAAAGTTAATTGAAAAAAAAAACAACAACTTACCGATGAAGTAGGTGAGGAGCTTGATGTAATAATGTGTAATATTGATGAACGAATGCACGACCCACCTGGAAAAGTCAAGAAAAAAATCATTTCACAATCAATCGAAAGAAACGCAAGAAATTTGTGAAATTTACATCGAATGGGGTGGGACTTGTTTGCACCATATTGTTAGTTAGATAAAGAGACTGAATGGAATGAGATCTAGAAGAAAAATGTCATCATTTGATTTCTAAAGCGAATGTATCTGGAAGGAAGAACAACAATGAACGAACCATCAATCGATGTACTGCTAATAACCTAAGGAAAGTTAGCAATAAAATGAGAGGTTGACTAAACAAACACCATGGCAGTACTCAACAAAATACTTGTGCAGTCAAAAATATATTAGATGTCGCTAGTGATCGTTCGTCACAAGCAAATATCCTTTCGAAGATGTTTTCTAGCTGTCTTCTGTCTTTGAGTTTCCAATTTAATTGAATCTTTGCTACTGAAAAACGATGATTTGATCGAAATTATTTGAGATTATCTGCATAACAGATAAGCTTGTTTGTATAGTTTCTTGTATTCCCAGAAATATAAAACTAGATGACTGTGATATGAGAGAGAGTATCGAAAAAACAATGGTTCATATAATCCATTCAATATTAGAATTTTTACGAGACAAATTGTTTTTAAAATACTCCTGCTTATATATATACAAACATTAGAACACGATCAGCGCGGTGGGCGATCATCAAAAGCTAGACAAGTTGCTGGTTTCTGATGTCCTATATATTCCTTCTCGACAGTACCAGTATCGGTTGACCATAAACGGCCTTTCCCATCAGAGCATACTAAAATTGAATTAAAAACGTACAAAGAAACGACCGTAGATTCGACAAACCTGTGACAAGATAAAGCGAATCCGATGTGAACGCACAGTCCCACACCCAGTTTTGTAAGCGATCATGTTTTAACTCATACTGACAATTAAAATCTGATGTACGCCATATTTTAGCTGTACCATCAGCTGACGTTGTTGCTAATAACCTAAAAGCAGCGAATTCGATTGCTTATGGCTCGAACACGTTTAGCTCACGTCATATCAGGCGAAAATAAACATCTCAAAGCATAACGCTGGTGTGCTCGAAACCTCGTGCGACGATGCAGATGTGTTTGCGCAGCAAAACCAGACATAGACCAAATGTGACAGTAGCCCTACGAATAGATAGTTCATATGAAGCCCAGCGATTATGTATTGAGATCGCATACATTGCTGTTTACAGCAGCCATCATTGATGCATCACGATTGATGGAAATCGATCGTATAGCACTTGGATCGTTGGCATCAATGGTCTATGAAAGAAGAACTTGGTGAGAAAATGAAGACTATTCAATAGAAGGCTCTTACGTATGTTTCGTGTTTATCACCAGCCATATCCCATCGATGAATCGTTCCATCCTGATCGCCAATTAGTAGTTCTGTCTTGAACAATAAATAATAGTTAACGTGGCGAAGAATGTTTTATCAGAATAAAAATCCCACCTGATTCGGATGAAGTGTAACACAATTAACAGACGCACTGACTGTTGTCTGCCGAGATGCTTTTGTTCTTGCCGATCTACGACATTCCAATGTAATCATGAATAACTCAATTCAATCTTTGTTCAAACCTCATATCCCAAATTCTCACACAATGATCTTCTCCGCCAGAAAACATAAAGTTTTTCTCGTCGCTAAAACCCAATGTTACGATATTCTTTTGTAGTTGATCTAATTTCATTACGGGATTTGGATTGTTCGACATTAAATCATACATCTTTATATGCTGATGACTTCCAGCAGCCAACAAAGTCTTCTGGGGATGTATCGCTAAACAATTTGTAGGCTGAAAAGAACAATAACATGAGTCTCTCTGTCGATAATTCTTTTCGAGTCATCTTACGGAATCCTCATGCATAATCGTACGATATACAGCCGTGCTGTATGCACCCCAAAACCGTATTGTGCGATCATAGCCAGCAGTTATTAATAATACATTGTCATTCGCTGTTGACATCGACGAATTAATGATAAAAATAAAATAATCTAGAATTGTTCACTTACGGTCAAACCGGAAGGTCAATTTCAAACTCTCATGTTTCTTATCTGTAAATAGAAAGGAAAACAAACAAATATAATCATAACAAGCTGGATTCTGTTTTATACAAAAAATATAAACAACATTACAAAGTGTCGTTCTTTGATGTTTTCAAAAAATCCTTTGCCTTATCACTTAGTTTTCTGGAAAATGTTCGGGTATCTGGACTTTTTATTCCTGTTATCGGAGGTGGCGGCAATTGAGGTAAATATAATTTATGAAGAATAAATTCTAAGCCAAGACTGGCTAACTCTTGATTCTTTTTATAACGCTGAATAGCGAATGTTTCTAGAGTTGTCTTAAAACCGAATAATTCTCCTTGAGTAGTCACTGTTTTTTCGCAGATTGTTCGTGATTCATCAGTTTTATCTGGACGATATACACACTTTTCTTCTACTGTCTAGAATTTGGAAATGATGCACACAATCCAGGCTTTGTTTTTTGCTTAAAGAAATGTTTCTCACCATCAGCGATTTCAAATTAATATTGATCGTTGATGTAGTGAATATTTTCGCTTTCAGATCACAAATCGACTCTTCAACAATGAATCCGATTGTTGACGCTGAGCCTCGACTGAATATTCGTTCACCCCAACGAGGTAGTTTGTTCGTTTTAGCTAGTAAACGTTTCGAAATTAAGATTTGATCTTTAGTCAACGTTCGATAATACGTATCTTCAGATAAAACATGACCTCTACATGATAAAAAGAGAATACTTAAAAGAATGTGGCGGAGAAAAACAACAAAACGAATGTCTACGTGTATGGGTTTGGAAATTTCTGCCAAAAACCACTCACGACTTGATCCCATGGAAATGTGTACAACCATTGAGTAACAAACGTCTTCACCATTTGATGTTGAACACAAGTTGATTAGCTTTTTCGTTCATAAAATACAGCGAGTTGTTCTCGCCAGAATCTGGAAGCAAGAAGATGAGAAAACGATAATAAACGAATAGAAAGAGATAACCGATAGATGGTGATAGTGTTCAGTATAGAAAAACACAAGTCTATATAGTTTATGTTTTATTCTGCTGGCATAGACAATTGAATTTATTCTTTATGCAAAATATCATGACAAAAAATATTCGCTAGTTTAAATACTTTGTATGAATTTCTTTAAGAAATAAAAAGAATGTGCTGTGGACTTTGAACATGCGCTAGCTGTGAGACAAATTGAAAAGAACCATCATTTGGATTGTATGAAAAACATATTAAATTGTTCGATTTTTCATTTGCAACAAGCAAGTATTTGCCTGTTGGATCGAAGGTAAAATATCGCGGACCGGAACCTTGAATGCTAAGGTGCTCTTTAATGCTTAAGACATTCTCTGAACTATCACTCAAATTGTAAATGACGAGATTTTCATCTCCACGATTGGAAACAAGTAGATATTTCTTATCGGGCGAAATTTGAACTTCAGCTGGAGTGTTTTCTTTGGTCGAATCTAGAAGAGCACGTCCGTAGAAAAACCTTCTTAACAGATTTACTAATCTCGATTACTTTTCTCATCATCTGAACGTCTTGTGGTGATAGTTTGTTGGAGCTGAAGTTTACCGAGAGTTGCATCGGTTCGATAAACACATGTTGTAGAATTTAATTCATTACAAACAAATGCTAATGGTTTATCAGGATGAAAAAATAAGTGTCGCGGACCAGCACCAGCTTGAGTACGAATTCGACTATGAAGTAAACTCATTTCGCCAGTAGCATCATCAAAACGGTAAATATTTATGGTATCTGTTCCTAAATCGACTCCGTAGAGATAATTTCCGTAGAACTGCACTTGGTGGCAATGTGAGTGATCTTGACGGTCGGGATGCGGACCATGTCCATCGACCGTTTCTACTTGTGCAGCTTTTTCTTCTGGATAGCGAGATTTGTTCAACGGTAACAGAGCAAAGCTCGCTGAACCAAGTCCACCGTAGCTAAACAGAATTAGATGAATACATGGTGCTCATTTCCGCATGTCATTTTCAAACAAACTTCGCTACGGCAAGCCATTTCTTCGTTGGATCCAAAGCAAGTGAACAGGGTGTACTTCCTTTGGATGAAATCGTATTCTTTGACGTTAATATCCCTTGAATTCGATCATCGATAGTGAAAGTTTCTATCTTATCTTCTTGTTCATTGACAACATAGAGAAGATCATCATTGTCAAGTAACCATGATGGACCTTTTCCACTCTTATTTTCATGAAGTAATTCTAGTTGACCATTGACTGTTAATCGACATGCATAGATCGTTTCACTACCAGTACCAATGAGAAATGTTTGATTCGACATGACAATTCGGATTGTTTATCTGAAATATCCTTGTCCTAGGCAAATCTTTAAGATCAGTGATTAGTTATACTCATTATAGAGTGTTAGCGTTTTCTGTTTATTTAATAATCGAAAAAAGTATGTCGTTTGATTGTTGTTCTACTCTTAATGGATAAAAACAAAGAATTGCTTCTAGTATATACAAACATTCGTTCGATCCGTTTTAATGCAACATTAATCTACAAGCATATTCTCGTTTGTTGAAGCCGGTGATGCTGAACTTGCTCCTTGACTCAGTGGTAATGTATAAAGTCCATTTGTATATAACAGCTGATTAGATTTCACTTCGGCATCGAGAATATTCCGTACGTCAATTAATGTTCGTTCGTGTTGACCATGAAACGTGTAAACACACAGTAACGAGTAGATTCTTTCTAATGTTAGTGATGTCATCGAACGAAGCATACCGAAGACAAAATTGCGCACAATCTAAATGAGAGAATTTACTGAAATAAGGAGCACGAAAGAGAAACTGACTGTGTGTTCGTGTTCTTTTTTATCTGGCTCAGCTTGATGTTCAACATTCATGTCATCGACATCTACACCCAGCAGTGCAGGTGCTTGAGAAGAGTTGTTCGAGGCGACTTTTGATGTATCTTCAACTAGACGAAAGGTGTCTTTTGCTTCTTCTTTCAGTAAACCACAGTTTTGCCAGAGATTGATACGTTTACGTATACAAGCCGTGGAGCATTTCAATGAAGAACTTAAATCAGCAATTGTCCATGTATCTGAAAAAGCAAAAGCTTTTCTGTGAAAATCATCGAGCTAACTTACCTTTATCTTGAAATTTATAAATAATCGCCGCATGAAATGGTGTGACACTGAACTCTAATGTTTTTCCGCCGATTTCGATTTCAATATCAACTTGCCCTATAGCCCAAATTGAAAGAAAACAAGACCATAATGAACAGTTGGAGTTTTACCATAATTCGGACTCCAATGTAGCGTTCGGTGTGGTTTCAATGTTTCATACGCTGTTGTATACGCTTTCTGAATTGCTTTCAACTCATCCGGTAGATCAATTGGTGAAAACTTCACTTCCGGCCAGTATTGACTCGAGATTATCAGTGTTTTGATTGGCACACCGACTGTACTAACCAGTGGAAAGTTAGCATTAGCTAATTCCTTGTTGATTAAATCATTCATATGACGGGAATCAACGTAATCTTTGAGCATAACATCGCACCCTTGCAGGCCACCATCGCCAAAACGTTGTTTCAGCAGATCGACATAGCGACCTTCATGATCGATATCGACTTTATTCGATTGACCAGATAGCATACGGTCAGCTAGCATATGAACATATTCTTCGACGAATAATTCCGCATGTCCATAGATTGAGACGAGCATGGACATCAGATCACGGGAATGAGAAGGTCGAAGAGCACGTTCGGGAGCTACAATGCAGTCGAATTGTATTCGAGATTAACTACATTTTCTGATCGAAACTAACCCGACAATGCTTCAATAGGTTCTGGTTCCCATTCATCTTCAAGAAGTGCTTGACTCGATCGAACATGTCCACCATTCTCACCTGCGATAGCAATGAACAATTCTTGTTTCAATCAGAAGAAAAGAAAATGATCAAACCTTGCGTCAATTCATCTAATTCTAACACATCGTGTTCATTCATATTGCTAACAATCACACGAATGGTATCTTCACGACGTGCAAGAAACTGTTTCACATTGTGACATGCCAATTCCATCATCACACCCGTCGAATCCAAGTATCGTAAAACCCGTATTGCATTAATAAACGCTGCTAGAATATCCGTTGTACCGACACCAGGATGTAACAAACGTTTGTTAAATTCATTTCGGACGTTATCAATGATCAGATGACGTTTACCCACAATCGATACGCAACGTTTTAGGTCGTCTAATACTCCGCCGTGCCGTGATTCAGGATAATCGACAATGATTTGAAACATATGACGAGCACCTCGTTCGCGCATAACACATTCGTAGATATGATGTTTTAATTCCGTTCGACACAACGATAAATCAATTTGAAATGAGGACTGATGTTTATCATCATGTTTCTCTTGATCAGTCTTGCAATGAGATTCAAGAATACTCAACCATGTTACAACTCCACTCTCGAACCACTGTAAAAAAGAAAAGATAAAACGACCGACCGATTTCTTTCAGAGATTCTTCTACCTGTTCTAAATGCGGTAAACAAGCATGCGAGGAGTACTGCTCGCAGATTTGCTTGATAAAATTCGTAATACGATTTCGACACGCTGGTAGTGCTGCATTTTGACAAACACGCGAAAGAAGACCAAGACGTTTTCTGAAATACAAGCGAACAAATTCAAGTCATTGGGCGAAGTTCTTATCTTACAAAATCAAAAGAATAATTTCGAATTGCTCTTGTAATTCAACACATTTACACGCCAATGACAGTGACAATTTACAAAATGAACATGTCGTTGTATCTAGATATGAAGAAAACCAACGTTTATCGGCGAAAAAGAAAAGATGGTCACAACCAAACCTTTCAGTAGTTCAGCACAAGCAACTCGAGCGTGTTGAGCGGCATACGCTGCTAGATAATATTCGAATATATCGATGAACTTCATGTAAAATGTTGATTTAATTATATTTGTTGTGTGCAAGAGTTGCTGTTTAACAGCATTGTACGGCAATTGAATTATAAATTCTTCGATATTGAATAATTGAAAATGATATTGACTGTCCAACGTTTGTGCTAAACTTTTTAAATAGGTTTCAATATCAATTAATTGCTTATGGAAGTGTATAAACGCAAGATGGCACGTGTTCATTTGTTGACTGGACGTTTGTTCGATAGTTAGAAGAAATTGCGAGAGGTAATTATCTCGAACAAGAGTTAAGAGACCGGCTTTGATAACCGGATGGATTAACTCAAATTCATTGGATATAATCAGATCATTTATGATTGTATTCAAACGATCCATGAGAGGTTCTCGTTCTATTTCTAACAAAAAAATAAAACGAAAAAGCATTAGTATGGATATTTGAAATGGAAAAAGCACCGATATGTTTATTAAGTTGAGAAAAAGAAAATATGTCACTGTACATTACACATGAAATGAAAAGAAAGTAAGACAAGGAATATTCTAATGAAGAAAATCCTGATTGTAATTATGAATACGCTGTTCAAGCGATTGCTGTTGACTATTCGTTTCGAACCATGTCACTATCGATGTTTCGGCGTTCATAGGTCCTTCTAATTGTTCAAAGCTGAGTGTCCACTCGTTAGTTGTCTCTTCCGAATGCGAACCTTCGGTTTCTAATCCTCGATAAGGTTTACTCATTTCGCCTGCAAAATAAAACGGAATGTGTAAATTTGAGGATAGGAGCAAACGAATACAATCATCAAACCTGTTTTTAGGAGAATCGTGCTGGATGTGGTCAATGCTCGGAGGAGATCTTCATCATCAGTGTCGCTTGTCATTAAATTGTACATGGATTTGCATAAATGTATGAATTCAGTCTAGAAGAAGCAAGAAGTTTTACGAAAGTTTGGTTAGAGATTTACTTGATTCATCAACGGTAGTTGACTTGGTTTAGGCTTAGGATTCTCTGCTTCTTTGACTTCATCGGTTGTTAACTGTTCTTCAGTTGATACAGATGAATCTTCTTGTTTAGGAGGTATGTTTAGCGGTGTTAGATGTGCGGATGGCAATTCTAGTAAACTTGCAACAGCTGTGCTTCGTCGTTTTTCGTCTAAAGTATTCACTCATTTTTCTTGACTATTTGCTTTAGTCTTCTTACCTTTGAGGTGACTAACAAATAAAAGTTTTAGTTTCTCTTTAAAATCTTCATTTAGTAGAATATTCCATAAACGAATAAAATTAATAAAATCCATTTCATTCGAATTTGTCGACGTGCAAAGTGCCTAAAAAGCAATGACAATTTCAATTCCCATCCAATCCCGTTCGTTCTGACTTACATCAAACAATGTGTTCGCCAAGTCCTCCGGATGTTCACCAATGAACCACGGGGATAGATATTTACATAAAAGTAGATAATCCGCTCGACCGATACGATATGTTTCATAAGGCAATTTTCTTGGATCACTAGTTTCACTCAATGATATACGCGATGCATCCTAGAAATTCCTCACAGTATTTCTTTCCGTCGATTCTTGAACGAATGAATCTTACTCGAAAAACATAAAAAAGATCTTTGATTTGATCTTCATTAAATAATGTATATTTCAACGTATTCTTTGCGGCTGATTGTAAAATAGTCTCTCCCATGGTCTGGACGACCTTTAGACGATGCTTCAGACGTAAGCGATTGATATCTTCTTCGTTGATACGATTGTAATTCATATAGGACTGTTTAATTAAACTGATGATTTTCTTTTCGCTCTCATTATCATCAGTTATTCCATCTAGGTAACCTGTTAAAACCATAATCGCGTCTCCGTCATCTTGACATTCCAATAATCGTTCTTCATTTTCTTTTAATATAGTCAAAGCTAACTGAAAAAGAACTTTAATACCATCATAGAAGAATATATCCATAACATAGAGTGCAGATTCAAACGGCATAACACTAAATCAAATGCACTCAATTAACGTCATGCCAAATCGGATTATCTTACCAGATAAATAAGGTTAAGAACCACGAAAGACTGATGCAAGCAGCAACACCTAGATTTTTTAATTTCTCATATAAATTCGGTAGATATTCATTGCAGTAATCGTTGAACACGCCTTGATCAATCAACGCGCCAACAACTTTTGTGTTGTAATAATCCGGCAAAAGTCGTTCACATAGTGCTGCTAATGTCCAAAATGCGTCTTCTTCATTCATATAGAGTAACAAAACTCCGCCGATAATGTTCATTGCTTGACAGTAACCTGGGAAGAATATGAACAGAAAATACATTCTATGCAGAAGATTCCGGTTACATACCAACATCGGTATTATGACAAGCATATGCTCTTAATAATCTTCTTAGAGCGCTGATACCTGATTCCTGTTGAAAAGCTTTTTGATCAGGTAAAGCTCGGTAGAGATCACGTTCAATTTCATCGTTCGTTGAACCATGAATCGCTTTAACAAGCGATGATTCATGAACTAATTTCAAATAAACGTTTGGATTTGCCGCTTTCTATATACGACATGGGAGAGATAAGAGAAACGAATGAACTTCTAGCACGTTTTACTCACGTCATGTATTGCACCACTGAACACTAGCCACAGTTCATTTCGTAATGAATCGGGTATACCTTGAAAGATTAACTCGTACAGCTCGTTCGTTCGATACATGATCAATGGTCTTCCATAATTGAGAAAATGTGTATTCCACGAAGCCTCCTTGCTCTTCTCAACTGCTAAGCGTTCATCGGTATAATTACTATTAAATTGCAAATAAAGAGGTATAGAAAGTTCTAGAAGAAAATGTGCTATATGGTTGAGAGAACATGTCATGTCAATCAGTAACTAACCGATTGTAGGTGGTTCAACACTCGGTGGTAGAACTTCCTGGTATTGTGATAACATCTGCGATAATTTATTGAAAACAAATTCTCGATCATCGAATTGTGAAAACACGAATTTTCCTCCCTAAAACAACCATGTGTCAATGGCATCTTTGTATCAAAACAAGAATCTCTTACTTCTTGCTTCATTGCTATAAATATTGCTGAATCCATATCAATCTCCGACTTAATCGCTTGATCAGACTTCTTTTCGACAAGATTGATATCACGAAATGGAATGATTAAATTCACTTGATGATAAACCTACTTATTCGTTCATGAATAGTATTGAAGTGCTTTTTGTGAATCTTACTCGACTAGCAAAGCAGACAAAATTTGTTGAGATGTAAAGTTTACCGGAAACGTGCGACTGATTGTAGGGTGTCCACAGTTGGCAGGTAACTTCACCATCTAATCGTTCGTTTGATGGTAAACGAAATCGACAACGATAGAGTTCGCTGCGTGTTTTTGCATCGAGATCACGTTTCAGTTGGGAGATCACTTTCGGAGCGGTTTTCCTAAGAATATAATTCGAGAAGCCAGAATTTTCATCCGATGATTTACTTTGTAACAACTGGAAAAAATTCTTCTTCACGAAAAGCACCTTTTTCTGATAATAACCTATGCAAACAACGAAACATGATGTTTTCCAACTTTCGATTCAAAATTCTGATTTGCCAGTACTTTTTCGCTGCAAAATTAGCCAACTGTTCCATCATTTGATATGTTTCTTCAATATTTCGAAACATCGAAAAGTCATGTACATGAAATCGTGTGCCGACACGAATTGTTTCAGTCACATATGCTTGTAAACGTTCCAATGACTACAATCATCAAACAAACTCCACATTTGCTCAAAGTTTAATTTCCTACGAACAGTTATGTCAGTAAATTTCAATACGATCGTGATATCCTTGCCAAGTAAATATGAATAAAAACATAAATAATTCACGGACAGATACAGCCAACCTTGTCGAGGCACACGACCACGCCAATATGAACAGGCATAATCTAGAACGAGCACGCGAACTGAAATTAATTGGGCATTCTTGGAAAATTCATACTGACATGTGACGAGTTTTTCATCAGCGGGAACATTGAATAATTTATGAAACTTTTTTGTGGCGTTTTTGAATTTGTCTGATTCGAAATCTACACAGATATGTCGAAGGTAACTAACGAGAGAAGCACAGTCTCTTACCATCGATTTCATCTTCGTCAGCTTGTGCGCATAAACTTTTGATTTTGGATTGAACATAATCTGTGACATCAACCCCACCGTCGATTTTTCCTGCAATTGCATTCGTCAACGATTACGAAACATTTGAAAAGCGCAATCCTACCAAGTGCAGGCATCATATGCTCTTCCAGCCATTGCCAATGCTCTTCGATTTCTTCTTTGGTATCGGCTTCAGCAATTACTAAAATATCAAGTGCAGATGCAATTTCATTTTTGTTTGTGCTATTATTTACAATGATAAACTTCGGAATCCGGTCGTTGATGGAGAATACGATACCGATTCGTCTACAGAAGTCGATTGCGAAGAAGTGCTTTCGATAAACAGATATGTTTACTTTGCTGTCAAATACAGAATCGAGCGTCGCGACGAACATACTGGTAAAACCACCATGTTCCTCATCATGACCTCGACGACGTTGTAACGCAAAATAAGGATTTGCTCGATCAGTCGACCTGTTGAAACTCAAATAAATATCGGATTTTAAAAGCCGAAACAAAATTACCAAAATCCTGTGACCTGTGATAGAAAGAAAAGCAAACACACATAATTAAAATTCAGTTCAAATTTAAAAAAATAAGCAAATCATTTACCAAAACTTCGGATGGTTTCACCCACATTGTCGAGTTAAGACAATGAAAAAATAATGCGGAATAGTCGACCAACCAACAACACGCTTACAGATGATCGATATGATACGAGTACTCAATCAACCAATCGTCACTCTTTGAAAATTATCCTACAAATTAGTGCTACTAATTCGATTTTATTGATAACTATATCTGAAATACGCTGAAACTGCTTTTCCAATTGATTAGATTCTAACATTGACTGTAGCGCTAAGATGATTATTACGTAGTGCGCGTCGTCAATATTGATTAAGTATACCTGTAAATGCCTGCCTAGTTAATCGATTATATATGTAAAAATATATTCAATATGGTGCTAAAATATGATGCTTTCCACATATGAAAGAGGTTTTATTCAGTAAAACACTCGAATAAAATGATTCATTGTCATGTGAAGATAAGATACTTTTCGCAGGCGAATATTATAGCGACTCAACTCAATCTTACGGAAATACATATTTTCAATTATGATAAACGCATTGAGACTAAATCAACGATTGAAGTCAAAGTAAAATCTTTTTTTTTTCATATCAGTTTCAATATTTGTACTAAAGCAAAAGTCCAATGTGCGCGTTTTTCCCCAATCATCAAGATAATTTCATTAATTGGTCATTTGACTAATACACGTATGAGAACATGCGCATAATCTTTATCTTCGGTCACATCGTGTTCACTTTATCGAACAGCATCTATTTCTTTTGCATAGATAATAATGATTCATTGCATGCCTGTGCACTACTTTATCTCGAACGAATATAACATATGCGTGTCATTTCGATTGGTAGAGGCGACAGTTTTGTTTATTCTCTCAGTCCAAGTTCATTTTCTCTACTCTAGATATGGGTCGTTGTGTTAAATTCCTTTTTAGTACATTTGCAATTATCATAGCTATACTTGCCATTGGCATTGGTTACTTGAAAGTCGATGATGTTTTCCGAGAGCAACGTAATTACAACTTAAAGTTTACTCATTAGTATCATTGCTATTATTTAATCATTTCTAGTTTTTGCGAGAGTCTTAAATATGATGTCAAATCCAAACAATGTAGCCATGATGGATCTTCGATGTAATCAATTATTAAAACATTCCAATGTGAAAGGTCATATTCTCGAAATTGGCTCCGGCACAGGTATCAATCTTCCATGTCTACATAACAACACTAATATTGAGTCATACACTGGCATCGAACCAAATGTGTATACACATCCGTATTTTTACAAATTAGTCGAACAATACGATGACATTTCGTACAATATTCGTCTGTCAAACGATTCTGCTGCTGATATGAAAGAAATACCATCGGATAGTATCGATACAGTGATTATGACATTCGTTTTGTGTAGTATACCTGATCCTATACCAGACAAGGTTCTTCGCGAAGTCCATCGAATATTAAAACCGGGTGGAAAATTTCTGTTTTTCGAACACACATTAGCTCATCCTGAAAAGAATCCCCTGATTTATCAATTTCAACGAACAATCGAACCTGTTTGGGAAATCATCGGCAATGGATGTCGATTCAAACCAATCACAAATTACTTCGATGCAATGAAATCACTCTATTCCAAAGTCGAGTATAAATCCATCGCGTTACCTGTGCCAATGTTCTTCGTCAAAGACGGTGTTCGAGGACAGTTGATTAAATGACGTTTGCTTGCATTCTGTAGCGTTTTAGAAAGAAAAATAAAAGCTGGAGTTCCTACGCAGAACTAATCGTTGATTAAAACTGCGAAGGGTACAAAATGATAAATACACATGTCGGCAAATTGCATTTCTGTCGTTCATATTTTATTTAGTGTTTCATGAAAGTATTAAAAGAAAAAATAAGTGTGCCACGACAGACAAAAGACATTCTCTTCAACTCTTCATCATTTATTGTCTATTATTTCTCAAGTGTAAATACATTAATTCCATATGTATTCAAGATATTACTCCATCTATTTTTACTTCCTCATTCAGTATCTTCTAAATTTCTTCATGGAGCCAAAAAAAAGATCACGATGTTTCTAACTTTTGTAATGAAGTGTTCCAGTTTCTAATGCAAGGCGTTGAAAGGGACAGTCTTGGAAGCAAAATGTTCTGATTTGTTTCGCTTATCGAGGATGTACCTAGCGTCTGCGCACGATCTATTCGTTTCGTTCGCACACATTGTTTTTGTTGTTGTTGTTGTTGTTGTTGCTGCTGCTGCTGTTGCAAACTCATCGTTGCTAATCGACGACTATTATTCATATTGGCTGGTTCATTCCAATTAACCCAGAATAATAGAAATATCCACGGATCTATCGATGAAGGAGCAACAGCTGCTCCGCCTGCTAACGCTAATATCAAGTCGGAAGTTCTTCGACCTGTATAAGCTGTATATAATTCTAGACAATAGTATGGTGCACCAAATACGATCATGAATAAAACAAGAACAATGATCTAAATATGAAAGAGAGCGCGATATGAGTTGCAGATCGAATGCATATGCATACCATGCGAAATGTTTTCGAGCGAGCTTTCGCGTAGGTATTCGCTCGTTGTTGTGCAAGATGATTCTCGTTGAACAAAGATTTCATCTCGCTTTTCTGAGCAGATATTTTCGTAAATGGATTCAATTTGTTTTTACATATCCATAAACAGCAATTACTTGACGATTGACTAGAAAATCCATTCTGTTGCTTATGTTCTCGGCAGAGTAATTTGATAAAAATTAATGTATAACAAAGGACAAGTACAAGAAATGGCAAGAAGTAAACAACGAGTGAGATAAATGTTAAATAAATACGGTGACCTGTACGTGTTGTTTGCTGATGAAAGCCTGCTGTACAAAATCGAGCGGATCCATTGACATGCAATCGAAAGATGAACACGTTCGGTGTTGATAAGAGACCTGCGAGGCCCCAAGCAGCGCCACATAAATAAAGTACCTGATCAATAAAATAATCGATAAGACATTCATCTGAATTCAACGAGGACTTACTCGAATTTTGCCAGCTTTCAACGGAGTTACTATTGCAATACAACGATCAATTGCCATTGCGACGACAATGTAGGACGATGAAAGGATTGAAAAACTTTGAAAGAATTTCACCACTCGACCTTAAATGAAGACAAAAATCAGTCGGCTTTCGTTCTTTTTTTTTGCTCTCTCGAATGTCTCAACATACAGATTAAATCACTAAATGGCCATTGTCGGTTCGTTTGAAATTCCCAATAGATCTGTATGCCAGTTGCAAAAATGTAAACAGATACATTGGCAATAATCAAATTAAGAATAATTGTACAGATTCGAACTGATCGCATATTAAATCGCGTGTAACGTATCAACCATAACAAAACTATTGAACAGCCAGCTAAGCCAACAAAAAACAACGTCGAAAGTAAAATCAATCGTGTACGACGAATATCTCGACTTGAATCGTAAGTAGTGTTGCTTGCCATTGTTTGTCTAAAAAGCATAAAAACAAATGATGTAAATCAATGTTTTCTTGAAAGGACGATGTCTTCCGCTATGAAAGTGCACTACCATCAAAAAAAGGAGAAAAAAAAGAAAATTCTATGTAATTTTGAATGTAACGAGTCGTATAAGAGGGGAAAAGAGGAAAAGTGGATTGATTATTATATTCCTCATATTCACTGATAAAACATCATATATCAATAACAAAAGTAGTATAGAGAAAAACTTGAATAGCAATATGCGAAAAACTCACAAAGCGAACGAGTGGCTCGTACCGATCTCTCATTTTCTCTCTTGTCTTTTTTTTCTTCATTAATGCTCAGTTACTTATCAGGCAGACACACATCAGAATGACTACGTCAATCCAATAAGAGAACATTTAATAGAGAGAGGGGAGAGAAAACGCGAGATATTTATTAGTATTCCGGCTGCTTTTATTTCTCTATTTAATTACTTTTAGAGTAAATGACAATTGTATCTATTCAATCGGTTAAAAATATAATGCAAATCGCTTCGAGGCATTGCAAATTCTTGACTTCCTAGACACTAGTATTTGCTCTGACATTCGGCATAGAAATATCTTTTACATTCGAGTAATTTATGTATGCATCTTCTCCTTGAATGTCTTCGTTGTGCACGAAACGTCATGAATTATTCCTCAGCTGTTTCACCGGGTGATATACGGAACTGTGTAGCAAAGAGAAAAACAAAAAAACTTGTCGTTATCTAGTTTTTCTCAGTCGAAAAACCATCTATTAGGTTTGTTAGCCGCTCTCTTCTTTTCCCAAGTTAGTTTTAATTGTCAACGCGTTCATAATTACGAAAAAAAATGCTGAAAGCTTTTAATTATCTCAGTGTATAGATGTGAAGAAATTCACTTGCTTTTGACCCCCCTCCCTCCTGTGAAATATCACGCACATCTAGATGAATAATTAAAGATCTAATGAAAAGAAGAAAAAAAAAATGAACAAAGTCCGATGTGTGGGATATTCTGAGAAAATCGAAAGAAAACACGTGTTCGTTCATCGATGAAAGTTCCCTGTTTTTCTCTAGACCCAAATATGATAAAGGCAATAAGTTATTGCATGTCAAGATCAAATCCAGGACAATGCGACTTTGAAATCTCTCAGTTACAAAAGACAGATTATTTCTTACGAGAAACTTGTCGTTGGCCGCATTTCTCTTTTCTATTTCGTCAGCGAGAGGGTGAAAGGAAAGTTTTGCAATTATCTTCATCCTCTTACATTTTCTGGCTTTAACAATGCGCTTTACCTGCACAGAATGCAAAGTCAAACGTTTCGATGGTTCGGAACAAGTTTAATCAGTTTTCGAAGAACATACTTACCTAGTAAACAGTCGATTTGTACTGTGTAAGTACATTTCCCCGCATATTATATTTAGCAGAAAACAGACGCCGACAAATGTTCAAGTCAAATAAATCTTCTAATTATTTACACTGAGTAGTTCATTAAGACTTTCGACAAAACACAAGCTATATGGTAATGAAAATGTTTTTATTTTTATAAATCATCATGTAATTATTCTAATTATTCGTCAATTTGGGAAACTGCGCTATATAATTACGGCTTGAAAGTAGCGCGAGAGTAACAATAATTGTCTAGTGATAGGTGACTATTATATCCAAGTATAATCAATCAGACAGTAATATAAATACTGTATTCTTGTCGCTACTAACTATATACTCGGAATAATTGATGAATCTATTCATCAGGATATGAGCTCAAGTAGATACAAATCGTCAATGATGATATAAAAATAGATTAATAATGGAATACCAAATTGTATCAATTGTTGATTTTTGCAGTTGAACAAATAAGCTAATGAAGTTTCCACTCACCTCCGTTGAACAAACGTTGTTTGATAATGAGTTCAAGATCTGTGCTTTCTCTTTCACTGATTCAAGTTTTAATGAATAACCTGGAAAAATGCTTGATATTTTCTAACTCAATGAGACCTAGTCACCAACCTTCACTGACATGTAAACAACGATGAACTAATTTTCTTCGAAACTCGATGCTTTCAATCTGGTACGAAAGTAAATTGTTAATTACCAAAATGTCGATATAGTCTGTAGGAAGAAACAGATCATCTGTGTCTAACCGATGTGACTGGCTTGTGATAAAAATAAGTTATGAGTGTCTTCTTCAGACATTCTTGATCATTTTTAGTCCTGAAAGTTTCTGCTGTCTACTGGCATTATTTCAAACCTCGAGGGCAAAGCATGTCGAGAGAAACTGCGTAGAAACCCGCACCTTTTCTAGAATTTAATAATAAAGTTGCCGATAGCGACTATGAAAGTCAAATACGATCAATATAAATCCAGTCCTGAACTTTCTCTGCTATACGAAGTAAGCATCAAGCAGTTCATCTGAGCTTTCGTTAGAGTATTGCATGCTAATGGCTATTCGGAACTGTCGCTGTGAGTTTCCATGAAGCAACTGTTATTTACTTATGTAAAACAAGTTATTATGTACTCATGTATGTAATTATTATAAAAGCATTGACAAGAGAGTGAATAAGTTTCATCAATCCCAAGAATAGTCAAATATCATCGGATCGAAACATTTTTAGAAACAAATATGGAGATGGTTACCACTTATAGACTTAAAATATCTCTGTTGAGAAAGTTAACGATAGGGTATATCCACAGAGAAGGGAAAAATCATCATTTCTGTTTACTGAAATCGAATGACTCATTAATAGAAATCAAATTGAAGGAAACTAATTTCGTGGTTTATTTGTCAGTATACAAGTTGTACATTTCTTTTTCTTTGTGAATAATAATTTATATTTTCAATTGCTGAGTAGTATTGGTTATGTTGACAAGAAAATTTATCGAGCTTATATGAGTAATACTACCTACATCAGTATGACAAAGTTTTGCTTCCTCAATTTTTTAGTGTATAACTACATTTTCCTACGTGCATCCGTTACGCTTCATTGAAACCATGACATAATAAATGTGTGTATATGAAAAGGATGTGATATATATTGGCGAACATTCATTCGCATTACCGGAAAGTAGGAGGCTAATATTATGGCCGAAATCATCGCAATTGGTGCGGCAGCATACCTTGGTTGGAAAGCAGCTCGAAGAGTTCATCGCGCATATAACAATGCAGTAGAAGATATGTACGTTCAGCAATCCCCAATGAGTTACTACAGTCCACCAGGTGGATATTATTCGCAACCGCCTCCATATTCACGAGAAGCTGGAAGTGCTTATCATCACCATCGCAGTGGACATTCATACAACTACCGTTGATTTTCTTTTGAGAAGTTTGTGTGATTTTAGTTTTTCATGTGTGTTAAAATTTATTCGAAAAAACCGACACAATACATATTACATTCGGAAGATGCCAAAACGTGTCTCTGGGATGGGTGCGTTCAATGAAGCACTAAGACTTAGACCTAAGACAAGTCGAGTATCGACGGGATCGATGACGCCATCGTCCCAAAGACGTGCGGACGAATAGTAGGGTGAACCTTCATGCTCGTATTTGCGAAGAATTGGTTCACGGATTTTTTGTTCTTCTTCACTGGTAAACTAAAATGTTCATGGGTAAAAGAAAATCGATAGAACTATGCTAAAGCGTAACTTACTTTCTGCCCCTGTCTTTTACGTTGCTCAGCAGTTATTTGGGTGAGAACTTGAGCTGCTTGTTCACCACCCATAACTGATATTCGTGCGTTAGGCCACATGTAGAGAAATCGTGGACTAAATATCAACAATGCATTTATCTAGTCTGTCTTGGTCGAGGTTTTTCTCCGTTTACCTATAAGATCGTCCAGCCATACCATAATTGCCAGCTCCGTAACTGCCTACAGACGAAAAGTGTGTTTTCAAAGGTAGACGACTTGATCAGCTTTTAATTCATATACCTCCGACAATGACAGTAATCTTGGGCACTTGAGCACAAGCAACAGCAGTAACTAATTTCGCACCATTTTTGGCAATGCCACCAGCTTCTGCTTCGCGTCCAACCATAAAACCTATGATAGAATATGTATTTCAACTTGCCGATCGACATTGTCTACCGAAATAGATCTTACCGGTGATGTTTTGTAAAAAGAGTAGTGGAATTTTCAGTTGAGAGCATAGTTCAATAAAGTGAGCGCCTTTGAGAGCGGATTCTGAGAATAGAACTCCATTATTACCTAATATACCAACTGGATAGCCGTGAATACGAGCAAAACCTAATCGAATAGATAATTTGCCATCATGTCATCGAATATAGTTCAATATTCGTTTACCTGTCACCAATGTTTCTCCATATAATTTCTTAAATTCATCGAATTCGCTACCGTCAACAATTCGAGCAATGACCTAACCAATAAAGATTCATTCAGATGAAAACAATGAATTTGAAATTTACATACTTCACGAACATCATATACACGTTTGAGATTATCTCCAACAATGCCGTATAATTCGTCTGCTGGATAGAGTGGCTCAACGGACGGTTTCATCAGAACCTTCAAAATCCATGCACACAATTTATAACAATGCACAAAAAACTAAAGACCAACTTGTTGTGGTTTTATATAATTCAAATTGGCCACAGCACGTCTTGTTAAATGCAAAGCATGACTATCATCCATAGCATAGTAGTCTGTCACACCAGATTGACTATTAATGAAATTACATCATTAGTAAGATGTCATGTGGAAGTAAAAAGAAGTCCTACTAACCGACAATGAAGGTCACCACCGCCAAGATCTTCTGCTGATACAACTTCACCAGTTGCAGCCTTCACTAGTGGTGGACCGGCAAGAAAAATAGTTCCTTGCCGACGAACGATTATAGACTGATCAGCCATCGCAGGAACTATTGATGCAAACAAATTTTCATTAAATTCTTTCGTCTGCTCAAGAGTAAATTAGGGTATGCAATTCTCTAGCTCTCGTTGTTTGGAAAGACAAATGTTTATCCACTTAGACTACTCGAAACGTAATTGTCCAGAAGTCCCCCATCTTCGCTCTCGCGTACGTACCATAAGCACCACCGGCTGTGCAACTACCCATAACGACAGCAATCTAAGTATAGACATGTTCGAACAGAGCTTCTCTGATTACTTGTTTATTACATACTTGCGGGATACCGGCAGCGCTCATTGTTGCTTGATTATAGAACAAACGTCCGAAATGTTCTTTATCTGGAAAAACATCTGCTTGACGTGGTAAATTAGCACCGCCACTATCAACTAAAGTAAATTCAATCAAGTTCAAGTCGAGTTTTGTTTCGTGCTTGATTTCGCTCACCAAGATAAATGCAAGGTAATCGATTTTCTCGTGCTATTTCTTGAGCACGCAGTTGTTTCTTCACTGTCATTGGGTAATAAGATCCACCTTTTACTGTTGCATCATTTGCAACAACTACACATTCCCGTCTAATTTCAAATAAGTCTTTTCTTTGTTCGCATTGACAATACCAATGAAATTACCCTTCAATTTGACCAATACCCGTGATAAGACCAGCAGCGGGAACTTCTTCGTCGCCATATAACTGATAGCCAGCTAGTTGTGACAATTCAAGAAACGGAGTACTGAAATGGATTATAGAGACAAACATTGGCGAAAAAAAATTCAACCAACTTTGGATCAAGTAATTTATCGATTCTATCGCGCGCTAATAATTTATTCTTTGAAGTATGCCGTTTCCGAGCATCGTCATTACCGCCAAGCGTAATACGCTTGATAACGGTTTTCAATTCACTGACTGTTTTGGACATGGCTTCATAATTACTCTAAACATTCGCCGCCTTAAACAAAGATCTCGGTATGATCTAGTCAGTTACTACCTTGTAAACATCTGATTGTACATCGCATGCCGTTGGTAATTGATTATATGTGTTCACTGCCGATGATAAGAATCGATTTATCGATGTTCGTCGAGCGATGGATAATAAATATTTCATATTTACTCTGTATTCTATGTTTCTTTTCTAGATGGGTATATCTCTAGAACGATTTAGAAGAGTAGGATTTTTTATTATAGTTGTTGTTACTGTTAATGTTGGTTTTTATTTTCATTGAATATGAACAAAACATGATCAACAATAGAAAAAAGAACGAAGAATCGACATTGTAGTTGGATTGATGATCTTTCTCCATGTTCATGTCAATTCTTCATTGTTGAAATCGATTGTTTGTTCGCATTGGGATGTTTATGAATCAGCAACTGTCACTTCAACATCTACACCTGGTTCAATGCTAATTGATGTAATTTGTTTAACAATTTCTGATTTTGAATGTAAATCAACGACACGTTTGTGAATGCGCATTTGAAAACGATCCCAAGTTTTTGAACCTTCACCACATGGTGTTTTACGTGTTGTTATACGTAAGACTTTGGTTGGCATACGTACGGGTCCTTTGACACGGATTTCTTCGTCTTTAGCCTTTTGAATTAAATCGGCACAGACTTTTTCGAGCGATTTGACATTACGAGATGTTAACGTAATACGAATTTTGTATTCTTGTTGTTCGCCAGCACCAGCTTGAGCTGGGATTTTGCCGCTAGTTGGATCTTTTGTTGCCATGTTTGAAGAAGTTCAATGTGAATAGTTCGAGAAGATATTTATTCACGTGAAATCGACAAAGATCTAAAATGAACAGAAATTGGATTTTATTGTATAGTTTGCAAGGAATAGTTTTGATTCTGACAAAATAAACAAGACAAATCAATGAAGAACTTAGGATTTCCAAGTAACCAATCATATTCGAGAAGACTTATTACACATATTGGATAAGATGTGTTTTATAATGGATTGATTTCAAGACGAAATTTTCGGAAATTTTTGTTGGAAACTTTTATTTAACAGCAAAAATACTATGTCTCATCAATCTAGGTCTATCAGATTGCATGCGACATCTGCTGTAATTAGATCGAACACGAAATGCAGACAATGACTCATCATGATTTGTTGTGAGAAGTGAACCAGACTCATCTTTACAGTTTACATACCGTTGCGATATACATGGTATACATCTAGCCAGATGATATTTCAAATCGAATCAATTCAATACGATGTGTATGTCTTCGCTTCGTGTACATCAAACTAATTTAACTTGTCATTCTCGAGAATATTAGTTTTTCACGACGATATCTATATCATTCTGGGATAAGCTTTGTCCTGGGTTTATCATGATACACAATAAAGAATATACACATTCACCATGCTTCGGTTCAGACAAAGTTGCTCATTTGTAAATTAGTAACTACTCATCGTTTAGTTTAACAATCCCACTAACTCGTGTGGAGTCAGATTGCATATAGTAGAGACCTGCAAGGGTACGAGAAGTGGTACCCTAACCCTACCCGTAAAAATGTAAACCCGCCCGACCCTACCCGTGCAGATTTCCGGCCCGCCCGACCCTACCCGTGAAGATTTTCAACCCGCCCGACCCTACCCGTGAAGATTTTCAACCCGCCCGACCCTACCCGAATTTCTAAAAGCATGTTCTATCCTACCATTTTCTGCATTGGAAGTTTGACGCAAATAGTAGCTACTATTCACGCGCATTATTTTAATTCAAAGTCTTTTTTTCAAAACCAGTTCGGTTGTAATTCATTTCCTTCCAAGTGTGTATTGTTCGAATTAGAGACCTGCAAGGGTACGAGAAGTGGTCCCTAACCCTATCCGTAAAAATGTAAACCCGCCCGACCCTACCCGTGAAGATTTCCGGCCCGCCCGACCCTATCCGTGAAGATTTTCAACCCGCCCGACCCTACCCTAATTTTTAAAATCGTACCCGAACCCGCCCCTACCCGTACGGGTACCCTACCCGCCGGGTAGGGTAGGTGCGGGTTGCAGTACTCTAGCATATAGCCAACAGCTGACCTCATTAGAAGTTCTCATCGTGATTCTTTACAGAAAAAATGATAATCCATTAGAAAAAAAGTCTCATTCATGTGAATGATACAACTATTAGTTGGTTTTTATGAGAGTCTGAACAGCAGTGTTGATTCATATACCATACTTACAGAGAATAGTTGAAATCATGAAGTTCCTTTTCAAGAAATTGAAAACTCGTCATTTATCATCACACTTTTTCTAGGTGAAATCAATGATAATTGTGGATTAGTTGAGTTTGATGGTCAAAATTTTCTGCAGCACAATCTACCCGGGTGTTGAAATGATCAAGGGCAAAAGTTTCTACTCATTACAGGTTTCAGTCGCAGAGAATAGTAGCATTTCCAATAGCAATCATAAATAGCACGCAAAAACTATATATATTTATGTATAATGTGTGAGATTTTTAACTCGAATTTGCAAGGATTTCCGTTGAAAAGTATGATTTGGCCAAATTCGAACGTTTCTCCATAGATGTTTTTTGTTGTAGAAAAATAACGCATGAGATCTTATCAGTCTGTATTCAAAAACACTTTGCAAATTTTGTCGTGTAGATCAATTTTCATGTGTACATGTTACGAACAAAACTGGAATATTTCGGTTTTGGCGGAGAAGTTTGTAATTCTATTCTGGCCATAGCATATCCATGCAAAAGAGAACAAATGACATTTTCATATGATCAACGCAATGTATAGCTGACACACATATATCTGTAAAACATAAACTTCTTGACTGCTTTTCACAGACAAACAGACTGTTCTATGCGAAATTTCTGGTTCTGTGTAAGTTATTTGGATATACCTGGCTTGTATTTTTTGCGAAAATCAAGCATGGCACTAATGTAGATAGCTACTTGATGACTAATTTCACTTTGGAAGTCTTGTATGAACTTATACTGGATAGTGTTTTCCTTTATTCGTGATTACTCTATCAGACTCTATTCCTTTCACTCTTTGTCCAGTTATTTAGACTCAATGGACTGGAAAAGTACACAGAAACATGGAGTCATTTCGCTGATTCTTCAGAGTGACTTTGCTTTGTCTAAACTCGTTGTGTTCTATCTATTCTAAGCAATGACCGTGAGTGGATATAAATGTACATCGATTTCCTTCACTCTCGTCCACATCAGCACCATTCGAAACCTCACTCAACAGTGAAAACAAACAATCCTCAGAAGTTCGCCTAAGTTTCTCGCTTTCGGTATCCTGCGAATTCATTTAGCACTGAGTTATATTTGAAATATAATTATATCTGAGAAAGTATTTGACACACTTTATCGATTGGGTGTCTCCTTTGTACTACTACTTGTACAGAGCTCTACTCTATGCACGAGCATATGAGTAAACTAAAATAACTTCAATAGGATACGACCCAATCTTTTATTTTTTCATTATTTGTCTACAACTTTCAATGTTTTCTTTTACAGTTTTTATATGAGGGTGGTTTGCAGGTAATGCATGTTGTCGAATGTTCAGAGCACGTTCAAAATAAGTGAGTGCTTTCGAGTACTCTCCCACGCTTCTATACACCGAACCGATGCTGTGGTACAAAGTAGCCAAATCGGGGTGATTTGAAGGAAGAGTTTTTTGGTAGATTTCAAGTGCTTTTTCGAGGAATGAAAGTGCGCTCGAATACTCTCCCATGCTCCTGTATACCAAACCGATGCTGCTGTACGAAGTAGCCAACTTGGGATGATTTGAAGGAAGAGATTTTTCTCGAATTTCAAGTGCTTTTTCATAGTATTCTATAGCCATCTTATAATCGACTTGATTATGTTTTAGATTACCAAGTTGGTGATAATAGTGTGCTCTGTCACTCTTGTCACACGTTTGTTCCAGTAACATTGTGTACAGTTCTTCAGCTTTATCCAATTGTCGTATTTTGAACAGTATCCTACCCAACCGTTCCCATCCTGTACCACCTTGAACCTCACTTTCCATACGTTTAGTGAGCACACGAAGCTGTGGGTCGTCATCAGCAGTCAACTGAAGTTGCACCTCACAGTAAAGATTGTTTTTGTCAGCCCTTTGTTTAACAGTGCCAATTCGGAACACACTATGCATGGAGAAAAGAATTTCTGCTTCGTCTTTGAAATATCCCAAATCTCCAACCGATGCAAATGGAGTTGTGAAAATATTCGGATCAACTGTGATCACGAACAGGATACTCATCTTGTCAGGATCATCCAGACCGAGAGGAATAAATTCAAGAGATTTCTCTCGTTTCTGACTAGTGGACAGAAAATTATTGAACGACAGTAGACCGCCTGTAGTTTTGGAAAACTTTTCAAAATCTGCTTTCGATAGTCTTTGCCCACGGTAGACTATAAAAGGTTTTCCTTTGTAACTACTGACCTGTTGATGATGAAGTTGTTGTATTTGTTTGCATAAGTCATGAATAAAAAAGCCCATGTTAATGATGACTTCGGCATCCAAAGTGCGAAGTGCTCGATTGAGCATTTGATAGGTAAAACACTCACGCGTATACCACCAAATAGCCTGGTCTGGCTGGTATGTAAGTTCAAATTCTTTGATAGTTTCTTCTCCGTCAATATTTCCACAGTAAAGTGGACGACAATAATTTGCTAAATCTTTGATGGCTTGTTTGTCATGTTTCATTTCGATGAGAATGTTCTTCAATATTTGTGTGTACATAAAACTTGGCTCCAGTTCATCGAGATTTGTATTGGAAGCATCTCCTCTTACCGTGACAAAGCTCATAGGAATGGAGTCCTGGTCGTATTGTTTCACACCCACTGCCAGCGCTTCACATATTTCATTGATATTTGTGTGAACACCCTGGATTTTAGACCATTTCTTTGTCCAGGTTTCATGTCTGGATTTGTTACCACAGAAGATGTAGATGGCATTTGCTTGTGGAATGTCATGAATGTCGGCAACCAAGTGTTGACCTAGTGATCCAGACGTGATGACGAACGCCTTTTCGTCGCCAATGCTATTGAGAAATTGAACGCACGCATCTGGTTGAGTACATATGTTGATATCATTAACGACACGCCGTAAGTGCATCAAAGTGTTTTGACAATCTTTGTCCTTTTCATCGAAGTTGAAATCCACCCAAACTAAGAGATAGTTTTGAGCCATACGTCGTCGTGGTTGATCAGCGTGCATCGCTGTTGTGGAACTTGCGTTTGACTTGTGTGCACTCATTTTACAAAGTAAATTGACACTCAAAGTACTATTTTTTTCGTAAAAATGAAAGTTCTTCCTTTATATAAGCAGCAGATGAAGGTTGTCTTATTTTCAGTTTTTGGAAATGAGAAATATTTATGCTGTTGTTTTTTATCTTTAAAACAATCTCTTGTAATAAAAAGAACACATGACAGATAACAAAAAGACGAGCACAAGAAAAATCTCTTCACCATGCTGGAAAGAGGTGACGAAGATAAGAAGTCACTTGAGAACTTGGTTATTATTCTTTCCAACTTTGTTGTCTTCATCTTGTAGGAACTATGAGGTCTCGAATTGTTTGCCTAAGATGCACTTTTGTCGCCGAAATGAAACAAACTGAAATATTTGCTGGACGATTCACGATTGGAGAACAAGTATCAACGTGTAGTTTAGATAATTGCAAATACGATACTGATGAAAATCAAGTTGGAATAGAGATGATAGCGACGGCCCTCATCTTCATTTCCAACTTTCTTCTTTATATGCATAGAAGATAAAAGAGATATACTAGCAGTCAGTTGCAAGAGTGTCTAAAGAACCGAGTCGATATGTGTTCGGAGCGGAGCAAACCGAGGTAGTGAAAAATCACTTCGTTTTGTATAACACTTTCTCCACAATTATTTGTTTTTCACATTTCGCATAACATACGAATTTAATATCATCAAATGCCACTAGAATAGCTTCTGAACATTGTTCCTTGGTTTTGCACACAGGCGTTTCATCTTTCAGTTGTTGTTCGACTGGATTTGAAGTCCCTTCATGATTATAAATTTTTCCAGAGATCCTCGCTAATCCATATTGTCTGTTTTTTAACGACTGCTTCGCAATAGAACGCATGGAAGTCACTTTGTGTTTGTTCTGATGTTACTGTATGAATGACATCGAAGACTTTCTCCATAACTCTTTCGGTCCTAAGTACACTTTTTCTAATGAGTTGTTCGACCATCGATGTTACGTTTTGATTGCTCATGAAATTGTTAAAAACATGTCTCGTGCTTCCAATTCGTTGCAATTGCATATTACGTATTGTCTATAAAATAAATAAACGTCTGTTACTTATATAATGTTGAATATAGACTATGAGTGAAAAGAAAAACAAAGAAAGGCCAATGTATTCAATGGTGCGCTCGTCTACAGATTAAATAGATTGTGAAAACGAATAAAACAACGTGCTTGATTTGGTTTCAGCTGACGAATTCACTGTCGAATCGTTTAAAATTGTGCGGCTCGTTTGGATTCTACAGTGATAGTAGATCGATAGAGAAGAGTTCTTTGTTCCCTTTTCTGAAAGAAAGGGTTATACAGCGTTTAAATGCTGTGTTAAAAAGCTTAAAGTTTGTCTGTCTGTCTGCCCTATCAATCAGAAATCAGCATTTCTAAAATCAATGAAATTGATCGATAGTTGCTAGAAAAGGATTACCGGTAGGGTAATCAAGGTCGGAGAACTTGAATCTGAGGTTAGTTTCTCGAAATTCTAATTAGCTCATTAGCTACTTAGCTAATTAAGTAATGAAAATTTTCTTCGTTGTCAAGTAAGGGTTGAACGAAGGGTAATCAGGGTCGAGGATCTCGAATCCGACGTTAGCGTTGCTTAATTAATTATTAATTTTTCATTAACTAGCCACGACTTGATAACATCCACTGTCAGAGTAGACCGAAGGATTTCTGACGTCGGGAAATTTGAATTTGAGGGTGAATTTCGTCTTATTCGCTGAGCCTGGGCTTGTTCCTTCCTCTTTACAAAGAAGATATTTTTTCTTTATCTGTTCGAAAATCTTTTGTAGAAGATGGTGAGCTGAGCGCTATTCACGGATGTCATGCGTACAAAGATAGTAGCTCAAGAACTTACACGAAAAGATCTAATGCATTGTACATAATGATGTTTCTAATTCAAGAAATCCGAAAAAGTGATAAGAGTTCAGTGTCATCTTTACTTTGTAGGCTACATACATTATGTCTTTTCATGGGAATTTAGTAGAAGTAGTTCACAAAGTGATATATCCGTCGGTGAAATTCCATCTTAGTAACTACAGACGCGTGGACTATACAAACAGTATTCCGAACGCATGCGACGCTATGAAAGATGTTCGTTTCGAAGCAAATCATACAATAAGAATTTCTTATCTAGTTTCTGTTGGTGGTCGAATGAATAGAAGATCACGATTGTCGAAGCGATAATAAAAGAAAACCCAATCGTTCAGTTTGAAAGTCGATCGAAGGCGAAAGGAATAACAGAGTCAGCATGGCAATGGCTAGCCGTGAGTGACCGACCGGAGGGAGGTCGACGAACGATTAGGCGTTTAAATGTTAGATTAATCCTAAAGTGTACGCTTAGAATAACCTTGCCAGGCTTCCGATAGTTTTGAAAGCGATTTAATGAATGGGATATTCCTCAATGAAAATATTCGAGAAGGTATCATTTTGTTGACAGGAGAGAAAAGAATCGGTTTGTCGCCGCAAGACACAAGCGAATGTTCAAACTTTTCAGGTAGTCTACTGTATATCATCCGTCTATGAGTGGCTTAGTAAAGCATTTATGAAAATTTCCATTCGCGTGATGTGAAAAAAGAAAAACAGATGACAAAGGTCAATGGTTGGCCGTCTGACTAGTCGTTGAGCGATAAATTTTTCAGTCAACGCTGTTAGTACTGGAGAATTATCCACTGACAAATGGCTAATCGGTCTGATCCCTCAAAAGACTTTTGCATCCTATTCATTCTAGTGTGTGACATCGTGCCATGATTCAGTTGAACACTAGTAGCAATCGCAGTGCGTTTTCTCTCTTTCGAAGTCTCTGGATGTGTTCAGCATTCGGAAGTCTTTCAGAAAATGGTCAGCGAATCCAAAGGATGAGCGTTACTTGTGTATAGTCCTGAAAAGTGTTTCATTTATTTCAATAAATAACACGAAACGCATGGGCAAAGTCAAGTTCTACATATCTTATTGAACAGTTCATTACTTATTTTCAAATTACAGTAAAACCTCTCATAGTGGACACTTTTGAAAAGTCCAAAATGTTAGTTTTCGCAGGAAATGAGCCTCTCTGTAGTGGACGCTCGCATTCAGTTCTTAATGATGAAGATTTTCGAAAAATCTTTTGTTGCTCATAAGAGAAATTCGACTAGATTTTGCTATTCATACAGCTATGGAGAGTGAAAATGAATGTAAAAATATTCATAAGCAGTAGCGTGTTGTATCGTTCACTGGGAACCCTTAGACATCTACAAAACAGATTACACACTGCTTATGAAAGAGCTGTTCTACAAAATATCCCACCTCTCTACAGTGGACACTTTCGGAGGGTCCCGATGGTGTTCACTATAGAGAAGTTTTACTGTATTCATATTGTTCGATGAAAACGCCGTTGAATTAGAGTTCGATATTGTTTGATAGATTTATGATATTCTTCTCGGTAAAATTTCGATGGTAAAACAAAAATAACAAAAGTAATGATTGGTGGAATAAATGAAACAAAATATCCCACAAGAAATATCCAAGAATCACGTGTTGAATTCAAACATTTTTTTAAATAAGTAAAAACCAAACGCGGCAAAGCGAGAAGAAATAAAACCACAGGTGCAATTAATAAATGTTGATGTTCACGAATTTGTTCATGTAATGTAGTTTTGTAAGATTGATCTTTACGAAGATAATATTTTTGACGAGACTTTTTTGTTATCAAAATAATTGATGAAATCAAATTGATCAACAATGGTATAAAGAAATGAAATGTATTGATCATTCGATTATAGATGTGTAATTTTGATGAATAATTTACAGTACACCAAATTCTTTTCAAATCATCATTTTCATTTTCTTCTTGAAATAATTGTCGATGAATTGGATCATGTATTGATGTGAAGAGAATCATAATAATAAGAATAATGATAATCTTTTTAGCTATTTTTTTACTTGCTTCTTTCTTAAATTGAACACCTTGAATAACATTTATTGATCTTTCTAATGCCACACATGCATTTAACCATTGATCAAGATTTAAACAAATTCGAATAAGAAAATCTAATGAATAACATTGCATTTTTAAAAAAACATTATTTGATGAATTTGATATTTGTGTTGAAAGATAAATAAAGTACTTTAATCCGAAAAAAATCATAGTTAATATTGTTGTTATTGATGATCCTAATAAATAAATTCCACAACCAACAGTACGTACACTATTATTTTTAAATGTTATTAATGAAAATATTCCATTCAATAATCCACAAATTAGAAAACAAATTGTTAACGAAAAACTTAAATTAACGATAAATTTTTGATCAAGCAATTTAACATCTGGAATAATATGATAAGCAAGAATTGCATCAAGTGATAGACCAAATTCGCTTGTTGTAAATTGACATCTAGTCCCATAGTGACATGACTGACAAACACATATCGATTGTTTTGGACATTTAAGAGAATCTTGAAAACATTGTCCTTGATTTTCACAATAATTTTTTCCAAAACAATCAAATTTCATTTGATGATCAAATTTCATTTGATGATCAAATAGAAAACAATTTGCTAAACGTTTTCCTTGAAAACTATAACATAAACATAAATGTTCATCATCATAAAAACATTGTAAATCAGATTGACAAATTTGATGATAAGATTTTATTCGAATAAGTAAATGAAGTTTAGAGAAAGTTTCATTTAATGATAAACATCGAAATGATGAATGAACTTCTTCATTTATTATCGTTGAACGATTATAAATCGGCTGAATAAATGATAAATAATAAATTTTATCTACTGTTTCAATAAATATTAAATGAAATGGTTTTGACCAAAAAATTCGAAGAGAATTTGTTGATTGAGATACTGTTTGTAATGTTGTTAATCTTTCAGGAAATTGGGTTGAAATCTTAGGATCAAATTCCTGAAAAGGAATAATTGTTATAAAATGAACAAAAACTGAATGGGATAAATAAATATCATTATCAAATATTAGATTAATTTCTTGTTCTTTATTAACTTGTTCACATTGTTTTCCAGTAAAACCTTTTGAACAAATACAGAAATATTTTTCCTTAATTGAAAATAACATAAAATCATCATAAGAAATACATGTACCATTATTTCGACATGGAGATGAATCACATATTCGATTTTTAAGATAACAATCAGAACCCAAATAATTCTCTTTACAAATACATATCGATCGATTATAATTTGATATACCAATACATATAGAATTTGATGATGAACAAGTACATTGATGTGGAATTGAACAATCTTCTGCTGACCATCCTTTTTTACATTGACAAAATGTTTCTTTTCTATTGAAATAATATCGACATCGACCATTTAAACATTTCTTATTTGAACAAATCTTTTTCTCTTCATCAGATGGAATATTAACAATAAAAGCTAATCGATGAACTGGTAAAAAAGAGAATTTAACAGGATAAAGAAAACTTCCATAATATGTTAAAGATTGTTTATCATAAATATCTAAATGAATTGAGTAATTTCTCTTCATATCTTTTGGTCGAGTTGAATAAAGTAAATAAAGATTAAATTTCGTTTTACAATCTCGAATTGATAAATAAGTAAATTGTTCATAAGAATGAATTTGTCTTTGATTTGTATTATCAATAAGTAATATTAATATTGTAAAAAGAGTTTTACGTAATTGAGCGGCAACATTAAATCCAATTGATAAACTAATTCTTTGATTTTGATATTGACATTGTGAACCATAATAATTCGGTGGACAAAAACATGTCTGTACAGATTTATTTGATGATTGATTTAACCAAACACGCATTTCTAAACCTCGATGACAACGAAAGTTTTTAGAAAGTGAAATTGGTATTTCATCTTGTAAGACGTTAGCATTAATTGTTGGCTCTTCATTTATTTTATCTTCAACTGTTTGAGTAAATTCATCAATTTTAAAATAAACCCTAGTTCGTTTGTGTTGAGTCTTTGTGAATTTACATACGAATTTTCCTGCATTAGAGAGACGTACTTGATTTGTTTCTGCACAAAAATTTACCCAGCCAGATGAAATTGCAGGTTTAGTACATAATGTTTCATTTAAGCCGTTTGAACAAGTAGAATTATCATCTGAACATAATTTATATTGGTAAACACATGTATATTCATATTCAGATTGTGGTGCCTCACAAACGAATGCTCCATCGTAATCGCTATAAGAATGTCGACATTTGCTTCTTTCATCACTTCCACCAAAACAATCAACTTTTCCATCATTAAATCGATCACTTGATAAACATATTAATTCATATGTACCAAATGTAACACACATTTGTGAATCTAAACCACAATCAATTAATGGTTCTTTTTCATAATCACAATTCCTTTCATCTTTTCCATCCCAACAATTCCATATTTCATCACAATGTGTATAAATATTATCACATTCCCATTGTTGACAATCAGTTTCATCTGTTCGATCTATTCCATTGATATTTATTGGAAATAATTCTTGAAAACCATCACACATTATTTGAAAAGAAATTGTACTTGTAGTAAAATTCTTATCTAGGTCTTCATCTTCACAATAAAGGACTGGATAATCGTCACAATCACATATTCTATTTTTGATTGCTGCTTGAGGAATATACTTATTTGAACTACGACATCGATAATATTTATGTTTTATTTGATTAAATAATTGAGGATTTGTATGCTCAAATATATTTTCATCATCTTCATAAGGACAATCAATTATATTATTCGATAAACGATGATACGAAATACATTTGGACGAATTGAGACATTGATAAATATTTGGTTGATTACATTGATCAAGAGGAAAACTAATTATTGGATAAAATCGTTTTATTTGTTGGAAAACATTTTCCAGAAAGTCGAACAATCGATGATACATAGTAGGAGTATCATTGCTGTCCAAAAACTCTGTAATTTGAAATTTTGTACAAAATATTGTATGATTAAATATTGTCTCTAAGACGAAATAATGTGAGTTAAGAAAAGTTTTGTTTGAACATAAATAAGGGAATCGTACATGAACAGACAATATTTCATTTTTTTTATAAGCTAAATAAATATGACCAAAATATATTGGAATATTGACAAGATAAAACATATCTGGACATGTTTTTCTTATAATAGGCATACATTGTTCTTTGATAACTTCAAACGTCAAAGGTGAAAATATTGGATTTCCAATAGCGAAGTAACATTGAACAGCTGACCAACATTCATCTGTCATAGATGGATGTTTCATTGAAAATATCGATTTAAATATCATATTTTTATATTTAGAATCACATGAACTTGTAAAAAAATAGTGTGGACATATACAATCATTATCTGTAAATGTTGGTTGGGATTGAGCAATCGAAAACAATTGAATATCTGGTACATCATCTGCTCTTTCATCAGACATATCAATACAATCCGGATGATAGATATCATCATAAACAAATTCTTGAGGAATACATTGTCCACTATTGCATTGAAATTCATTTTCTTTACATTCATTAAATTCTAATTGCCAACAATGTTCTTCATCATATTGATCATCAAGACAATTAACTATTCCATTACAAATGTCTGTCCAATCTAAACAAACTAATGAATAATCACCATTACATATTAAATGTTCATAGCAAGTCGAATTTATCGTTCGAAATGCTAACTCTTGATAAAAATCAAAAATTATATCATATAATGATAAAGCGTCTTCATGATAATCATATAATTGATATTGACATACTGATCCAAATCTTGGAAATGTACAATTATAGAATTGTTTTTCCGATAATGATTGATTATTTGTATCTAAATAGATTTGATATTCTTCAATAATATCAATAGGTGCTGACCAAATGAATAAATCTTCAAATGTTACATTTTTTTCTTTAAGTTGACCAAACGAATAGATTTCTATTGAAGGATCTTTTTCAATATGAAATCCTTTCAATGATTCACTTAAGCAGTAAGTTGAAATATGCCGAGTAACATTTGCTTTTACTAAATTTGTAGCAAGACGAAAACAATCATACCTGATTTGTAATTGATCATTGTATTCATATTCACTAACTTCATTTGTTGTAAAATAAAGATTTAATTGTGGAATAGTTAAAACACAACGAATAAAAAGAAAGAAGAAAAAAGATTTCAAATGAAACATATTCTCCATATTGAAAAAGTTTTTTTTCTCTTCATATTTATATCAGTTTTGATTTGATTGTCAATTTGATAAGAAGGATTTTCGTTAATCCGGTTTAAAAGGAAGGAACAAAGTCTAATAGTTGGCGTTAAAATGCCTATTTTATGAACAGATTTCTTTCTAGGCACAATGAAACAAAATTATATGAACATCTGTTTTTCATGTTTGTTTTTTTGGAGAAAAAATAAAATAAAATATTTTATTGACGTAATTAGTTTTTATTTTGAGTACTTGTGAACCGTAGTTTCATTGACAAAATGAAAAACGATAATCTTTCTGTGAAATGTGTTTGTACATATGTCGAGACTTATTGAATATAAACAGAAAATATTACAAGTGAAATTCTTTCATTTATATCCCCAGAAAAAGTCAACTGGAGTAGATATTTTCCTATCATCCGAAAATATCTCTTTAGAAAATATTGAAAGAACCTGTTTTTTATTGCAAACTCGATGAATTTTTACTAATTAGACTATGAGTGAAAAGAAAAACAAAGAAAGGCCAATGTATTCAATGGTGCGCTCGTCTACAAATTAAATAGATTGTGAAAACGAATAAAACAACGTGCTTGATTTGATTTCAGCTGACGAATTTACTTTCGAATCGTTTAAAATTGTGCGACTCGTTTGGATTCTACAGTGATAGTAGATCGATAGAGAAGAGTTCTTTGTCGTGTATGCGAGACAAAAACAAGAGTATAGACACACTGCTTCGTTTAGACGAAGTTGATTGGATAAATATACAGTAGAACATTTATTCGGATTTGAAACGGATGAACAATCATTTTCATATTTTAGAAAGAAAAAAAACAGGTGCGCACAAAACTCAAATAATCTTGTTAGTAATAAGTTTTGTTTGGAATTCTTTAGTACGAATCAATTGCTTGATCCATAATTTCCAAAACTTATCAGAATGTCTTCGTCTTTCAGTGACAATTATGTTCTTCTTGATCATAAACTGATATAATAACATAATCGAATGGCCATTTTCTTGTACGTATGTAATATTTCCCAATTCACAAATAATTATAAAAAACACAATAAGACTAAATAAAACAAAAGATTCGAAAATTAGTTTTCACGATTATCCGTCTCGATAGCGCAATGACGCTTGCCACTCGGTTGTTCAACAGCACTGTGTTCAGAGGAAATTACTGTATTTGATGATATGGATGTCATAGATGTGAACAACCGTTTTCAATTGTTCATTTTAAAACCAATTCGAAAAAAGCAACAAATAATCAGGATTGTTAACCTTAGACGGGATCAAATAGATCGAAAGACATTCAACTACTTAGCTAATTAAAAGAAAATATGAGTGCTGAAAGGAAACTTCAATGTCTCGTATTGTAATGAATGATAATTCGATAAGAATTCATTTATTTTCTCAGAGAGAAAAAAGAAAAATTTAAGTTAATGTATTTCGATTGAAAAGAATTAGTGAACAAGTTATTCCAATGATGACAAGAGCCAAGCCAACGATAGCAAACACATGATGGCGGAGAAATTCATTGAAACGTTCTTTTATGAGATTTTTCTCAACAGAATATTTAATTACTTCCAACGACGGTTCACTTTCAAGATCTGAATATCGAATAGTTAGAAAACAGACATGACAAAGGATATTGCAACTTACCTATGTAGAGTTTATACCGATAATTTCGTGTTATTTCATGAAATTTCTGCAGATAGAATATGCAATGACATGTTACATATGTTATCGGGCCTCGTAGATTATCTGCATTAATTATTAATAGAATACGATTCGAATTATTGTTTTGAGAAGATAGTTCATTGTTTATTGTCCAGTACATATGATGTTCGATCTGATTTGAGGATGTTTGACATTGACATTCTAATTGAATTCGATCGGATCGATATAAAACTTGTCCGATATAATTATCTTCATAGATAACATAGATATCTTCTTCATTATTGATGCGTACTGGTTGCGGCTGAACTTGAAATGATAAATCATTAGTACACAAAGAATTACAAACAAGAATGCATGCTGTCAAGAATAAATGTAAAGTTGACATTTGATGGAAACCGAATGATTCAAAAGAATAAGGAAAGCTCGGAAGAGAAATTCTATTCTTAGATTAAAAAAAATAATTGGATGAGAAAGATTCTGGTTTATGGATGACAATTGACAGACGTGCGGACCATTGACTGTTCAAACAGAGTTGAAAATGGACCGACAAAATGTGTTTCTCTGTCAATTCTGTTTTTATTTCGAATTTGTAAGCTGCTGGTAGACTGAATTTTTCTTGTAACTGTGTTAGTTCGAGTGATAACTTCTTTTGTGTTTTATTATTTTATCGAAGAACAAACGTGTTAATTACGTCCATGAATATACAATGAGAAAATAGAATAATAATCATAAAGTTAAGATCTGTTACACGAAAAGAAAAAAAAATACTTACAAAAAAAGAAAAGAGAAACACTGGGCAAAACAATTCTGTTCTTCTATCAAATAAGGTTTCGTTTAAAACACAAACAGAACAAGAAAAGAAGACATGTGTCTTTCATTGCCAGAAATGAAATCATTTAGTCAAATTGCAATTGCTGATTATCTTCTCTCTATCTGAACACATCATTTCGAATAAATTTCCTCCTTCTTACCGAGACCGGTTACGAAGTGCATGCACAACAGAATGACTATATATACGTAATTGACAAAGAAATCAATAGTAAAGGATAATTTAGCTAAAGAGAACAGGTGGACGGATATGAACCAATGATATTCCACTAGACATCTGTTTCAACGTTCAGTGGTTCAGTCGATGTGTGTAAACTATTGTTATTGATGGTTGCTGAGATCTTTCTTTGAGTTAACTGTTGCGTTGGAGATGTTCGCACATTTTTATGATTTGGCGTTGGAGAACGATGAGTAGCATCTTCAGCAACGGAATACGAATGAAGAAACGCATCCGATTCATCCAAATGATAATGTGCATCCATTGATGAGATAGATTTCTTTCCTTTCAATGTTCCTCCACCATGATTCGTTCCTGGCACTGATAATGTATACTGATCTGTTGCTGCATCACCAGGTGGTGGAGTACATGTTCCTCCATTAGAATATTTGATATCTTTTTGCTCTTCAGAATCAATATCTCGATGATAAAAATAGTTGAAATTCGATACGATAACAGGAACAGGTAGAGCAATCGTAAGAACACCGGCAATAGCACACATCGAACCAACAATTTTACCAAATATACCCACTGGTCTCATATCTCCATAACCAACCTAAACAAGATTCAATTATCGTGATTAATTCAATTAGAAGAAAAGATATTCTCTACCGTTGTCATGGTAATCATTGCCCACCAGAATGCATCAGGTATAGATTTAAAAAATGATTCCGGTTCACCTTGTTCAGCGAAGTAGACCGCCGAAGAGAATAGGATAACACCAATGAAGAGAAAGAATATTAATAGAGCTAATTCTTGCATACTTGCACGTAATGTTTGACCTAAGATTTGTAGGCCTTTTGAATGTCTCGATAGTTTAAAGATACGAAAAACTCGAACAAGACGAATAACACGTAGAATAGCTAGTGACATCGCTTGATTAGATTTGGTTTTTTCTTCAGCTAAGATTGTAAATAATGTTATGAAATAAGGTACAATAGCGACTATATCAATAATATTCATCATTGATTTGAGAAAGACAAGTTTCAATGGACATGAAATGAGACGAACGATCAATTCGAATGAAAACCATATAATACAACATGTTTCAATAATAAAAAATGGTTCAGTAAGTTCAGGTATGTCATCTTCTTCAATAGTTAAACGAGATGAATCATAAGATGTGTTGTCAGCTGGTCGAACGCGATAGCGTTTAAATTTGGGAAGAGTTTCTAGAAAGACAGAAGAAAAGATCCGCTTATTCGTTGGTCAACATTGTAAGAACGATAATGACTACCGATCTATCATAGTCTTCGATAAAGGATAATTGGAGCAGACATATTCGGTATGTTGATAATACAAAAAAATCAAATCACTCAACATCTAATTATCTCGACATTTCAATGTGACTTTTCACATTAAAGTACTGGCCTTATCAAATTCTTGCTCTATTTTCTAGACTACCATACCGTTCTCGTGCTTGTTTCGAAGAAGAAGAAAGAAAGCAACATGACTATCCTATTATCTCTCAACTAATCAATGAAACTTTTCTTAGAATAACAGCTCATTTGTACTTTAAAAATGCAGTCGAAGATCTTTCTTGCTGTACATTATACATACATTAGTTATAGAGAATCAACTTCAAAATGTCAAAGTGATTTATTGATTATCCTCTGTGTCATTAGTCTTGTTTCAAATGACAGTATTCATGTACTACTCTTTCGAATTATGGACTGTCGAAAATGAGCATGTAATTGATCACTTACCGAGACAAAATATGACAATCGACATAAGAATAACAATGACAGAGATGAGAGCAATTACGCGTGCCCATTGCGACGTTTCGGGATATTCGAATAGAAGCCAAATCTTCCGTTGGACTTCGGGCTTGGGTAATATGCGTTCTTCTTCTTTGATGAAACCTTCGTCTTCACGAAATTTATTGAATGCGTCTTCACCCAATTCAAAGAATTTGATTTCTTCTGTGAATACATCTTGAAAACAAGAAACTCACGTGAGATGATGATCGTTAAAGTTGATGGCACTTACCGATCGGCACATGATTTGGACGTCGAAGTCGACCGTTAGATTGATAATAGTAGAGAATCGCATCGAAACTTGGCCGGTTTCGATCGAAAAAGTATTCGTTTCGTAGCGGATCAAAGAAACAGACACGTCGAGAAGGATTACCGAGTAGTGTTCGAGGAAAATTATTCAAAGTCTGCAATTGCGTTTCAAATTTCAAACCGGAGACATTAATGACAACACGTTCCGTTGATTCAAAATCGGGATGTTTGGATGCTTCTAATTGTTCTTCGAGAGTTAACTCTTCATCGAGTGGACGAGAAAATGCCCTGTAGATAAAAAAGCAAATAAAATCAAATGGTTATTTTGTTTGTTTTCTTTCGATTTTCTTTCTAAGAAAAACTAGAGAACTAATTTTCAAGATATTACTCACAGCATGAGCAGTTGTTCGTTGAAATAACTACTATTGGCAAACAAAACTAGAGAACAACATGTGTCATGATTTTGCTCCCCGGAGCAACACCAATACAGAGAGCATCCTCGTTCGAGCATGCATACGACGACACGTTTAGAAAGAAAAGAAAATACAACAGACAACAACCAACAGTGTCTGTCAGTCAAAAAAGATCTAACGGTGACGATGAGAAGGAAAAGTAATGATTGTAAACGATGAAAAAAAATAGAATGAAGAAAAGGTTAATTAAGCTATTAGTTTCACATTTCTTTTGCTTCATCATTGATAAGCTGAAGATTGTTAGTTTGCATGTTGTCAACAAGAAAACAATAATTCTAATAACACAGTCAGATTCAGTCAAAGCAACGACGACAAAAAGATATGCCAAGAAAAAGACTAGAATATCTCTTCTCCTTTTCCCTCGCTCTCTCTCTCTCTCTCGTTTCCAATTATTTCCACATCTATAAATCCTACCGATAAGATGTAGAAAGAACAAACGATGACAACGACGTTAGTCAAACAAGGACATATTAGGACGCATCTGTACAACATAGAATGCTTCAATTGCAAGGATTTTCTTCTTTTCTGACCACTTTCGATTAACAATCTTCGCTCTGGATGTACTTGTTCTTCTCTAACATAAACAATGGCTAATCAAGATTTAAACTTGATCAATTTTGTGATATGTTCTGTTTTAGTTTTCAAGATCAATCAAGACGAATTCAGTTTATCGAAGAAAAGAATGTAAAAAGATGTTTATTTCTAAATAAAGTCTAGCATGCAAAATGTCATTACTGTATAATGATTATCAGAACTAGAATATGCAGATGCATATCATTTATTAATAGTTCTCGTTATGTTTAATGTCAAACGAACAGAAGCAAAAAAGAAGAAGCGATTTTCTCGAAATGATATCTCGTCGGAAAGTTACATGAAAATCTATGATTTAAATTACAGATTTGCACCGGAATATGTGACAATAGGAGAACCGTTCGCTTTCGGCATTGCTGGAATTTCAATTACTTACTAGGAGTGTTGATGATTTTTTGCTAAAATTTTCAAAGAAAGAAAGAGAACATTTGACAATCGCTTTTGATTAAACATAAAAAGGTAGCAATTTTATTCGATTTCTTACATCCGATACTTTTAGTTAAATTAACAACACCGTTTACTCCTTATGTCTGAAAATGTCTACAGGGTGGTGTACGTAATCTGACCTAACAACCATTGATTCATTAAGAATCTCTTACGACAACTACGTAGGAAATATAAACAAGCTCTTTTGTCTCATTATTTCATTTATCTCACAGTCTATTAATAATATAGACATTAATCCTTGTCACTCATTTCAGAAATAATAAACTTCACTAGAAACACGTCATCATCAGAATAATAATAAACGTAGATTGTCAAATGTCAATCAACTTCAAGTCATCACTTAGAAATGTACATTACGCGTCGCATTTTCGTTTCCACATTCAAACTTATCTCACCTGGCAGCAACTGCTAAACTACCGGGCACAAGACAATTAGCAATTGATGTTTGCGGGACTTCACTATCGCCTGGTGCAGCTGCACTGCTAACACTGAGAAGATCATGCATAGGACCATGATGACTGATCGACATATGTCGACCAGATGACCGAGCTGCGTTCGCTGATTGATCATTACCAAATTCGACACCTCGTCGACGTGATGTGTCGTGTACACTTTTCGATGACAAATGAAAAAAGATTTCAATACTGAATCGTGGAAATGAAATTCAACACTTACAGAGAACGATCAGTAAGAATCATTAGGAAATCGCAGCTGTCTCACGGTAGATTGATTGGTTTATTCTCGGGAAGAAAGATGATATCAGTAGTCACGAGAACAACATCGAAAGATTAGACAAGGCAAAAGAGAATCTGAAAACGCTCTTTCCTAATGGAACCGCATATACATAAGACCAATAACGGCAAATATTAATAAGAAAAGAAAAGCAAAAATGAAGAGATAGCAGAGAAGAAAGATACCGAAAGTCGCAAACGATGTGTAATAGGAGATGTTACTAATCTTAAGCTTGTATTTCTGTCGTATCCTTCAGTGACGTCAAAACATCGAAAAAAAAAGTCGAGAGAACAATAATCACTTCAGTTGCTAATACAATAGTTTCTCTATTATCGAGCCAATTCATCTATTATCATAAATGACCTTTTCTCTACTGTTTCTACTTCAAATGTTGCGCTTGATTATGTTTCTCTTATTTTCTTCTTTCTTCGTGTGTAATTTTGCTAAGTGAACGACGCTGTTATATCAATCAAAAAATTAAATAGAGTTGATTTGGAAAATCAAATTATTTTACTAGAAAGAATAATAAAAATTCTTTTCTTTTTTTTTCTTCTGCTGCTGTGACAAACAAATTCAACATATTAGAATTTGAACGAAATCATATTCGACTTTTAGACGTTAATAACATGCACTTAAGAGACATCGCCATCCAAGAAGACTATCATATACAGAAAGCTTCTTGACTGTGAAGAAAACTCTGCAATTGCTGAAGTGACGTTCTTGTTTCTTTTCTTTTTATCTAGTTCACTTCTGACAATATGTAGATCTCGATAAGAAAGACACGAATGATTGTAATTTATACATGGTAATATATTTTCTGTCTTTGTATTTAATTCCTTTCTTTCTAATAATATGAAAAAAAGCAACACGCGAACGTCAATCGAACGCCAGAAAATCGTACGTTAGTGACAAGAGAAAAAAAAAGAAGAAATAAGGAAAAGATTCTATAGACATGAAAGTGTCTTCGTTTGATGCTTGAATGTCTATCAAAAGACAGCGACGACAGATACACGCAAAATATCTAATCGCTTATGCTTGGCGTAAGGAAATACTCATTAGTTACACCAGGTTATTTTTCGAAATACTTACGTTGGATGATCGTTTAACGAAACATGCTGCCAAACTGTTGCCATCGTCATTTTGAAAGAAATTTCTTGCTAAGATTCGTTAATTATACGTGTGAGGAGTCGGGTTGATCGAATTGTCAATCACTTGTTGTATACCATACTCGGAAGTCGGTATACATATGAAACGGGTAGCACTTTATCCTGATAGTGTCTAAAAACTGCAATAGTCACTCCTATACTCTCCATTTTCCTTCGTTGTCGGTCGCATGGGCCTCGTCTCTTCTCATTGCATAGTCAAGAAGAAAGAAAGGCTGTGTAAAAGCATTTGCGTCTGATGATGAACATGCGCTCACACACACATAGTTTTCCCTTCTCTCCCTTTCCCTTTCTCTTTGTTTTTTCTCCTCTTTTTCTTGTGCTTTCTCGCGTTTTATTATACAATACGCCTGCCAGTGTTGCTATCACCAGAGCACAACAGTCTGAACGAGCGAGAAAGCACACGCGTGTCGTGTCGAAAATTTCATTGAGCGCGACGACGAACCGACGCTGGGGGTATTAGCATTACGCATATTATTCTTGCATATTACTAACAAGCTAGTGCTGTGAGCTTAATAGAAAAGCACATTAGTTCTTTCTTTTTTTCCCTTTCTTTTTCACTCGTTCTTTCCTAAAGCGTATATATACGAACTATGTTGATAAAAAAAAGCCAAGAAGGATAGTAGCTACATTGACGGCATAAAAGCCAAGTCTAATAAAATAACGACAGTCAAGGAAAACAAATGACAAAGACAAAAAATGACTAATTTAATGGTGTAATTGAATAATTCTTTTGCAAATAAATATTGACCTTGGGAAAGACAAAAAAAGTCGAACTTCATGTTCTTTCTGTTTTTCGATCGATCTATTTGCAAATAACACATATGATTTTTTGCTTCAATCAAGTACTTCTTCACTTTCAAACAAGTATTGTTATGTTTATTATTAAATTAGACAATCTGAACAAGCGTTTTATGCAGCGGAAAACTTACGCTAATGAACTAGTACCATATTTTGTATGTTGACTGCCATCATAATTATAGAGTAGAGCATTCTCGTGATCGCGACGTTCGTTTAGTTGACGGCGATGTGTTGGTTGAGTATCACTGAAATCAAAATGAAAGCCATAAACAGGAATAGCTGTGATTAATTTCTTTGTCGTTTCAATGGAAAGACAATTCAATTATCGATAAAGCGATCTTATCAAATAATGAGAAAACAAACGAAGATTTTCGACGAAATCTTTCAAAAGACTTCTATTAGATTCCTTCATGCAGAAAAGATGATTAGTACGTTTTGTTAGCACAGAAATGCGCCTTGCAAATAAACGAGATCTTTTCTGTGGAATTTAATTTGATGAATAGGCTGTAACTTAAACTCATATCTATTTAATAGTATTAGTCCGCACAGTATACAAGTCACTTACTGATCATTGTAATTCGAAGATGCAGCAATTTGAATGGTAACCGGAGTTCCCATACTCGGTCGTTCAATCTAACTATTTCGTCTCCATTGATTAGTAAAGACGGAAATCTCAAACATACGTCACTTTCTTGCGCTTACAACCATCACAGAGAGATATGCCGACTTGTCTCTCATACAATCATCGCGGCTTCGTTTTGTTAATAATGTATCATAAAGAAAACAAGGGGCAAATCGAAAGAGTAAGGCAAGCCTAAAGAAAAATCCGTTGTCTTTATCTTCTATCCATTACCAACAGACTAGAGTACAAAAAAGAAGGAATCTGAGTATTGTTGATGTTGATAGCAATGAAGCGCATCAAGAAAAAAGACAAGCAGAGAGAGAGAGAGAGAAAGAGGAGAAGAAGAAGAAGAATAGTCAATGAAACGGGATGGATTTTTTTGTCTCTTAATTGTGCTCTTCACTAGAGTTTTTTTTCTCGCAGATTTTTTTTCTTTGTCCCAATATTGAACTTTCATTATTGTCTTTACATCCGTTGAGTCTTTCTTGACTGATTATATATCAAATTGCTAAATTGACAAGAGTGGAACGACGAAAGATCGAACAAGAAAGTAATTTTTATCAATGTTTGCCGGTTTTTGTTAGTGAGCACCATGAAAGTTATTCACATTTTGCATATGATAATGACTATCAATGTTCTTTTATATTAGCCATATGCTAAGCAATTAAACGCGCCTATGTTTACTCTACCCCAATGTGTAATATAAAACTGGAAATGTGCTTTTCTCGTGTTTATAGGAAAATAAAACCGAACGACGAAATGTTTATTATTAATAATGATTTAAGATCGACTGACGTTTATCTTAATAAGCAAAACAAGAAATGAAATCATTTCCAGGATGTTTTGATATGCTGTTCAAAGTCATCTGCTAGGCACAACTCGATCTTAGCAGTTGCGAGAAGTGCAAGTAGATCAAAGACAGTTTATTCTAAGCAAATCTGATTAACATGATATGTTAATGTCTCTCGTATTAACGCTTGATCGAAATGACAGGAAGAAGAATGTATCGATACTGTAAATCTTAACGTGCGTGTGTATTCGATTAGAATCTCGTAGATGTCTAATCAAATCAATGATTTGCAATCAGAGAATTCCAAATCGATTACGAAAGATATCTTTCGCAGGAGAAATACAACGAGAGACGATGACTGTCTGCTTACTTTTTGTTCACACTTGTTGCGAGCATGGTTTGGTCGAAATGAATGGAAGAGTGCTTTAAACAAACATCATCATCGGCGCAGATCGATTGTTTAATGTGTGTAAATCCGTCAAGGTACTTTTTCGGAAGAAGTAAGATCGTCGATTAGAATGACAAATATCTTTAATGGTCAAAAGAAAAGATAAACAATGCTGGAAATGAGCACTTGAAAAACTAAGGAAAAGGAAAAAAAAGAGAAAGATATTCGAGATGATTTATTGATGATTATTAATGGATTCAGAAACGGTTCATCTTCGTCTAAATTTCATTGATTCAACATTACTCATAGTCCACCGTGAATGAAGAAACCTAGGGAAGTACTTCAAAGAGAAATGAATGCGAACCAACGTTTGCAGCACGATTTATATCAATGGACAAAACATGTAAAATGAAGTGGAAACTCATTCTTTCCGGAGATTAACAGCACTTAAGTAATAAATACACGCACCCTCACAAGTGACTAATGCTGGTCTTCCCCTAAAGACATAGACATATGGTCTGTATTGCACTTAAACTCTTAGCTCCGAGTCTATTTGATGAGAGTATAAGTTCTGTTCTATACGAAATGATATCAAGAGATCATTAACTACCGTTTAATTCGCTATGGATTACTTACATCATCATTTCCACGTCTGAATTCAATGACATCAATACGTTGTTGACAACTTATCAGCGGCAAATCTCATCGTCAGAGACACCCACAGAAACACTTCGTCCAAAGGATTTTTATTCATTACTCCAGTTGATCTACTTTTAGTTCTTCATTCACTCTAATCCAAAATGTCATCTGTGACATTCACAAGACACAAAGCAGGGTTGAATAGAACTGTTAACGTGCTGCCTGTTGCTTTTCACGAATGATACCAGTCATCGAATGCATCGTCGAGTTTTAGTGCACGACGCAATTGAAAAAAACAAGGGTGTGTTCTTTTGAACATTATGAGTTGTCTTTTCATGAATACATGTTTTATTTGTATGTTTGTTATATGGAAAGAAGAAGAAGATAGGAGCTATTGATTTTTAGTCGTAGACAAGAGAAATTACTTTAGAAGTCGAAACAGATAAGTATTGAAAGAAACATATGACAAAGATAGATTCCACACAAAACACACATATAAGATCTATGTGGAATGAAAAGAAAACTACAGACAAACATACAGAAGCAAACTACAATGAAATCAATGTACAACATGTGAGAAGTGAAAAAGAAGAAGAAGAAGAAGCAGAACATTGAAATAATTGAGTTGAATGCGTCTTAATCTCCACTGCCCGAATCGCCTCCGTTATTGCTTCCATGTGATGCTGCTGCTTTTGCTGCTGATTGTAAAGCTGATTCGCCAATCGAAACTGGCACAACTACAGGCGAATTATTTCCAGCAGCTGACAATAATGATGGCGTACTACTTGAAGTCGCAGCTGTTGAAGACTGCATAGATGCTTCGCTTAAAAGTTGGCTAGCTGCTGTCTGAGAAAGAAATGGAGCAGCTAATGGAAATAATGATGAGAATGGTGATACGCCATTTAGACCAGTTTCATATGCTGTACCTGAATATATTCAATCAAGTTACAGTGTTAGATCTAGGATGAAAGTGTCTTACGTGGCACATTAAGATAATCTCTATTAACACAGTATCGAAGTGAACCAGGTAATTTGCTTGTTAAGCCACGACGTACTTCATGTGCTGCATTCTCTCGTATTTCTTGAGCACTTGCTTCACTATACCATGCAGTTCGCGGCGTACATATTAAATTAACAGCATCTTTTAGTGGTCCTAACAACGGAGAGATTCACTTTTCATAGGGGAGAAACCTTGATAAAAGAATATCTTACCAGCAGCTAAATTATACGGTTCATTTTCCAGAACATCAAGCGCAGCACCACGAATTCGACCATCCTTCAATGCTGCAGCTAAGGCTGTTTCATCAATGAGACCGCCGCGAGATACATTAACAAGAAAAGCTCCTGGTCTCATTTGTTTTATAGTAAAATCATTGATCAAATGATGATTGTGTTCATTCAGTGAACAATGAAGTGTAACACAATCCGAACGGTAGAGTAGATCTTGTAAAGTGAATACTCGTGTAATGCCTAAAAGAGATTCCAGAAGAATTTAGCACATTGTCGCAGAGACATACTCACCTAGCACTTTATCGATGCCATCAGATAGATAAGGATCAAAAAATATAACATTGAAACCAAACACCTTCGCACGTACAGCAACAGCCATGCCAACTTGTCCTAGACCAACAATTCCCAATGTTTCATTGCGAATTCTTGCACAACCAGCTGCAACTTCACGAATTTGTTCTGGTGTTGACACACGTTTGCCTTCTTTGACTGTTTGAGCTAACCATGCTGTGCGTCGATACAAATTCAATATCATACTCAGAGTTGTATCAGCCATCTCTTCAACGTACAAGGACGGAATATTGGCCACGGCAATACCTTGTTCACCTGCTGCTTTTATATCGATATTATCATATGCTGAACCTATTCGTACGATTAACTTCAGTGCTTTAAATTTAGCTAAATCTTCTTTCTTCAAAGTTATTGCATGCCAAACTAGAGCAGCTGTTGCTTCGTTGAGAACTTTTTCGTGAATTTCCGACGTTGACTGAGCATCGCAAAAGGCGACCGTAGCTATATCTTTTAGAATAGGCATTTCGATCGTACAATCGCGTCCATCGAGCAAGGCAACAAGAGGACGCGCACCCGATGCAGCAGGACCATTCGAGAGAGGCATCCGAGAAGGTATTGCTAAAGCAGACGAAAAATAGTTTAATAAATTTCAATTCTATCACGAAATTGATCGAAAGTTAGTTACCGGAAAGAAGACTGCTAGAGTCGATACGTGGCTTTTTTGGGTTACTGCCTCCTGAACTAGACATTCAACATTCGAAACTAGAATGAAAAAAAAAAGAAAGAATATGCTAATGAGGTACTTAGCAAATCAAAAGAGAACGATTAAATGACTGACTGACAGTCGATTACAGTAAGAACAAAGATAAAACAAATAAACAAATGGCAGCAAGTTAAAAGTAATTCAATTGGGCTAATTGGCCAATGAAAGAATAGCTTAGAAATATGATTTGGCACAGATGGCGCTAGAATTTACCGTTCTTTCCCCAAATAGAGTACTTTATTACTAATGCGATTAAATTTATCGATGACGAAAACCGAGAATCGTTTGTGTTGTCTTCATCTAAGGCAAGAAAATATAGATGGCGACAGTAGCATCCATCACCGCGTATATCACAACTCCGAAAGAACTTTTATTAATATACTTACGAAACGCCTCTAACACGCCAAGCTTATTTTGTATCTTAATTATTCTGCCAAAAAGGATATGTCTAAATGGTTTGCACATGCACACAATATCAAATGGAACTTATAATTAGAAGTTCTTTCAATTGATAAGAAACGAAGCATTAAGTATAAATCTTTATTGAATTCCAAAATACATATCATAATTTATTTTTAAGAAAAAACATTTGTAAGAAATACGCTAGATTTCTTTGACAAAGAGCAAATTCGCATAGTGGAAGATAATGAAATGAGAGAGTACACATAATCAGCATTTCTTAATGCTAGATTAGTTGCATTGTAGCGCGTTCTCTTTGAAAGTAACGCCTGACCAGAAATACACTCGCTGACTTGAATAAATGAGAAAACATTAATCGTATTCTGGAAAGCAAAAATAGATATTTCGAAGTTCGTCGTCGTTGGTGAAAACGAATTAAGTTAAAAATATTCATAATAAGACGACATTTTTACTGTGTTTGACGATGAATAATTTCAATGTCATTTTATTAATATTAATACTAAAAGAAAATATTTGAAGTGTAGAAATTCTAGAAGCTCAGAAGTATCCTCATTAACTCTATCCTCTCAGAATAAAATTATCTCGATTTTCACAGGGCAAAAGGAAAGCTTGGTAGCTACATCATTCTCGCAGCAGGTATCGTATTATCATAGCGTGTCATTAGCAACGAACTCTGATGGTTGGCAAGGACATCTGCATGATACTTTTCCATCAGTCTTTTGAACTGCAGCATTTTGGCAGCTTAGAGAAGCACTCCAAGTGCAAGATTTAACTTTTGAAGAATAAAAAAGAACTTTCTATGACGGTATGATTAACTTACATGTAAGGAATAATTCGTGTGCTGTTTATCGTGATGGAAAAAGTCTATTTCCATATTCCATTTTCATATTTTTCCCTCCAGAATTCCGCTTTTGTTAGATTTGCTAGTTTCAGCGTTGAATTTCGTAGCTTGCCGTATGGCTCAACTCCATTCAACCATTGTACGAATGTGTAAATAGAAAATTGTATGTAATAAATCCATGATTCTCGATCGATTTGATTGACATCGGAGGGATTGTTTTTCGAAACGGGTTTTTGTATTGCCAAAGGAGGATGTAGGCTATACGCGATCAGTTGATGGCTACTGACAAGTTTAACTAATGAATCATCGATAGGTCTAGAAGGATTTGGTAGAAGATAGACGAGTTTTCTTGCTGTATCTGATCGAATTGCATATGCATGTGTGCAACTTGGATGACGGGCTTGATGAATACGATAGGAATACTTCAATGACTGATGGATAAGTTTTCCTGCCGGATTTGCACAATGACCCAAATAAATCAAATCTGCTTGATTCCAAATTGAGTTTGGTATCGACTGAATGACTTGCGGGGTCATCATTTCCAAATCGATGTCATCTTCGAACACAAGTGACCAAATATTATTCTGACAAGACGTTGTATTAGCAATAGTTATCCATACACGCATATGACTTGCCCAACAAGCTAACTCGGTGGTTTTGAAAAAGAAATTGTGTTGCTTTCGACTGAGAATCTCTTTGGACAATACGGAATACGCTGGAACGATAAATGCGTCTAAATTTAATGCTTGCATAATAGCGATAGATTCGGTTCGTCGATCATTGCGTACTGGTAAATTAATTATGTAGACTGATGATATTGTGCCTAGGTTTGTTTGATTTCCGGTAATGTGTAAAATTGATGAACGATCAAACGGTTCGATTAGTTGGACTGACGATGAAATGAAGTGAGATTTTCGATTTGATAAATAATTGATAGTAAAAAAAAGAAATGCAAAGAGTAACAGAGTGATTGTTTTATGAGTTTTTCTATGCAATCGTCGCGTAGAGAAGGCCATTTCCCTACTAATCAAAACTGCAAAGGAGTGCACTTAAGATTCATATCAGGATGGTGGCTTATAGTTTTTAAAGAAGATTATACTCCATTATTCGACATCTCTACATACGGCTCACATGGCTCGTCTTCCTTTTCTTCTCTTTTCTCTCGAACTAGCATAGCGGTAGCCTTGAAACTCTAAAGCGACTAGTTCTTTTTCTTACACAAAAACAAAGAATGCACATTAGACTTCGGATCTGAATATTGCAAAAAACAGCAATTAACCTTATCGTAATGAATACGTAGAGTATATTCTGAATATTTAATCAGTCGCTTGGATCAAAGACTCCATCAATAAAGAATATATAGAGATGTCAACGAACGTGTATAAATTTTTGACAGTATATTCTATAAACGTCGATGACTCTTCAGAATAACGACTTCCTCAATTGATTGGAACGTGTAACCACTGACATATTCTAGCAGCGAGGTAATTATCATTAATCAAAATGTATTAACTATATTCTGGTTGACAGAATTATATTTAATCTTTCATTTAATGACCATTATTACGCACGTATGATAATTCCAAAGGAAGTTTAGATGAAGGAATTAAAGATATGAGCAGGTATTCTTGTTTCACAACTTTAGGAATAGGTTCTTTCTAGACGCTTAACACATCTACTTTTATCCTGTTTTGTGTTCGAGAGAATGTTTAGTTTCCCTAAGGATTGCTTGATCCGCCTGAATGTTTTCAAGTTCAAACGTTGTACGCACAAGACTTGATGTCATCTCATGGCGTTTAAGAACGTAAGGCTTATGATACCATAAAGTTTTCAGTATGACTTTCCTATAATTTTTCTAAGACTTTGTCACTCGGATAAATAATGCGAAGATATGTGGAGGTGAAGTTGTCAAAAGCGGTTTTTTTTACATTCTGCACTAGTAATATCCATCACCTATTATTTGTCTCTTGTGTTCATTAGTGCGAATATATCCGGTGAAATCAAAAGTATTTGTAACAAAATCCAGTTGATCTTTTTTTCTTTTGAAAGATTGCTAGCTCTGTATGTTCTCGAAAAACAATTAGTGTGTGACGAGCCTAATAATACATTGCATGATTCGTTTTTCTTCCAGTTAATGAGCAGTATTGAAATAGTACATTCTATTGGGGAGTCAAATGACGTGAATATCAGTACCACTGCTCTCACCGAAGGCGAACAATGTAAATATGTGGGTTAAGAATCTGTTTCAATGTTAATGATAGGAAAAAGTACATCATTTTGTTTTTGAATAAAAAAACACTATATAAAGCGTTTTCTGACATTATCGATGCATCGGATTGACTGCTTTTATCAATTATACGATATTGCAGCTGTTTCCACACTACATAATGTGCTAAAAAAGTACAAAAAATAATATAAGATGGAGTGATCGATATATAAAAGTATGGAATTTCTGTCACTAGCAATCATCAGTTCGACAGTCCAGTTGATTTCCAGTTTCTCTTCAAATAACCATGGTACCACGAATCTTTATTATCCTCTTATTCTCAGCTATTGCTTTGGTAGCAGTACAATCGAATTCCGTGGCTGCTCCGGAAAATCAAGTGAACAATCAAGGTACAGCCGGCGTTCAGAATCGACGCACAACAGGAAGTAGTAGAAAGATTTCACAATTGCAAAAAAATAAAAAACTTAATCTTTCACAAAAACCTGCTCAAGCAACACTTTTGAAATCGAATGGAACTGGAGGTAACAATGTCTCAGGATTGGCTGTACCACACACTCAAACAGATAAATCGAACAACACTGCTCAATCGAGCCGGCCACAAATCCAAGGGCAGAAAGGTGTCGGTGGTTCACACTCATCTAGTCAACAAAATAACGGTACCGGCAACATTACACAAGTCTCGGTATCAGTTCGTCAAGGTGGATCATACGACAATACTACGCGATCAAGCCAACCACAAGTCCAAGGGCAAAAAGGTGCCAGCACTTCGCGCCCTGCTGTATCTACCGGTCAGAAGAATGGAACTCGCACTGGTACGCAAGTCTCAGTTTCAGGTAACCGAGGTGGTAATAGTTCCACATTGGTAACAGTTGTACGCCAAGCCGATGCGTCCAATAACACTATTCGATTGAATCCATCATTGAGCAAAGAAAATAACAATGGCTTTTTCCTATTACCATTATTTCAAAATAGTAAGAACCGGAACCAACCAGTTACGTCGCCATCGTCAACACCAAGCACCAGTTCACACAATGCTACACGAGCAAACTCATCAGCCAAAAAGATTAATCAACAAGGTCATAAAGGTTCAGCCAGTAGCAACTCATCAACAGCTCGTAATTCGACTGCACGCTCAGTAAAGGCTTAAACGCACAACCTATGAAAAATGTTGCGCGAAAGTTTTGGACATAACATAAGAAAGAATTCACTGAGAAGATTATATAGTTTTTGGTGATGGTACTGAGACTAATAAAATGGGCATCATAAATTTGTACCTACTTATAATTCTGTAATAAATAGCAACATTAGCGTGATTTTTTAATCCAATGGACTGAGACACATACTGTTACTCGATACAAGCATTTGTATTACGTTCGTTTGCGTAAATGCACAACTATCATTTCGATACATGTATTTCAGAAAGACAAAAACAAGTCCAACATTATGTCAATAGACGGTTGGAATAGGTCGTTTACGAAACTCTTTCCATGCTTGTTTAAGATAAGCTCGAAGATCTTCATATCGTTCCTGGCTAGTATACATTCGCAGCTGAGGTAACTGAGTTGATTGAGAAGACATTGTCTAAACACAAAGATACACGTATGTACCCATTAGATCGAAATGAACGGCAACACAAATAGTTACGCGTACCAAAGGATAAGTCGGTAGAGATTCATTTAACGTTGCGTCTGCATCCGAAAGAAGTTCGATTGGAACTACCATTTCATTATTATAATTCGAAACACTACATCAGAGGTAATTGATTCGATGAAATATTTCATTACAATATGTAGCTTTTACCTGGGTGAAACGCCTGTAGAACGAGAGTACGTTTTCGGCATGTCGAGGGATGTTGTTCGCATCAGAGCACTTCTAGTCGGTCGTGCAATATTCTGCAATAAGAAATCTGAGATGTGGTAAGACAATATTGATACATTTCGTATTTACGTATCGTGTTAACGCTCGGATTTGTGTTTTCGAATCTTCGCCAAGTTGTGCATGCCATTGTTTGAGACGATCTTCAATCTTGCTAACGCGAACATGATCATGAGTTACATACTGTACTGCAGCTGCCGTTCCCAATGCTGCTGGTCGGATCGAACGTGCCGGCGAGGTATGACTCGCCGTTGGATAATGAGGCGAAGGAGTTCTCAGTCGCCGGTTATGCTAAATTAAATTCAATCAAGACGATTTGTAGACTAGAATAAACAGAACAAACCGGATAAGAATGATTGTTATGAAAACGTAACAGCCATGATTGTTTATTTTGATACTGTTGCTGTTCGTCATTGATGACGGGTGCTAACTGCCGTTTCATTAACGATGTAAATAGAGGTAGATTTAAAATACGTGGTGGATACGCTTGCAGTGTCAGAAGAACAGTTTCTCGCAGTCGTTCACTCAGTCCTTGTGTTGCATGACGTTTTTGTAAACGAGTAAAATTGTGTTTTAAAATGTAAAATAAATCACATGGTGCTGTACATCTTGCTGAGTTCATATGTGTTAAAAGATCACAAACAAATGATTCTAGGCCAATGATATCACCTGCATTCAATAGGGCGACTTGAATAGTACGATAGGCGCGCTCTTTTTCTGCTTCAGCAAATGTCATTGAACGACGTTTGATCGAAAAGCTTTCACTTCTCGTCGTATGTGTTTGACGAGATAATTGTAACATTGGAAAATATAATTCTAATGCACGTCTATGGAAATGTTTGCAAAGCTAGTGAATTGCACACGATTATATATCTATTTACTGTTTCATCGGATCAGATTGTGGTAGAAGATGTGGATACTGTACCCAATGCAACAATGGATCCATACTTAATTTGACTTCTCCACTAATGAAAGAATGGATTTACTTTGGAATAGGAATCAAGAAGATTTCGTTTTTACCTCCAAATAAAATAGACTGCATCGGCTGGTGCACCTTGTTTATATAAGACACTATCATATGCAAATCTACCCCGTTCTAAACTGAGACTAACCAGGCGTTTCAATCGTGCTGACCATGATGAAAATAAAGGACTACGATTGATAAATTCGGTTTTTTCTTGTAATTCCTTTTCATGGACTGATTTCAATGTTCTAGTATTAGTCAGGTCATTAAAATTCGAATGAGTTTTGCATGAACATACCGATTAAACACTTCTCGATCAACAACCAAGAGATCGGTAGGTGATGTTGTCATTACTGTTGCGCTACGCGGTTCATTTGTGATAAGTGCACGTTCTCCAAAATCAGACCCACCCACTAAATAAACAAGTTTTCGCTCATAAATTCATCGATTGATAGGTGAAATAAACATTAGATTCACAATAGTTTTTTCGTGAACAATTTGGTTACCATGACATACCATTATCTATCTATTTTTTTCCAAATAAACATGTTTCCTAAGTGGCAATCTTAGCAAAGTTCTTCAAAATTCATGTCTCTCTTTTAAGTAATCATAGATGATATAATATTTAAGTGTCTGTAGAAACAAAATTTTAATAACCACCTTCCAACATGACAAAAATTATTTAATCGTGGAGAAAAATCTCAACGGATTTGTTAATTTAGAACCGACTGATTATTGATATATGTATTTCGCAACTTTATCTATCAGATAATTGATCACTTTGAATTGGAAGTAAACCTTACCTAAAGTCACAATATAATTGCCAAAAGTTTGCCCAATGAACTCTTCGCGTTTCTCAGGGTCGTCGTGTAATTTCGTCAAATCCATCTCAAAAGTGCCATCTGTTTCAAATGACTTTGGTGTCTCATCGTCAAGACGATAGATGTTCACTGAACCTTGCAATATAATATAGAATCTAGCGATAAAAATGACATAGAAAATCTTCGGCCAGTCGGCAGCTCACATCACTTACGTATCACCCGGATCATTTTGTCGTATAACAACATCCCATGCTGGACGTCGTTCCAACATAATTGTCTTACATATATCATAGATAATCTCTAGATGAAGCGAAATATTAGTGAGATTAGATCGAATGAAAAGTCTATTTTACCATCGGATATTTTCTGAAAGATTCCTTGTTTCTTCTTCAATGATTGTTTCAACCAAGGAACTATGAAATCATTCACTTCAGTGATTGTTCTTTGCTCAGGTGATTTACTAGCAGCACGTATCAATGTTTCGTAATTAAGCGCCATATCAAGAGAAGATTTTTACATGAATTACGCCCGTTTTTAAAGAAAGAAATAACAGTGAGAAGAAAAAAAAGCGTAAAGATGTATGTGCTCTCTCCCTCTCCCTCTCTCTCTTTCTCTCCGTTAGCGATCAATACAAGGGCATTATAGTGTTCGGAAGCACAATGATCAAACAAACAGCACTGTCATTGCTAGCAACTTGAGTGTCCACATTCAATGCAAAGAAAACTGAGAAAGAGAAGTTCAATCAACGCCAGGAGAAACGAGCCGATTAAAATAATAGAGAGAGAAGGAATGTTGTATCACAGTGTGTGTTTTACGTAGAACAATCTTATTGAGATTTGTGTTTTAAATCCAGAATAATGTTTCTTATCTTTTATCAGAATATAATCAGTACGAAAGCATAGATTTGCTCAGTATTCTTTTTCGTTTTTGAAAATAAGAATTGACGAAATTAAAGTTGTTTCATTTCGATTACAAACGATTGAAGTACTTCTTTGATATAATGCAGTCGATAATATTTCAATGATCGTTGTAAGAAAAAAAAAGAGAAAAACGAAAGCGGATTTTTCTTTTGAGACAGTCAACTTTTCAAGGTAATATCTTTCTTGACAAGAAATACAATTTCAGTCGTACGTTTTCTTGTCCTCGAAATCATCGTTTGTTTCTGTTTTCCATTCAAATCGAATGGCCAAGGTCAAGAGATAATAATCAAACATTGTGTCTGTAAATTTACATCGAAAAATAGCTACATACATATAAAAAAGCTTACTTTCTATTAACGCCAGATTGTTATGAAACGATTTGATGATTATTGACAGGACAGACAAAAATAAAAGTAGAGCTCTTCCAAATATAATCACTGATTCTCTATCAGTAAAACGGATTGATACTTAGGAAAATTTATTCTTTAAGCCAACAAAAAAATAGTTTAACAAGCTTATTTCGGTCGTCCAAATGCAGCTTGAATATAACCCCATTCATCTTTAGCTGTCGGTTGTTGATGCGCTGCTCGCTGAATAGCTTCACTATCACATATTTGTGGAATAGCTAATATTTTTACAAAGTTATATTGACTTATTGGTTCGCCAAAATACTTATTACAACCATAATTAAATGAGAAGCATTGTAATATTGGTTCTCCTTCTCCTCTCGCTACCCTTGGAAATAAAGTAATAATTATTTCTCCAAGTTTTCTTCCAATATATCCAAAAACAAGACCACTTATAAAACCAACTACAAAATTACCAATACCAGGCATAAGACTTCCTATAGCCGTACCAATATATGAACCAACATTGTCGATTGTGATTTTGGTGATTTGAAGAGTCAATTTCTCTAATGCTTGTCCACTTTTGTCCATTAATGTCAAGATGAGGTCTTTTGCTTCCACAATAACGGATAAAGCTAACATTCCTAATTTAACTTTATTTTCTGATAGATAACGTAAGTATCTATTTTTAACAAGCGGATCTTCTGGATCAAGAACATTAATTGATGTGATATTTTCATTAAATTGATCAATATGTGCTTTATTTATACCAATGTTTCTATCAACGATTGAAGGGACTGATGCAGCTTGAGATTGGCACGCACCATCTGGAATGCCTTCAAAATTATAAACACTTTTCCCCGAGCCTTTTGATTCAAATTGCGGAATAACAGACTCATTCCGAAAATTTGTATATCCACTTTTATCTAAATTGATTTCTAATATTTTTTGTCCAGTGCGAACAGCTTCAGGTACACCGTTGTTTTGAAATTTTAATACTTTAGGTAAATTTTCACTTATCCATTTTTGAGATTGTGTTTTAGAAAATCCAATATTTCGAAGAACTTCTTCTATTTCAGCCGTACACGCTTTTCGATAAACTTGAACTTGATTGATTTTATGTGCATACATTGTTCCTTTTATAGCGTCCCATATTGGTCCATGAAGTAATTGAACAGCATCAGCTTCTGGGATATTTCGAAAGTTTAATTCGATTTGATTTGTTTCACCATTTTCGGACGATGTTTGAATTCGAAAATGATTCGTCTCATTCATGATAATCTAATTGTTTTAGAATAATATTTACACTAAAAAAGTAAAAGATCATTTTCTCATTGTAAAACGACTTTATATCATTTTTTGTTATTAAAATTACTGATGAATCATAGTCTATTGCAAAATCGCCAATGCAATCTTAATGATCTATATTTTTCTCTTATAATTGAGAGTTCAATTATGAAAAGCAGTTTGAACTTATATTATTTTACTAGTACAAAATTTTCTAGAATACTTTTTACCTCAAGACTGGAGTATGATTTAATTTGTTCGTCATGAAATATTCTTTGCATATTTATTTTCACAATGAAAAAATGTTTTAATACCGATGATTATCAGTCAATAATTGATACAAAACCTGATGTCTTTTCATTATTTAAAAAAGTTGGACACATCTACTGGTGGATGGATGTTTTTCTTTTCTTTGTCAGTCTTTCTATTGGTATATTGGCATCCAATAAGTATTCGCTCGATTTCTGATGGAAGACATGTATGCGCTGATGGAACTACGCCTATATTTATTTCCTCATAAATCGCATCGTTCAGACACAAGACACGCGTTTATATACTCGTCCATACAGAAGAGAACACAAGAAAACATCATATAAAAGGGCATCAGGATGTATCAGATAAGGAAAATCCATTAGATGAGAAAAATCATATCGTGCATACAGCGTATGTTAGGGAGATTGTCACATTATGGTGGATGGAATATCATAGTGGAATATTTACTAATTGACTTAATCATTTTGTACCCTGCGCCTCTACTACTGCATTAGAATATTCTTTCTTTGTAACTATAGTATACAGTAATAAGTATTACTAATCGAAGTGTGACTTTATCTTCATTTTGTAAAGAAAAGCGAAAAAACTTTTTTTCTCAATAGTATCAAACTACATCTCTTTTTCAGATATTTTACAAAACAACAAAATCAATTCATCTTTCACGCATGGGCTTGATTAACATTTTTGTTTAACTCTAGAAGATCTACAAGAATGGCGAACAAAACTAGTGTTTATAATGGAACAACGGAAACTATCAAAGTCCTTTTGTTAGATACGAATAACCGTCAATCTGATCAAGTGATAGCAGCTGGTCAAATTTGGACAAAAGAAACTGAGTCTGGTTCTAATACTTTAAATATCTTACCATTAACATCAGATCAAAACTTTTTTACTTTTACTCTTGAATCCCGTTTTGGTTTCATTATTCAAAGGAAACTGGGAAAATTAGTCATATTACCTGCTGGAAACTCTTCAACTGAATTATGGCGCAATAGGTATTATATATCCAAGCAAGAAGCTATTTGGAATAGTTGGTATACAATTCACATGGATGCATTATCAGCGAACCTAGATAGCACCGTGTTGGACGGAATTACGCGAGGACGCATGGTTTTCAATGAATCGCATGAAACAGTAAAAATTTGTGTTACCGATGAAAATGAACGAAATAGTCATGCAATTTTGAAGCACGGTGAACATATTATAATTAAAACAGCAAATGAATATCTTAGTAACTGTATGAAAGGACGTTCAATCTGTGTATCTGTATTAGATTTTAATTCAGATACACCGGAACAAGCATGCTTTTCATTAGCAAAATGTTCGACAACTTCTTGGGGAATACAAAACATGCCACGCCGTATTCCCTTCGTCCGCATTAATAAAATTGATGCACACTTTACACTTGAAGAAGATGAGATAACAGTCCCGTTTAAATGTTCAATCGAAAACATAAATAAAGATACAATGATGCAATATTTATTGGGAAAAGGATGTTCTGAAATACGTAAAAATTTCAGGTGGTGTTTCGAAGTAAAACAACTTGGTGATAATCAATATACTGCTCTGGATGGTGGGTGTCCAGTGATGTGATGTAAATATATGATTAATTTTATTATATCAACATCTGCTTGATATTCTTATTGGAAAAGATTTATAAGACTATGAACAATTTATTCCATTCCCTTCCGATGACACAACTAGCGCCTTTAGATTATTCCTATGGCTTATTGTACAATTTTTGCTTTGAAATAAACTTTTATTTTCTTCATATTATACTTTTTCACTACTAAGAAACAGTGAATATTATAGATTACGACTAATTTCCAACTATATCGGTATAAATTCACCCACGAAATAATTCTCACTATGACGGTACTGTTCGTTCTTTCTTTATTGGATGATCGCTGAGAGGAGAAAAAAAAGAAAAAGAAACTAAAGTTACACAAAACAGAAAATAGAACTAGACGAAAATCAAACGATGACGGTAGTGATTAATATTTAGGTAAAATTAATCGATTTACCAAAATATGCTTGAAGATTAGCTTCTTTAAACGATTCGGACCATGTCTAAAATACAAGAAAAATCAATGAGAACTAAATGGAATCAGAAATGTTTGATAACATACAGGATGAGCATGGCAAACACGTGCGACGTCTTCGCATGATGCTCCGTATTCCATAGCTAGTGCAGCTTCATTGATTAATTCACCGGCAACCTAGAATGATGATAGTTTATCAGAAATAACTATTCGATTGCTAAACGTACCGAATTGATCATGTGAACACCGAGAATGCGATCAGTTTTAGCGTCAGATAGAACTTTGACGAAACCGTCCGGTTCATTAATCGTCTTTGCTCGGCTATTAGCAGCCATTGGAAATCGGCCAACTTTGTATTTAATACCTTCTTGTTTCAATTGTTCTTCAGCTTTTCCAACCCATGATACTTCAGGGAAAGTATAAATAACACTTGGTACACAATTGTAATCGATGTGTGGTTCATGACCGGAGGCAATACTTTCCACACAGATGATTCCTTCATCTTCAGCTTTGTGTGCTAACATAGGTCCTTGAATACAATCACCAATGGCGTAGACACCTTTGCAAGCTGTTTGGAAATTTTTATCAACTTCGATACGACCTCGTTTATCCAATTGAATACCTGGATACATATGAGAAATGATCTATGAAAGTTGCTTCTACTACCGAGTGCCTCTTACCAACACTTTCAAGGCCGAGATCTTTGGTGTAAGGTCTTCGACCAATACATACTAATAGAGTATCGCAATTCAGCTAAATAAATTCATATATGGCGATGATTCGAAATAGGTAAAATCTGAAACTACATACCGATTCACCGTTGCCACCTTTGGCACCCTCCACGTTAACCGTTATACCATCATTGGTTTTCTCTGCGCCTGTTACTTTGGTTTCCAATTTAAATTTCAATCCTTGCTTTGTTAACACTTTTTGAAATGCTTTGCTCACCTCCATGTCAATACCCATACCACCGATATGAGGTAGAAATTCTACACATGTAACATCTGCACCTAGACGACTCCATACTGAACCCTACGAAAGCCAAACAAGTCTTCTTTACGAAAGAGATGACTGAGATGTGCATACTAATTCTAATCCAATGACACCGGCACCAATAAGAACCATTTTCTTTGGTACTTGTTTGAGTGAAAGTGCACCAGTTGATGATACAACTGTTTCTTCGTCAATCTATAATTGATCAAATAGAAGTTCCAAGTCTGATAGTGAAAGATAAGGCTTATGGTGTACCTCGATACCGGGAAATGGCGTCACTTCTGAACCAACAGCTAGAAGGATATTTTTCGTTTTAAGAGTTTCGTTTGATCCATCTTCCTTTTTCACGGTAACTTGTCCAGGTCCACTCACACTACCATAACCACGAATACCAGTGACTTTATTCGATTTGAACAAATAAGCAACACCACCGGTAAGACCCTTGACAGCATCTTCTTTCTGTTTCAAAAATACTGGTAAATTTAGTGAAACACCTTCCACTAGAAATACATTCGTGTTTATTCTGGAAAGATTGATGTTTTTTTCTTCTCGTACCTTCAATGCCTCGCTTTTTCAATTCGCCATGAGTTGCCATATGATAGAGATGGGAATTATGAAGCATTGCTTTCGACGGAATACAACCCACATTGAGACATGTTCCACCGTATGTGGCGTTCTTTTCCACACATGCTGTCTGAAAAAGATAGACACGATTTTTGTATTGATGAAAACAATTTAGAGATCACGAACTTTAAGACCAAGCTGTGCGGCTTTGATTGCTGCTACATATCCACCTGGCCCAGAACCGATGACGACCAGATCATATTGTTGTTCTAGAAAATAGAAAGGAATGCAAAATAGATAACGATTATTTCATCTTCTCTTACCACCACTGCTTGATGATGATGAAGCATTTCGAATTAACGCTGATCGTGAACATTTAAGACACTGATTAGTAAACTAAAAAACGTGCAATCTCGTACCAAATACCTCAATTCGTAAACAAAAATGAGTCTTACTCGTCGCCACGGCACAACTTGTGAGAACATCTGAAATAAAATCAGTACAATTTAGTTGATATTATTCAAAAAGTCCGAACACTCCTTTCCATTCCGTGTTTTCTTTCGCCATGCCTATGGTAGAAAAAGGTCCCATCCTCGCTCACGGTCTCGAGAGTGCCAAACTAGATGTCGCTCAAGAACATAAATATAATAGCTATCATTTAATTAAATGATGAAACTGGCATAGACTCGAAGGAGTAAAAATATCAATGATCATAAAAATACGCGATTTTCATAGTATCACGGGGAATATTCGATCCGGAAGCAAGATCAAGATATATAAGCATCCACTATCCCAAGGTATTGTTTCCTTGCATAAAGCGTTAAGACGTAACTAGAATAGTAATGCCATTTTTATGACGAATTTGTTAAGATTCTAATTCATTATCCGATAAGTAGATGTCTTAGTTATTCATGAGCCTTCTTATTTCAGCATTTTACCTTTTACTTTGAGTGTACTTTCTTTTCTAATTTTGTCCGTAGAATCAATCGTCAGAAGTTTAATCTTGGAAGACTCGCACTCTCGTCGACTTCATCTTCTGCAATTAAATGTGATAGACCACGGCTTACTTCAGGCAGTCGATTGAGACTCTCCGCGCACGAAATAGGGTGACACTTAATTTGCAGAGATATTCGCTGACAGAAGTAAGTGTTGAATATTGAAAAATATGTTTATAAAGTTTTGTGAAATCAATTTTATAGGAGAAATACAAATACAATACCTTAATTTGATATAAATTGCACGCATCCCGTTGAGTGCATATATAAAAGTAGTGCTGACAACAAAAAGGATCCACTATTGTCACGCTCATCGTATCAACTTCCGCTATCTTTCTAATTATTTGAAAAATATATACTAAGTATCCTTTTGCCTGTCATATCGCAAGTGTGATTCTCTATCGCACGTTTTACTCATTCCAAATGAATAATAATGTGACACTGCCATTATTGAATATCAACGATACAAGTGGAATATGTCCGCAGCCATTGTATTGGACAAGTTCAGCGGTGGATAATCGTGTTGCTCGACTAGTTGTTTGCATCATAGCAACATTTACTCATTCTATTTTTTGGTTACAACTCGCCTGTTGCTCGTCTGTCCGACAAGGTTCAATGCAATGGCTCTATGCATACTTGATCACTGATTTGCTCTTAATCATTCGGTATGTTTCCGTCTATATTGTTTATACCACAACCACAGATTGCTATCCGAATCAATCATGGGTTTTATTCATGTACTATTTCGAAGCGACATTCGATAATTACCTGAATATACTCGAAGTATACATTCTTCTAGCTTTAAATATCTGCCGTTACATTCAAATCGTATACAATCGAAATGTTTATCAACTTTATAGAAAATATTTGCTTGCAGCTCACGTGTGCATTTATACAGTTCCTGCAATTTCAATATTAATACAGTTTTACGCTGGCTGGTGTCAATTACTAGTTGTTCCAAGAAATTATTGTCAAGTGATGTATACAAATATCTACATCCAAGCTTTTAATGTTATCACAGCATTTGCCCTTCCTATTGCACTGAATATTATCATCATTTATTGCAGTGTGCGTCATGTCCGTTCGGCGTCAACAGTGCGAGCAGGTGCACATCATGTTTCTGCACGACAGAAATATAACCGATCGCTAGTAATACAATTTCTTGTTTTCTACACTATCTGGCTTTCATTGTGGTCACCCAATGTGGTTGCTTTTCAAGTATCGATCGCCGATGGCGATGTTACTCGTTATGTTCGGATGCTCAATTTTGTCGAGATAGCGTTGGATCCCATTATTATCGCTGCACTAGATGTTCGTTTTTGGCAAGAATGGCGTCGAGTTATTCTACATCTAAAAGCTAATCATCTTTGTAGTGGAACAAACCCAGCACGAGTTCAACCGACGACAACAGCTGCGAATATGCCGTCGGTCAAACAGCCTCGATTGGATGCAACGGCATTGTGAATATCGAATTTACGCTTGGCAAATTTATGTATTTCATCGGCCCATTGGAGTATTATCCTCAAGTCTACCTTGACTTTACAGACAATTATCCTCGAAATACTTCTCCAAAAGCTCAGATGACATGTTAATGTAGAAATTCTTAACTCAGATTATTAATATTTGAAATGGTGGAGCTAAAGAAAAGAATGTAGCAAATTTGACCTCTGCGTATGTTTAATAAAAGCTGATTTTCATCAAACAAATGGAAAAGTAAGACGGCGATGAGGCGTTCGGCTTTCATACACTAGAAAGGCAAGATTAAAGGAAGCTTAAGCGAATCTCACATCATGTCATATATGATTTTGTCTTTTTGATAAACTTTGCGTTGATACAAAGGACTTTTTATAATTCTAAACCTCCACTTATCGTGATGCGTAATAAAAATCATTAGCATACTTAGTTTAGTGAAATTCATAAATTTTCCGGTCAGTTTTACCTTCATCATAGGATGCGCTCTTTTGAAATAAACAACACTAGCACTTCACCTATACTCGCTGTTACATGGAAACAATCTGCAATTGAAAGTCAACGATTGAATTTTATTGTATGCATTATTGCATCATTCATTCATGCTCTATTCTGGCTTCAACTTGTTTTCTATCCAGTCGTCCGACAAAAAGCATTACAATGGATTTATGCATATCTGATCGTAGATATTCTTCTACTATTACGCTTCTTTCTCCTTTATATTGTTCATACAAAGTACCGTAGCTTTACATCAAATGTACTTTGGACACTAGTTGTCTGTTACATCGAAGCAGCCGTTGACAATTATTTGAACATACTTGGAGTTTATATTTTATTAGCTTTGAACATCAGTCGTTATATGCAAATCGCGCACAATCGAAATGTTTATGACAAACACCCTCAGTGGTTGATTCTATTCCATTTAAGTATCTGTTTAGCACCTTTCCTGTTCTTATTCATACAATTTCTTGTTGGATGGTCGAAATTAAAACAATCAAACGATGATCTTTGTGATTCATACTCTGTAAACGTATACATTCAAATCCTAAACATTTTTGTTGCTTTTGCCTTTCCCATTGCTTCGAATATTTTTGTTATCGCTCTTAGCGTTCGCCATGTTCGTCTGACGTCAACACTACGACGAACTGTTCATCATGTTTCTGCACGTGAGAAGTACAACCGATCGTTAGTTATACAATTTCTCGTTTTTTATATTGTTTGGCTTTCGTTATGGTCACCGAACGTCATCAGTTATCAGCTCATAACGGGCACGGACGAGATTACATTGATCACTCGATTACTCAATTCCATTGAAATAGCTTTGGATCCGATCATCGTTGGTGCATTGGACGTACGATTTTGGCAAATATGGAAAAAACTTTGTTCGAATTTCAAGTGCTTCAATCTTCGGAAAAGAGTACGAAGGTCAATAAAAGTCGTACCTGCTCACAAGCGAGAAAATATATATTAAAATGAAATGTATGTCGTCGTCATGAAGCTGTTTGCAAAAGACTGGTCAAAGTCTTCTGCATTTACCGAGTTCCCGATGAACTGCTAATGAACAGTTGATCAAGGACGTTGATGTATGACTTAGTAAAAACTTTCGATAATTGAATACCTTCACTCGCACATATTTTCGCATGCCGAAAACAACAGACACTTACTACACCTGCTAGTCATTTTCATCGTTCTGCTCCCGTTTTACATATGTAAACAAGACAGAAATTATAATGTCGACGAACATTAGAGACTGCCAGTTACATGTAAATTTCTCTGCAACATAAGTCGCACCTGGATTGATTTGCATAGACAATTCGATCAGCATAAGATCACGTTAGGAAAAGTGCGTCCTTTAGGAAGAAAAAAAATCGCAAGTGTTCAACGCATTGGTTGTCCTGTCTATTAGAGAGGCTTCGGTCGAAACAACAAAAACATGCGCGTTGTGTAAATTTTTCAATAAAATATTCGAGTAGAAGAAAAAATAAGTTTGACATGGCGTTTTTCTTTCTTTCATTCTTTCGATATTTTAATCAATACAACACTTTCATCCTCTTAGGATGAGTGGAGAGTAAGTTATGTTAATGGTAACTAAGATGCCACTCTCGAAATCTGCATCTCTTCCATTGAGTTTGTTTGAGATGAAAGCCACAAAATTTCGAAAATAAAAAATCAAATCATGCGGCTTACTGTCAATTCATTCAAACTTGATCTACTAATGCCGATTCGTCTCTGAAAACAAAACAGGTTGCAAACAATTCTCTCTTGTTCAATAAAGCAAAATCGAAAAATTCAAGTTTATATAAATAAATAAATATATCTGTCATAGTACAAAGTTCCAATTGGAAGAATACACTCTATCCGCAATCTTGATTGAATGTCAAATACCCAAACTGAACACATGTGTATCCGTTGGAACATACCGGAGGAGGGAAAACACACGGAGACACGCAAAAATAAACGAAGTAAAAGCACACACACGAAGCAAATGTCAATATTCGGCCCATAAAAACTTCACCGGGAATTGAAATTAAAAGTGACCACAGACTATATCTCGTCCAACACCTCGCAGAATCATTTGACTGAACTCATCGAAATTGATATAATTGTGTCCATCTCTGGCGACTTTGTTAATGTACCCTAAGAGCGTTTCTTTGCTCATTATCGGATGTAAAACAGATAGGAAGCCGGCTAATTCTTCGACATCGATCGTATTCGACGAGTTTTTGTCGAGCAAACGAAATGCTTCGCGAACTTCCTCGGCAGCATACGTTCCCATCATGAATGGACGAAGAATAGTAACGAATGTGTCGAATGGTAAAACATAACGTTGGTATTGTACTTTGTTTGCAATGCGTTCGTATTCGGTGCGCGTAATCGATGCTTGGTAAGTTCTCGTTCGTTTTTCCGTTTTCGTTTGCATATTCTCTAAGACTTGCTCTTCGCGAACTTCATCGTATTCGTAAACGATCTCAGTGACTTGTCCATATCGTCGGTAAATTGTTTCAGTAACCGTATAGTGTAAATCAGTCATAATGTCTATTGTTTCTCGCATAAATATCTTTTTGCAAAGTGTATATAAAAGAAAAACAATCTGCCGTTATTTTTTTTTGGTAAGAGGAAGAAAACGCGTAAGAAATCTTATAACGGCGAGGTTGCTGAATTTTATAAATCGAATAAGCCGAAGAAAAAACGAAGAAGAACAAGCTGAAGAATCATTGAAATGAAAACAAGAAAAAAAAATAAATGAGAAAATTAGAAAAATAAATTAATCTCAATGTTCGCGAGAGTTTTTCGACAGGTAATGAAACAATAATATTTGTTGCAAAACGTTCTTTGCCACCAAGCAATCGTCAATGCGCATGTTTTTGAATTGATTTTTTTAATGTTATTCTAATGATTGTTTAGGCTATGTTATGACAAGTGAATTTCGTACGGTTACGTTAATTTCTATGATTTCTTGATAGTGGCAAGGAAATTAGAGATACATGATGTCTATTTACACGAACCTGCGAGCAAAAAATACGTTTGACATACGAAAATAAGAAGTAGATCTTATCGGCAAATTACCAGGAATATTTTCCCGGTGATTTCTTTCGAACAGAAGACCATATTGGGAATCAACTTGACTTAGTTCGATCTCAAGACGCTCTGATTGGGTGTGCTGACGCGTCAACGATCGTTTAGAGAAGTGAGCAATAGTATTCGGTAGTCTGGCTTCGAACGTACCGCATGAAAATGTCGATCATAAGCAATGTATGAAGGTAGAAAAACAACTGAATAACAGCATGACAAAAATGACATAAACACTTAATTATTGAATCTTTTCGGTGATTTATTTCTAAGTGAAAATGAAAAAGAAAATGTTATGCATGTGTCCAATAATAACATTAGTTTAGGTGGCAGATACAGCCGAGTTTTTTTTTCAAAATATTTTTGTTTATCTTTCAAGAAATTCATTTAGTTCAATTTGTTTGTTTTCATTTCTATATTCGAACGTGGAGAAACAAATCGAATTGTTTACTTGTGGTTTTGTCCTGCATTCAAGACAAATGACGTACATACACAAACGATCATTTATTGAGGTTTGCTGATGAAATAATCACATGTTGATTCCTAATAATATGATGCGAAAAAGAAAAGATTCATGGAGTCTATTGTGAATCCTTCAAAGTGAATTCATAAACGAGCACTGTATGTCTGATCGATTCGACGAGGAATCGTTGTAGAATTCGATAGAAAAGATAAATAATCCAATGTTCCAGGATAACCGTTGATCCTTTTTTTCTTAGCTACAATGAATGCTTCGTGCTCCTATTCCTTGAAATTCTTCGCTCTTCAACTGATATATTTCCTGTTACTTTCAGAATACAAATCCGGATATAAAATAGAAGCATTAATTCTTGGAGGCAAAAATGTCTTTTTCTCTCGCTTTAATATTTTGATTAATATAATCAAGCAGAATATGAAATTCTTTGCTTGACGTCGCATTTCTCTTTCTCTTTCTTTACTTCCTTATTGTGCTGTTCATCAGCGCCCTCTTGTGTAGATTTCTGCTCACGTCAAAATCGATTCAGTCACGCAGTAGTATCTCAAAGAATAAATAAATAATCGTCTAAAGACTTCGAGTTTGATTCATTTACTTGAATAATATGTGACGAAAGACTTTTTGACATCGTCATTTTTAGATTGTCGACGGCAAACGACGAACATGGGTTGTGTTCTGGGAATCGTAAGTCTATATTTACAGATGTTTTCTTGTTTGTTAACAGGAATTCTTCCATGATTTTCCTCCTTAGTTTACTTGTTGTTTTGGCTCAACTGCGTGTAGTCTTTGCTGTGCTTGCTGTCCAGCAACGCGGAATTCATTAATAACACGTTTAGCTTATGGATTACTTTTATTGATTGGCACAATCATTTCCGGCATATTTTTAATGCCTGATTTGCCAAAAATTCTTAACAAGGTTAGAGGGAGATGGCAATAAATTCGAAAAATGTTCATTTCTCTGTGATTAGATCCCACGTCTATGTAAGAATTCCACATGGGATGATGAAGGCACTGTTTCGGGATATATTTCGTGCGAAGAGATTGTTGGCTATTCGAGCGTTTATCGTATCCAGTTCTCTTTTGCTTGTTTTTTCTTCCTCATGACGATTTTGATGGCGCAGGTGAAACGATCAAAAGATTTTCGAAGTGGAATACAAAATGGGTAATATTGAACGAAATATTCGATTGTCTCTGATATCTTTCCATAGATTTTGGTTTTTTAAAATCATCCTCATTGTTGGGATTTGTTGTGCAATGTTTTTTATACCAAATCGAGGATTCACATCTGGTAAAGTCTCTTTATTGTTGAACATGAAGATGCTCATCAGATGAAATCTATTTCAGCTTTGATGGTTGTTGGAAGCATCTGCGGTTTCGTATTTATACTGATTCAACTAATCTTAATCGTTGATTTTGCACATAGGTAACTTTTTCCTTGAACACGACGAGCAAAGCAAGCTTTTATTTTTAGTTGGAATGAAAATTGGGTTGCGAAGGGCGAAGATGGAAGTCGAAAGCATTATTGCGGCCTTGTCTTCTTCACTACATCGTTATATACTATATCAATTGTTTCCGTTATACTTCTATATATATATTATGCGTCGAAAACGACATGTGGTCTCAATATATTCTTCATAACTTTCAACTTTCTTTTGTGTTTGATTATTTCCGTTATTTCTGTCTTACCAATGGTCCAAAATTATCATTCGACATCAGGTCTATTGCAGTCATCGTTCGTGACTGTTTATGTCATCTATTTAACATGGTCAGCTATGACAAATGAAAAGCCAGGTAAGTGCGAACAAGTATGTCTCGTTTCTAAATATACGTTCTGTAGATCCCATATGTAATCCAACGAATAATAATGCGTCAGAAAAGCGATCTGTTGGGATTACATCTATCGTAGGATTGATTATTTTCTTCGGTATGATGAGTTATTCGGCGTAAGTTCTGATTTAATCAACGTATTGAAGAGAAGGTTCGGTGAATGTGATTTAGTATGACAAGTTCAAGAAGCTCATCAAGTGGAAAATTGCTGGGTATATCGAATAATGATGATATAGAAAATGCGCGCCCGAAAATTGGTAAGGAAAACGCGTTTTCTTCCCTTCGTTTGTGCCATTGATCATTATCTTTCTTTTTTTATTAGACGGTGGTAAAAGCTACGATGATGAAAAAGAATCTGTCGCTTATAATTATTCCTTATTTCATTTGATGCTCGTCTTTGCTTCGTTCTATCTGATGATGACATTGACTAAGTACGAGTCATCTTTTGATTTCTACCGCTTGAATCGCGCTCTTTGTGTTCTTTTCTAGTTGGCTCAAACCCATGAACGACTTTTCCGATTTTGAGCATAATAATTCAGCTGTTTGGCTGAAGATTGTTTCATCGTGGCTATGCATTCTTTTATATTTTTGGTCGGTGATTGCACCGTGCGTTTTCCGCAATCAAGATTTCTCCTAATATATTTATTTATTTATTTATTTATTTAACAGATATATTGTCTCGTTTGTTTTTTGTCTTTCCTGCGTTTTTTTTTTATTGTATAAATAAATGGCGAACAACATATTGACAAAAGTATTCATTCAGTATGTTTTCGGGGTAGATCTTCGTCGCTAGCATCGTCTTCCGATGAAGAAAAATAGATTTCAGCGCCAGCAAATAAATATCGTCGAGGAGGATAGGAGATATAAGATGATTCAGGATTGAAGAGAGTCGAATTCTTCAATGCAGAGAATGGTCGTTTACGCGACGAAGAATAAGATGATGGTGAAGGAGTTGGAGTGGGTGTTGGCTTGAATAGGCGAGGTCGAAGAGATGATAGACGTTCTTTCGGCACAGAGGGATCGTGTATTGTAGTTGAAGAATATTTTGTTCGTTTTCGTCTCGGCTTTTGCATTGAGCTGCGCAAGTTCTCATACAGAATTTCATTCATTGGTGTATGATTTCGTGGTTTGAATTGTTTGATTTGTGCAAATGACGGTTCGAAACGTGCTAAGCGAAGACACAGTTCATTTATAATCGAATCACAGTTGCCTAGTAATTCAATATCAAATGTTTTATGTGGTAAACGTTCTCGATTAATTAAAATTTGTGGAATATGTGCAGGTAAAAGATCCGAAACGAGCGAAACTGGTTTGACCTACCCGAATCAAAAGCAATTAGTAAACGCAAAAATCACTGCGCGACATACTTTCAAACTTGAACCCATCACAATGAGTAGATCACATTTATCCTTATCAGTTGATATTGTTTTATGAAAATCAACTGGTAATGGTTCACCAAAGAAGACAATATCCGGTTTAACTATTGCTTGACTCACATGTTTTGGACATTTATGACAATGTGGAATCACTTGTTGAAGAATTTCCTTTTTTATCTCATCACTAGTCACACGGTTATAACAATGACGACATGTTGCAGTCGAAAACGAACCATGACATTGTATAAGACGTTTGATTGGACAGAGATGCTCGAGCGAGTCAATGTTTTGAGTATAGTTACGTAATAATTGATCACGCCGTTCTAGTTCAGCAATGAAATGATGGGCTAAGGATGGTTGGTATTGACCAGGCCAGATTTCTTTGGCAAAACGAAAGAATGGTCGAGGATCATGAGTAAAATACTCGATGTCGAACATCGATTGTGGGTTGGGTAATTCAGGAAATTCTTCACGTAGACGAGCATAGATACCATTGCGAGATCGAAAATCTGGGACTAGAAAGATATGAGATTAGTTTCGACGAAACAGTGTATCAGCGAAGACAGAGTCACTTACTTCCACAACTAACTGATATTCCAGCTCCAGTAAGAACAAGAATGTTTTTACACTTTCGAATTAATTCTACAGCATCATCGAGTGTCTTATATTGCTCGAGTGGATGCCGTTGTTGTACAGGTAAGAAAAGATCCATGAGCAGCTCAAAGAGCGCTGATGGTGATATGTCATCGGGCAGGCCAGGTAAAAGACGAGATAAGATTGGGCGTAAGTCCACGCCAGCACGCATTTGTTCATCAATCCAATCAAATGTAATATTCATCGGTATTGCTTCTTGTTCATCGTCGTCATTCTCATCTCTATCAGAAGTGTTATCTGACTTAGTTGCTGGTTTATTCGTGTTATTATTCGGTGATATGTGTGTGACATTCAGTGCCGGCGGATCGGGAATTTCCACACTTTGATTCGATGTTTCATCGTGTACGATCGATGAAGTTGATGAAACAAAATCGAGTACTGAACTTGAAGACATGAATCTCTTTAAAATAATGATAGAGAAAGAGAATGAATGTATGTATGAATGACCTTTTTGTCAACAAGTACAAGAGAATCAATCAATAAATTTTACTCATATTGAAAAATATGTTTTTTACTTTTTTTAACATCAGAAAATAAAAATAAACTGAAAAATAATACACATCAACAGACAAAGTGAGCTAGTTAATTGAATAGATAATTGATTTCTATTAACGACTAACGACATCTATTTGGAATGAAGAAAGAGGTTGTTATACTAAATAATTCTCAATGATTCTTCTAAATAGCTTTGACTCCTCATTGATCTTATTCGTCGTGATCCTAATTATCTTTTTCAGTTACGATTCGGTGAGAGCATTTTATCTTTCTACTTCCGAACGTTGACTTTTAATTATATAGAAAACAAAAACCTACACAGGAAAAGTGCATGAAACGAAAATTTCTTTGATTAGTTTCATATGAAACGGGACAATGAGAGTATATGTGTTTCTCTATTGTGTTTGATCAATTTCATGCCTTGCTCAGATGTTCTTTCAAATGACCGATCAGACAGAAAACAAACTTAACCATAATCGATTTTATCCATCAATGTGTTTTTCTTTTCTATTGAACACATTCATTTTATTTAGTATCATAAATTTCAATTATGATAAAGTACATTTCGGTCCTTTTCGCTGTTTAATCTTCGGATATCTTCCAAGACCAGCGCGTATAGCAATATCGAAAACACGCGACAGATTGATTTGCGTTAATGCTGAACATTCCACGTAGGCAACTGCACCGATCTCCGCTGCCATTGACGCACCTTTTTGAGTGGTTATGGGCGATAGTTTCCTATTCTAAATACAAGGAAGATAATAGTTGATGGTGGCTTTTTTTGAATTACTAAGAGTGTTTTAATCGTTTGTTTGTCGTTGAGTAAATCGATTTTTGTCCCAACAAGAACAATCGGTGTGTCGGGATTGTTGTGTTTGATTTCTGGGGACCATTTCGCACGAACATTTTCAAATGAAACAGGATTAACAACACTATAACAAATAACAAACACATCCGTTTGGGGATACGACAATGGACGAAGACGATCGTAATCTAAAATCAGAAAAAACGTCCTTTTTCACATGTTTAACTTTTCTTAAATTTGCAAGGACCTTCTTGACCGGCCTAGAAAACAAAAGCAGATCAGTACTATCTTCAGTAAACATATTCGATTACCGTATCCCATAAACCAAGATTTACTGGTTCATTATCGACAACAATATTTGCTGAATAATTATCGAATCTACGGTGGAAAAGTCTTGTTAACAGATGAAATAATAAGATCAGATTAGCTTACACCGTTGGGATGTATTCACCCGGACTATAACAATGAAAAACAACTAATCATTCGACATGTAAATGTTACAAAATGAAAACTTACAATGCATTTGTTGTATATGACATAAGTAAACAAGTTTTACCTACTGCACCGTCTCCAACTACAACACATTTGACATTTTTATAGATACTCATTCCTTTACTGAACAGAAACTATTCTCACTGACTGTCTCAACTTGAACACAATTCTCCTCGGATATTTACATAACAATATCAAAGAAAGAAAGAAGTATGTGCACGTATGCGTACGCTGAGAGATTGGTCAGTAGTTTATTCTGCTCGTTCTGCGATAGTGAGAAAGAGTTCATCGTTCTGTCTATCATCGAACATGAGAAACATACGGTCATTCAAGTATTGGCAAATGCTTCCTTCACAGTAAGATCTACTTATAATCGATATGTATGTTATTTTTTCTCGTTCTTATGCACATTTGTTCATTCTCTTTCATCTTTTCATTCGATGATAAATGCTCAGCATCTGCTTTGAAAAGAGAAAAGGTCTTGCTCAATTGCTTCGTCCTTGACTACAACGTATAACAGAAGAATAATTAAGCTGTTGATTCATCCATTTCAAAATTTATCTGTTATCAGCTTTGCTTTTGATTACTCATCGGCTTATGTCAATATGCAACATTTTTCTCTCTCTCGACAATTTTACTGATAAAAAGCCAGCCGTTTAGTATTTTATCATTATTTTGCTTCTTTTTTACGTAAGACAAAAAGAGAGATGCAAGGACATCAGGTTATTTTGTTTGCTTTGCTTGTTATAATTACTTCTGCAACTGAAATCACTTTTTTCGGTGCGTACGAAAATTTTCCTATCATTGGAAATCAATCCACTATTGATGCCGATCAAATTGTGTAAGCAAATCGACAGTTTTCTCGTCTTCTGCTATTTGAATATTTGAAGGTTATTTATAAATGTAACAAAATGTCCAACAACAGTATGTTCGTGTGAAGTAAGAAGCAACGCGTCAAACAACGCATTAGCTGTGAACTTCTCGACTACAAATTCTGATCGAGGAAGTGTGAAAGTTGAACAACTTCGAGCTGATACAGTATATTCATTTGAATTAATTTGTATCGGCGCTGATAAATCGGCAATGCTTGTGCTTAAAACAGATTTTGGTCGACCATCGGCTCCGGAACAGATTTCATGCAATTTAGCTGGGAATCATGCCCGTCTGGCATGGCAACGTCCGTCAACACCTGCCGGACCTATTCATAACTACCGACTAACTCTCAATCGGACAACGATTACCGAGAGCATACCCGGTGATGCTACGACTTACACTATGGCAAACGATTACGTTTGGGGAACAGAATATAATTTGGTACTAACCGCTTGTAATACCAATCGTAAAAATGAATCAATATGTTCCGATCCCAGTCTGAGCTCTTTAACTTTCTATATGGAAGCAACTACAACAACATCCAAACCAAAACCAAGTCCAGCAAATCGTCTTTCTTGTTTCATAACATATCCAATAATACTACTTTTCATTTCATTAAATGTACTTTTGTAAAGCTTTTCTCGACATGTTATTTTTCATACAGTGTTTGATTATCTTTCGATGTCGTGTTAAGGTGACATGACGTCGTCGTCCAACGTTTCTTCGCCTTTTTTTTGTATACTGTTGAACACACGTCAGTTTATCTATCTATAAATCCATATCAGTGAAGAATGTTAAAACGAACCAGTCTAAATCAAATTCAGAAAACCAATGACGTCAAAAGAGACCGTAGCTACTCGCATATCTGGAAACATCGGCATGTTTACAATTAAGTTGACTTGTACGATAAATACAAAAACCTTTCATGTTTGGGTCTGTTTTTTTTAATGATTTTATCAAAATGCATTCTGCAAGTAATAACAAGTGGTGGACGCGTCATGTAGGTCAGGAATTTGGAAAAGAAAACAAAAGTAAAGAGAGAAAATGTGTAAATGAATGAGTGGAGAAAGAGAAAGTGTAGGTACACGTTTGCATTGTTTTAGTCAGGAAAAAAAACGTAAGGACTACAAACAAACGCACAGCAAGCAAAATATATATAATGATGAAAGTCATTCTTGTTGTTTGTCTGAAGTTAATTGTTCAAGTCGTTTCCAGAGATTCGATCGATTTTGTTCTTTAACCATCGACCTACAACACAATTGTATAGACAATTCAAATCTCACGCGTGATTTTCGTTTACCTTTGTTCATCTTCTCGCAGTGCATTTAAAATATCTTCGCATAACTTTTTGTTGATATCCATGAGATTCTTCAATAAGTTATAAGTTAAAGTAATTATGTTCGTATTCCAGTGCGTTTTAGATATTCGACATAAAGGTGGGAGAAGAATAGGTAAAATTTGCTCTAAATTTTCTTCAATCAATTGCACAACATACTCATTGGACCATAATGCTAATGAACGTTCAGCAACCTAAAAAGAAAAACGATTCGAAGATGATGATGAACCTTCGGTGGACATGCTTGAAAGTGTGATGATGTAGCTGATCGTGAGATTTGTTTGAAAAGACTTGTGCAAATATTTTTGAATATCTGCGAATCGATTATATCGAGAATTTCTTCCAATTCATTCAAAAATAAAACCTAAATAGAATATGTCGCTAGGCAAATTACGCTCATTCCCGGCAAGCGGTGTTACTTCTTTAGTTGAGCATGTTTTCGGCCAGAATTTAAGTAAACCTTTGATAATTGGCTCAGCAAGTGCTGGATCTTTTTCAATGAATTGTACAACACAATAAGTTAACTAAAAGAATGCGAAGATATCGATAGTCAACGGGGAGATTTCGCCTTGAACTTACCTGTGGATGAAATAAATTTAATGAATGTGCTTTATGCAATGGTAGAAGTACACGTTCGAGAAATGCTTTATGTTCTTCTTTTAGAGGCACAGCAAAACCATTGATAATACTAAATCAACGGTGAGAAAATGTCTATATTGCTAGACAAAAAAAAAACGATGGACGACAGAAACGTACCTTCCGAGAATTTCAAGAAGCTCGGCAATGCCATTGAATCGTTCGTATTCGTAGATATATCTAGAGAAAACATGTTTTCATTTCGTTGTTCCTCAAGAATGTTGAAAGACGATGAATACCTGAGGAAAATATTATTGATTTGCTTTCGAATAAAAGCTCTCAAGCCGAGAAATTTGCCATAAATTCGATGAAGAATCGTTTTCAAAAAGTCACGTTCGCGTGGATCTTCACTATCGAATAATTCCAGTAACTGAAACAGGGAATGAAAATCTATTTTGACAGAGTAATCTTCTTCTTACTTGTAAGACAAATTTTTGATCGATATATTTTTTTGCTATGCTCGGTTGAAAGTCAAGAGATTCCAAAAATCGTAAGAAAAATTCATAAACTATTTGTGTGTGTGGCCAAGACGCTTCTAATGTTGGTTCTTCATCTTCTGCACCTGTTTCATCCGATGTGTTACTATCCGAACCAAGTGGTGGTAAAATACGAAAGAGATTAATCGATACCTAAATCGAATATGTTTCTCGAACGAAGAATGAACACTGTTCCATACCATGTTTATCACTTCGGGATAGATATTCTCTGTTAAATAATTCCTTGTCACTGTTATGTAGTCGACGATTTCATTCAGACATGCACGTTTGATTTCTTTACTCTTCAAATCGCTGACGCAATCGGAAAAGTCAAAGATAACACAACATTGTTTCAATTTCGCTGCGAATAATTTATCTTGCTGGTCAGGAGGCGTATCTGATGAATGCCAAGAGATTTCAATAGAAATTTCCGGAAATGATTTCAGTTAGTTCATACCTTTCAATAATGGTAAAGCTTCGAGTTCCGGATGAAAATTTCTTTGTCCAAGACGTGACGATTCTTGTAAACGTCTGCGACGTGCTCGAATTGGTTGTTTCTTGGAAAAGGGATCATTATCTGGTATGTTTAAATTCAATGACATCTTATTACATTGATGTTTCTAAAGACAAAAAATGTCAAAATGTAAACCGGCGTCAAATACAAAGAAGAAATTCACATTCGTATCTACCAAACATCATCACGTATAGAATAGCAATAGCTTATCGCCTATTCACGTAGTTGTCAAGATGTAAACGAATGGGAAATTTTCTCATAGATGTCACCAACGATTTATTTTGTCGTTTTATCCAGATACGATGGGCTATGAGAAGAGAAGTGAACCAAACTCATCTTCATAGTTTACGTGTTTTCGCGATGTATGACATATATCTAGTCAGATGTTATTGCATATCTTCTCTTAGTATCCATAAAGGTAATTTAACTTATCATTCTCAAGAATCTTAGTTTTTCATAGTGATATCTATTTTATTTTGAAATCACCTTTTTTGTCGGTTCATCATGATATACAATACAGAATATACGTATTTGCCATACTTTCATTGATGTGAATGGTACAACTACTAGTCGTTTTTTATGAGAGTCGGAACACCAGCGTTGATTCATATACCATACCTACAGAGAATAGTTGAAATCATGAAGTTCCTTTTCAAGAAATTGAAAACTCGTCATTTACCATCAGAATTTTTCTATGTGAAATCAATGATAATTGTGGATTAGTTGAGTTTCATGGTCAAATTTTTGTGCAGCACAATCTACCCGATAAATAACACGCAATACTATGAAGTTCGCGTAAGTTTCTCGCTTTCGATATCGTACGAATTCTTTTAGCACTGAGTTATATTTGGAATACAATTATATCTAAGAAATTATTCGACACACTTTATCGATCGGATGTGTCTTTGGTGTAACTATATTACTACTTGTACAAAGTTCTACCCTATACACGTGCATATGAGTTAACTGAAATAACTTCAACGGAATAAGACACAATCTTCTTTTATTTTTTCATTTGTTTTCTGTAACTTTTTCATAATAAGTGAGTGCTTCTGCAGATTCAAGCGATGTTGTGGTACGAAGAAGCTAATGAAGGATGATTTGATGGAAGAGTTTTTTGCCGAATTTCAAGTGTTTTTTCATAGTATTCTATAGCCATCTTATAATCGCCTTGAGCATGTTTTAGATAACCAAGTTGGTGATAATAGTATGCTCTCTCACTCTTGTCCCGCGTTTGTTCCAATAACATTGTGTGCAGTTCTTCAGCTTTATCCAATTGTCGTATTTTGAGCAGTATCCTACCCAACCGTTCCCATCCTGTACCACCTTGAACCTCACTTTCCATACGTTCAGTGAGTACACGAAGCTGTGAATCGTCATCAGCAGTCAACTGAAGTTGCACTTCACAGTAAAGATGTTTTTTGTCACTCATTTGTTTAACAGTGCCAATTCGGAACACACTATGCATGGAGAAAAGAATTTCTGCTTCGTCTTTGAAATATCCCAAATCTCCAACCGATGCAAATGGAGTTGTGAAAATATTCGGATCAATTGTGATCACGAACAGAATACTCATCATGTCGGGATCATCCAGACCGAGAGGAATAAATTCAAGAGATTTCTCTCGCTTCTGACTAGTAGACAGAAAGTTATTGAACGACAGTAGACCGCGTATAGTTTTTGATGACTTCGGCATCCAAAATGCGAAGTGCTTGATTGAGCATTTGATAGGCAAAACACTCACGCGTATACCACCAAATAGCGTTGTCTGGCCGGTATGTAAGTTCAAATTCTTTGATAGTTTCTTCTCCATGAATATTTCCACAGTAAAGTTTACGACATTGTTTTGAGCCATGCGTCGTTGTGATTGATCAGCGTGGATCGCTTCTGTGGAATTTTCTTTTGACTTATGTGCACCGTCTTTTACGAAGTAAACCAGCTCCAAGGTATATCACAACAAGACTAAAGGACTCTAAGCTAAAAGCATTTTCAGTTGCCACTAAGCATATCAGAGTATGCTATGTGATATAACGAATATTTTTAAAAAATCCTCTATACACAATATCTTGTTTTTATTCTAATTTGATTAAAGAAAAATTTCCAGTATAACAGAAACCAAAAAAATATATATTTGACATGTTTTTCTCTTTCGTACAAAAAAATATCTCAATTAATCGACAAAGTCTTGTTTGGAAAGAAGTGACCTATAGCGGAAGTGGATAAACAATAGATTGACCATAGGCCAAATAAAGATCGAATGTATCCGAACGAAGGCAAGAGTTAGAAATGTTCGACTTGAAATGTCCATGTGCCTGTTTCAACGTCATAGTCAATGAATCGTCCATGGAATTTCTTTGTCATGCCTTCTAAGTATTGACCATAATTCATTTCAATCAATCGCTCGGGATCTGTTACTTCTTCACCGCTGTTCGATTTCGAACGATCAATTGGATACACACCAAGTAAAGATATTACTGCTTGACAATTTAAGCCTTCACCTTCACCTGGTCGATCATTTTCATCAGGATAAACCGTAACTTGACGACGATCAATTTCGACTAGAAAATAAAAAGAAAGCATTTCGTCATTACAATCAAGTATTTCCTAATTATTCTTACCTAATCGATCAAGATCAAGACCGGCTAAGTTCATATGTGAACCTTGAAATGTAACAGAACCATAATGTTTTCTTCCGACAGTGAATTTCTCAACAAAACATTGACCTTGTTCATTGAAATATGAACGTAATTCTTCAATAGCTGGCTTTGTATAATAATCTTTCAGTGTTAACTTTGGCAAACAATGTGATGGTTTCTTCGATGAAATATATTCATCATAGTTCGAATATTGTTTCCATGTAGACTGACTTTCTGAGATTGTCGCGTCGTTGATTGAATCATTAGTGCCAAGAACAATCGAACGGATTTTATTCATATCTAACAAACGTGGACGTTTTATATTGAGCGTAGATGTTTTAGTTGTTGATGAAAGACTAGGATTGGTAAGTAATAGATGTTTCTCGTACTCGTCATCATCGTCACCATCAATAAATGAATCAGCGAACTTTCGTTTTGTTGGCTTCGATGATAACGAATTGTGTGCGGGAACAGGATTTGTCGATAAAACAGATGGCTTAGTTAATATTGATAGAAATGGATTGTTTTTTGGACGAAACGATAATGTTGTTGTTGATTCTGATTCAGTACGAAGACGACGTGCTCGATCACGATGAACACCGGACTAGAAGAAAAATCTATGAAACGAAGTTTAGTATATGCAATACTTACTTCAAGGTTGCGTGCAAGAAAGTCTAGTTCTTTGTTGTAAGGTTGAGTATTGATCATTGTTTGGAATAGTTTTAAATCAACAGCAGATGTTGTCGACGCTTTCATCGTAGAGAATAAAACAGCTATGAATGAAAGTAGCGTTTTTACGATAGACGACACGAGTGTTGCGCAATAACTTACGAGTTGTGCTCGTCGTTGGTTTTGTAATGACAGGTTTCGACGATGAGAAATGAAAAGGTACGTCTGTTGTTGTGAATGATGTTAGCGTATCACCTATGCGACGAATGAGTCATAGCAAAACGAAAATAAATCAAATGAGTTATTACTTGATGCAGAAGGCTTCGAAGATTGACTATCGCCAAATGTGAATTTCTAAACATGGAAAGAATGATGATAAGTTGAGAAAACGAAACCAATATTTTGTTTGAGTGTTACCATTGCTGACGAAGTGACCGGTTGGTTATCAAACAAAAACGAAGTTGATGTCGCACTTGCACTCGTGACCGTAAATGTAGACGAAAGAGAAAATCTTTTATTCTCGTTGGATTGAATGTTCTAAATCAAAAGAAAAAAGCCAACTTCTGAAGAAGTGTGTATAGCTAACATACATCTGACAATTTCTTTTGAGTGTCATCTTTAAGTAATCCACTAGCAGGTTGATATTTGGGAAATGTAGTAGATTCAGGCGAAAGTGGTTGGAGAATAGATGTTGTTCCAGCTAGAATAGGAGTATATAGTGGAGTTGAAAAGATAAACATTCGATCTTGTCTTTTACCAAATAGAATCGACGAGGACGAAGGTGTGGAAGGTGGTATAGCTGTTGCATTTCCAAACGAAAATATGCTTTCTCTTCGATTTTGGTTCACCGGTGTAGATTGTCCAAATAAACTCGCATTATTCTTCGTCTTCGAACCAAAATTAAACATATTGAGCAAATCTGAAAAGACTCTATTTCTTCGAATGTCATATTAACCTAACTCGAATAGTTTTACATCGAAAAACGCCGTCTAATCTTGACTTTTCCTTCATATTGTTCATATGAGGTAGACAAAGAAAAACAAAAAGTTATATATTTTATATATAAATATCAATAAATATACACAAGAAGACAGAAAGGGAATTTTTAAAAAAAGCATGCAGCAAGTCATTCATGATGTCAACATATCTGACGGCCTGTTCAATGAATCAGTTATAGGCTGGTTTGGTGGTCACTTCATATTTGACTAGGTAAACAGGCATCGTGTACACGTACGTATATATTAATGTCTACTAGGCATTACCGACTGGGATTGACGCTGAGCAATATGTGTAGAACTGTATATAAGTGTGTGTATGAAGACGACGAAATACGAAAGAAAATAAGTAACACGAATAGAAGCATTATGAATATTATTAAAAGCGGCCTGATTCGATTGGTTGTGACGATGTCGGAGGTATTTCAGAATCGTTACGAAGATATGATGATGGAACAAAGCCACTTGAACCGTCTGATTTTTGTATACGCGTCCAACCATCACCATGGTCATCTTCGAGAATGTCAACACATTCGCCAACACTGATTGATGCGGCATTCACATACTGACAGCCATTGCTTCCTTGACCTGGATAACAGAAACAAAGAAATACAATATGTCCATCATAACCAGATAATCAATTATTATTTCAATGACGAGACGAATGCAAAAGGAATGTTTTGTTTTATTTAGAATACTACAATAATGGCTAACCACTTAATTATTATTTTGTATGAATTCGAGATTTCCCATGAGAAATATCGAGTACTACAGACTGTTTGTCTGGTAATTAGACTGATATGTGAAAAAATCGTGTCGAATACATCACTTTCTACTGATGTACTTACCATTGAAATCGTAGAGTGCGTACGCCTTGATATAGTTTTCTTGATTTGTTTGTTCGAAATCTTGATTGTCGATTTGATCTTGATCAGCATCTTCATCTTCGAACGATCCATTCGATTCGCGTGTCGGCGTATCAATTTGATGTACTGTCATTGATGTTATCGATGGTAAACAATGGAATTCATTCGTTTGATCATAAATCCCATTACCAATCTGTTCAGGAATATCCGATGAACTAAAGGAAACAGACCAATCAATACTAGAAATCATTCATTCTGATGAACAAGATAAAAGAGATGAAGTGCATCTGTTTATGATTTTATGCATGCAGTCAGCTGATCAAGAAAGAAAGGAGGAGAAGAGATCTATTCATTTGCTAACCAAACCGTCGTCGACCAACGTCGATTGAAATGGAGGAATTTATATTGATGTTGTTGAAAATACAACGAACTACACGCAAACGTTTAGGACGAACTCGAGCTCTCGTTCATGTCTCACCTTCGATTTTGTGAGGCCGTATCGAGGTTTTGATTGCTGATTGATTGATCGGAATCGTAACTGGTACGTGAACGTGAAGATAGGTCTATATCGGATGATGTTGGTATTCTCGTTCGCTCAATTTCTAATATGTATGCCTGCAAAAATCAATATAGATACTGTTTGTAATAAGGACTGTTTGAATTTACTTCGAAACGTTTGATTTCCGCTAATAATTTCTCTATGTTTTCATCCATGGAAACAATCTGCTGTGCAACGTCTTGTTCATCGCCAAATTTGGGATTTTCTTGAAACACGAATTTCATTTTTACCAAACCTTCTCTGAAAAAAAAAGAGTTCTCTTGCTTTCTCTCTCTCTCAACCGGACAGTTCTGGTTATCCTTCAAACACAATCGTACTTGGCTTTCTGTTTCTTCTCTAATTCATTTTTACAATTAAGAATCTGTTCTTGAAACTTGCGTACACGTTGAGCAGGTGGCAAACCGCCAAATGGTGCATTAATTGTCATGGCGCTAATGTTACTCGCATTGGACGCCTAGAAATAATGAACAATGATTATACCCTATGGCTAAATATCTATACAATTACCTTTCTTTGTGTTGAACTTCCAAATAGTTTTCTTATCGTGTTAGCTGCACCACTGGTTTTCCTTGAAGGTATTGCTGGTGTTCCTGCTGCTAATGTCTGTGTTCCATTAATATGACTACTAGGTGCATAGATTGTTGCAATACCGTTTTGACTCATGTAATCACTATTTGTGCTTCTCAGAGTGTTCGAGCGCGTAAATTCCTTGTATATCGATTGTTCATGTCCATTGTACAATGGAAGTGACGAGGACAAAGGATCACCTGCATTCAAATCGATCTACAAGATGCAATGAATGCATGTGCAGATGTCGCTGAAGAATTCATACCGGTTTTTGATCATCAGGAATGGCATAGCCAGTCTGATATTCATCGATAACTACTTGGGCATCTGCAGCAGGATTCAACTGTTCGATTTGTTTGGACATTTCATCAAGACATCGTTGCACACGTGGTAAAACTTCCATATGTGATTGAACAAAATTTGAATAGACTTTCTTCAGTTCATTCGAACGTTTGTCATCTAGTTGTTGTAGATCACACAGAATACTTGGCAGTTGTCGTTCGTAAAACGAACGCTGAGTATCATTATAGGCCGAGACTTGAGTTGAATAATTTGTATGAGCATCATCCGAGATTTTCGATTTGACTGTCATTAAATCACGTGTCTTTTCTAGCTGTGCACGAGATAAATCGAGATCCTCATGAGCTTTCTCGTAGCATTCTTTTGCACGACGAGCAGAATCATGACACTCTTCGTATTTTCGAAGTGACTATCAAACAAAAAAGAAAAGCACAAGCAGATCGAAATGCGACTTAGCCAGCCATACTTGTTCATTTCAATACATACTTTGATCATCAGATCATGCTGTTTATCCAGCTGTCGTTTGATTTTACTGTACTCGTCAAGACACTTCTTCCTTTGCTCACGACATTCTTTAATTGTTATTTGTATCTGTTTGATAGCGCGCTCACGTAAATTATCAGCGATAATTTCATGTTGAGATGCGATGTCTTGTAATTCTCTTAAAGTCGAACAGAATGCTAATGTATACGAGTATCTAAAGAAACAGCGGCAGGTATGCATGTCGGTTTTTGTTTCGAAAGAAGGGTATTACTTATTATGGAATTCTTCTTGTTCTTTGTGTTTTGGTGTATAAGTTTTGGTTAATTTCTTTAAAGCTTTTGCATAATCATCTTCCACAGTGCAACGATCTTTGAGAAATGCTTCGTACTTTTCACAGAACTGAATACTTTTTTCTGTATATTTCGTAACATTATCAAATTGGTCCTAAGAAAATAAACAACATCTGTTGATGGAATCATACAAACTTCAAATCAACAATACAAACCCAAAGTTCAATACCCCAACTTCGGCTAATCATTCTCTTCGCGTTTGATTTATTTATAATTCTCTTACACAATCATCTAGAAAATGAATATCAATCCGATCTCGTTATGTCCACCTGTGACGTATAAGGCATATCATTCATCCCTGTCGGTGATGATGTGGTAAGTATTAGTAGACAGAAGAAAGAGAAAGATAGAAAAAAAAAGAAAGAAAGAAAACGAGTAGTACATGATTTGCTCTTCTTAATGACAAGAGATCACGTAACATTGACTAACCCGACTACCGATAAATTACTTTCTACTATTACTTACCAATCATATGAATCTCATTAATCAAGAAAAAAAGGATCTAGCTATTTGATTTTCTCGTCATGGTCAACAAATCAAAGTCTTTTCTTCTTTAATAAAGATATTCTGTAACAGCAGATGTGGAATATAACAAACATACACGAGCACAAAAAAAAAAGAAGAAAGAACCAGCGGGTCAGAGCGAAGGTTAAACATCATGTCGATGACAGTGGACAGAGCGTGAGACGATAGGAACAAACAAATAAGACGTCGTCGTTGTTGTTACAGCCGCGTTGAACAAACAAAATTTCCGTTAAAGAGACAATAAGAAATAAAGACAGACACTAGATAAGGTGATAAAACTTTGCACGTCATTAGACGGTCGAGACAGCCGATCTAGTCAATAGCTTAAGTTTTAATTACTTACGAAACATGAAGAATAATCATACAAAGAAAAACTCCTTCTTTTGCTACCATCAATTCAATTGACAAGGACAAAAAATAGACAGACGAAAGAAAAACATGAGCATATGTTTTACAACATACATCATTCTCTTCGTCTTCGAAATGAATGCATTTATCTTTCTGAAATTTTTTCTTTGCTTCGTATCAGGAAATTTAATATGTTACAATTCGATTTGTCAAATGAAAAAGAGAAGAAGAAAAAAAAGATCCTTGAAGTTGGAGTCGACCGGCACCTTACCCTTCAAGATAAATAGAGTTTTTAAAACAATAGACAGAACAAATAATATAAAAAAAAAACCAAGGAGAAAATGACTCTTCCCCTTCCTTCTTTTGCTTTCTTTCTTTCTTCGTTCGTCAGATATATTAACTAGTTCAATAAACGATGATTCATCGTATCGTCTTCATTTCTCTTTTCCAGCCAGCTAGCGCCATATTAATTGAACATTAGTCTTTTTCATAGGATGACAACGGCATCTATTTTGTTTGAGAAAACTACGTACAAACAGCGAAGAGCGTATTTATCCTTGTCCAAGTACTATGTGTTCGATTTTCCTTGTTATTCGTTTATGGGGTGAGATTAAAGTCCTTATCGAGACGCTCTTTTCGTGTCACCTATCATGACCGTGATTGATGCAATCATTATCTTAGGTGACAATCAGAAAATGAAATAAGAGGTATGTATATGATTTTGTTTTTTTGCTGTTCGTGTGATACTATGTATATGTGCATCGATGTGCATCATAATAAGATATGACAGCAAGTGATGAAGGTATGTTTTTGTGTCTGTATTGTTTTGCGTGTGTGTTTTTCTTTGTATGAGTTGGTCTTTATGTATTTTTATTTACGAAAGAAAAAAAATGAGAAGAATAAAAAAATACGAGTTAAGAAAAAGAAATTTAAGCGCTTGTGTTTAGATTGATAGCGAGCAAAATGAAACGGTTGTGGCTTTTTGTCTTCGATGAATACATTACTATTACATAATAGGAAATCTCTGAAGAAAAAAAACACATTTGCTAGCACTAAGTAGAAGAGAACGAGAAATAATTTCTATATGATTCATAACGTTGTTGTTTTATCACTGACAAATGAATGAAAGAAAGTGTTTGGTTAGTTGAAATTAAACATAAAAACAGGTAGCTTGTTGGAGACCAGCACTTGGTGTTAAGCCTTGAGCTATGAAACTAAAACCGGCACCATAGGGAGAAGATGCATGTGAAGCAGCGCCACTGAAGCTGGCTGCTTGTTGCTGGTAACTGCTGCCGAAACTGGCGGCTTGTTGTTGGAAGCCAACACCTTGTGCTCCATAGGCTGAGCCACCAGCTGGGAAGCCGCCACCTTGTGCTCCATAGGCTGAACCACCAGCTGGGAAGCCGCCACCTTGTACTCCATAGGCTGGGCCAGCTGATGAGAAACCAGCTCCTTGTGCTCCATAAGCTGCACCACTAGTTGAGAAACCGGCACCTTGGGCTCCATAAGCTGGGCCAACTGATGAAAAGCTAGCACCAGCTGGACTAAAGCCACCGACAGCACCAACAACGTGGTTACCAGCTCCACTACCAAGCGAAACACTAGCACCAGTAGGTAAAGGTGAGCTGGTATCGAGTTGTTGAAAGCTGCCTGAAGCTTGTTGTACGCTACCATAACTGCTAGCACTCAATAAATTGGCAGATTGGCCCGCGTTACCAACAAAGCCTCCTGCTTGTTGACAATTGTTACCACGTGGTGGCACGCGAATAACTCGTTTGACAACTTTGGGTGGTCCAGCTGGTTCGCAAACAGTTCGTTCCTGAACAATAGGTGGTGGTGTTGTTGGAATTTCAGTAATTTCTTCAACAACTTCACCGGCTACACGTTGAATGTAACTAAAAGGCAAACAGTTCAGACAAATTATAGACTATAGGGGGATTTCGACAAACGTACACTCGTTCTAATGTATCGGGTTCTGGTGTTGGAAGACGGCGGCGCACTTGTCGTGTTGGTCCTTGAGGTTGATCGGGTAATCGAATCACTTGTTTTTGATGGCGACCTGGGCGTCGGGGGCCTTCGACTGGGGCCGATCCGCATGGATTACCACCAGCAGCATAAGCACCACCAAGAGCGCTGGTCACACCATATGGACCGCCTGTAGCTGCTCCGTAAGCGTGGGAGTTTTCAGCAGAGTATTGTTGATAGGAACCTCCGGCAGCTGCAGCACCTTCGGCCCCAGTAACTCTATAAGCACCAGCAGATGAACCACTTGAGCTGTGTGAGTTGTCACGATCGCGTTGACGATGGTGACGATATCCCGATCCACTTGAACCCTGTCGGGTTTGTTGAGCTTCAACAGATCGTTGGGTTGAGGTGGCTTGGGACAATGTTTCTCGTTCTTGGCGTTGGCCTGTGGTAGCTTGAGACAGTTCTCGTTCTTGACGTTGTTGTTGTTCTGTAAGACCACCAGCAGCATTTTGTTGGACTTGATGAGACTCTGCAACTCGTTGTGACGAAGAAGTTTGAGTTATAGTTTGTCCACCAGCTTGGGCAACATTGACTCCGTTAGCATAGCCAACACCTTGACCAAAGCCACTTCCGTTCAAGACTTGTTGTTGGTTATATGGTCCGCTCATTTTGTATCCGATTTATACAGTCAGTTTATCTCTATACAGAAAGAAGGATATGACTTGTTTGCAACTGGGGTATGGATGAAATGAGAAGTATAAAGTATGCTTGCGAAAATAAAAGAAGGTAAAACAAGTAGTAACTATGCGTCTCAGTTGCTAAATGATTGTGGTTATTATTTTTTGCCGGATGATTGGTTAATACGAAAAAAAAAACCAGCTAGTGAAGACGTATTATAAAAATAGAGAGAAAGTGAGGAGGGAAATATCCTAAAATCGATATTTTGTGACCAAAGACCAAATAGAGATAAAAACATCGCATATTGGTGAATATTGTGCAGCAAGGAGTGTATTTTGTGGTTTATTGGCAAAATAGTCCTAATCACCTGAAAAGCGAGTGAAAAAAAAACGAAAAAGAGAAAGAAAACATATGAATACTTGTGACGCTAGACGTTTAAACTTTGGACACCTGTCCATTGATTAGCAATACAGATGTATGTATCGAAATGCGCAGATAAATCAGTGATACGAAACAAATAAACGGATTGTTTTTCCCTATGTTGACGATTAGAGCAAATCAATCATCAAATAATAACATTAGACACACTCGTTTGCTCTTTATCTAAAGTCAAATAAAAATATTTCGAGGGAATATCAATCGCACAACGAGAAAAGAAGTTAGTCAACGAAGAATTTCTCGCTGAAACTAAGCCATTGCCATCTATCGATCAAATACAATGGAGAAATCATATAGAGTTTTTATTCGTTCTCTATTACAACCATTATCTCTGATAGACTGTCTCGTAAAAAAGAACATTAAAATTAAAATAAAACTCCAAAGACATCAGTTTTCACGTAACAACAGTCAACGAATTGTCGCGACCAAGCTTAATCACGACTTCAGAATAAACTAGCCTTTGAAAACAACTTTATTTTCTCAGAAATAAATGATGCATGGCCATGACTGATAAACATCTCCTACCATCTTCATTATTCATTGGAAATATACCACAATATTCATCTGAAAAAGACGAACCGTATTCTCATATACAACGACCATCGATTTTATATAATTACAAGAATGGCCATTCGTCATCTGAGCATGCTGGTGCACAATTCAATATCTTGTATGACGAAGGAGAAGATAATGGCGAACAAACATCCGGATGTTTATTTGAACTGACTCCGCCGACGACAATTCCGATCCAACGCGTCTCATCGGAAGATGATTTCAATTTTTACGGAAAACGTAAACGTGCGAAGTTTATCGGACCCTATCTGTTTGGCGATGTGATTGGTCAAGGTTCCTATGCCAAAGTTAAAGAATGTCTCGATCGTCGTAGTTTGTGTCGACGAGCTGTGAAAATTATGCAACGACGCCGTTTACGTAAAACTCCTCATGGCGAAAAAATGGCAGCGACCGAGATACGTTTATTGAAGAAATTGAATCATCCCAATGTAATCAAATTGTACGACTTTATCAGAAATGACGAAAAGCAAAAATTGTATTTATTTATTGACCTTTGCGTGGTTTCGTTACAAGAAATGCTCGATAGTGATGAACATGAACGACAAACGAAAGCATTTCCGATCTGGCAAGCACACAGATATTTTGTACAACTAATCGATGGAATCGAGTATTTGCATTCGAAATTTATTATTCATAATGATATTAAGTAAGTAGAAGATGACTGAGATGTAATATACATATCCGCTCGTCATTTAGACCTGGAAATTTACTGATCACAATTGAACATCAATTGAAAATTACAGATTTCGGAACAGCTGAGCAACTTGACATGTAAGTTAATGTACGATGAATCCATTGTATCCTGTCGTTATGTATAGGTTCAGTGTTGATGATACAATCAACAGAAGTCAAGGTAGATTTTAATTGAAATAAAATTCTTACGTATATGAAAAATATCTCTGTAGGTACGCCGGCATTTCAATGTCCTGAAATCGCCAATGGTGAAGATACATATAGTGGTTTTTCGATTGATATTTGGTCGTGCGGTGTGACTTTATACAATCTTGTGACGGGCACTTTACCATTCGAAGCTGATAATATCTATTTATTATTTCAAACTATCGGCAAAGGTGTTTATACAATCCCAGATGATACTGAACCCCATTTAACCTCACTTTTACATGGATTATTACATATCGACAAACGCCAACGTTTCACCGTTGAACAAATCAAACAACACGAGTGGTTTCGACGACGGCCGCCACGCACATTTGATTTCTTACCATTCCCTCAATTAGCATTGAATCGTTTTCAATCATGCACTATGCAAGATTATTTGATCGAATTACATCGAACCTCGACACTCTCAAATGATAACAATCACATAGAAGAGGAGACAATCAAAATTCCCAACAATCCAGTAGCCTTCTTCAATTCATCATATGACAATCAACCAATGAATCGACAACCGAATGGCCGCACTGCTCTGAATTGCAGTTGCAGTCGAACATTAAGCGGTGACAATATTCCTTCAATTAAATCTCGATCTCGACATCCACCCAAAATCTGTGTCTTATCATGAAATCAAACAACGAAATCATATCAAACGAACAAAAACAAGCATTTCTCTTCTGTCTTTCTAGATCTCTTATCATCACACATGAACATTCAAAACAGTTGTTTTCTTTTGTTTAATTTGTTTCTCGTTTACACTTGTTAACTGATCGTCATGTGTGACTAAAATTCTAGCTGAATGTGTTCTCTCATTTGTGTGCAGTGACAGTAGATAGTCTCTCATTCGGTTCTTGTTGAATAACTCAAATTTGCTTCCTCTTGACCTTGTCTTCTCCTGTTTTCTTCATTTCCTTTTTTTTATACACTCATTGATCTGACACTTGTTATCTCGATTTTTTTGAAAAAACACGAGATAAGTGAACTAATATAGGAAGGTGAACAATCATTTGCAAAAACAACATGATTCAATTTTATTGTTGATTGCTATTGACAGAAAAAGCACCGTTTTTTTTTACAGAGTTATGATTGTGGCGAAAGTATAGGTGTACGTTCGTCGGTATTTTCACCGTTTGTAGTCAGATGTGTTCGTCGAGTAGTTGGCCGAAAGAATAAATAATGTTGGGCAATGAATAGTAGATCGAACAAAATTGAAAATAAGCCCAAACCAAACTTCGTCGGTGAACCGAATATCGACGACCAATCATCGTAATTGATTGCTAATAAAAACATTTGCACGACACTTAGTATTCCACCAGTAAAATCGAGTAAAATGTTTCCAATTGACCAGCCTTCCGTCGATTGTCGTCTATAATTCATCCATGCTTGTGGAACGTATTTGATCATTGTTATTACTAATTTAACATAGGAAAAAAAATAAATCAATGTCAACATTGACAAATGATTGGTAAAGGCAACAATAGAAGAGACGAGAAGGAAAACAGTCAAGATACTGCCGATGATACGAGCTATGTAGGAAATACGTTGTGTACCACGTTCGAAAAAGACACACTGACCAGCAGTTATTAAACATGCTATGAGAGCATGAACACTGAATACAACCTAGATAAATTTACAATTGAAACATGAGTGATTTTCGAATGAATACTTGTCTTACATCGTTCAATAGGACAGGCAAGACCCCATGTGGATGTTTAGTGTAGTATTGTTGTTGAATGTCATGTGAAGTATATAAACAAACATTAAATATTGAATAGCATGAAAATCCGAGAATGTTTAAAGCCAGGAAATCAAAATTCAGTCCAACGACACTCTGACGACGAAAGTTCAGTATAATTTGAGGATAGAATGAGATTGACCAAGCAAAAAAGTAGATCCATCCAACGAGTTGCACGAGAACATTTAATGTTCTACTTCGGGCGATATCAATCAGAAGAAAATCATATTGCGATGAGATGTTCACCTGTGGTGATTGAGCAGTTACGACAAGATGCCCTTGCCGACGACCGCTAACAATAATCATTCGACTTTGATCATCACCTGTTTGCTTAGTAAACGTGATATTCGGTAGAGTTTGAATATAACCTTGTGGATCTGAGAGTTTGTCGTTATACAGAAACATGAGAAAAACATCTGGTGGAATGATATCTGGGATAAGAAGACGAGCGTTAACATGATAGCTTTGACCGATTGTAATGCTGATTGATGATGGTTCAAAAGAAATCACTGATTGTTCTGGTTGAACACAGATTGTCAGATTGAAAAGGAGATGTAAATACAAAAATACAGTAAGAATTTTCAGATACATTGATCGTGAAGAGATTCTGTTTTGTTTTTCTGTTCGAACACGATACTTTCAATAAGGCAAGCAACACACTCTTCGAAGCAGCTGAATGGTTCTTTTCACGTAACAAATCAGAACAGAAGTGTCGCCACATGTTATATGCGTTGATTATTTATTCGTACGACAAACCTTCTCGATATTATTTTTAAACATTGATAAAAAATTTGTCTAGAAAATTCTATACATTCAACCAGGTTAACATTGGATTTGAACTGAAGCGATTGTCGCGACTCATTTCTTCGAATGTCAATTCATCCTCATCTGGACCTTTTTCTATGGTTGATGCTTATTTTTTTTTACAGACTATTCATCAACATAAAAAAACTATCCTCGATTGAACATCTCTCGATTTGATCGAGTGCAATTGTTTGCACAGGCAAATTTCGACCTTTGTTTTTCTCCTCTAGATAAAGACAAAAATTCTTCGACTTGTTATTTTTTTTCCAGCATTATGTCTTTTCTACCTTTGGCATCTACTGCCAATTCATCATCATCGACGCCGTCTTCTTATTTACATGTAAATAGTAATGGTGGAGTATCGACTATACCGTCATCTCTGAACTCTAATACTTCATCTTTACTCGGTTCGATTNATAACACAAACTCATCTAGATAATCGCTTTATTTTTTTATATATTCAAATAAAAATCGGTGTATATATATATATATAACAAATACAAGAAAACAATTCAGCAGTTGTATGAATGACGTCGGACAAGCAACAATGTTTACTTCTTCTTATTTTCTCAGAAATTGTGTCTTGTCGTTGTCATATGTTGATGTTTGTGAGTGCTGCTATTTTATGTTCACTATCTTTCTTCTACTCTTCTTCTTCTGAATCGTCACGATGTCGTCATCTCATTCATTGTTGTGTTTAACATCCTGTACTCTTCTATTACTTACTTTCATCCCTCTCTTTCTTTCTTCCCTTTTTATAATATATATATATATTGCACTATGTGAAAAAAAAACAAGTTTCGAAGTAGTTCGTTGATACGACATTGCCAAGTGTGCTATCGAATTGGAAATGGAATGCGACTTTCAAGTCAATTAGCGAATCTTCCACTTTACAGTTAGAAGAACTGCGTATTGATGAGTGATTTGATTAGCCATAATTTGTTTCGGAAAATAGACAAAAGAACCGTTGGATATGTATGCTAATTTAATCAGTCAACTTCCTTTTCGTTTGTGTCAGATAGTACAAGAAATATAGATTCTATCCATCGACACATTCGTGTCGGGCATGGTGAAAAAAAAGGCTTACGATCGATGGTTTTTTTAATCTTTTAAATCTAAAACCAATAGAGAAAATGCAAGACAACGTTCTTGCTCTTGTTATCATATAGCTACCAATAGTCTCGAGATGAATATGAATAGATTTATTCTGTTTGCTCTATATACTTGGTTAGTAAATTTAGCCATTACAGTATCGTGCGTTCAAAATGATGAGAAGATTTCTAATGGTAGAAGTGCTGCATCGATAGGATTAGTTGGCAATGTTAACGATGTAAATACAACGACTGTTGGAGGTACTGTTCTAGCCGGAGGCGGTACTGATGTTGATGAAATCTTTCAATGGATGATCAAAAAAGCTGGCGGTGGTGACTTTGTTGTTATACGAGCAAGTGGCACCGATGCTTATAATAGTTATATTTATGATCTCGGCACAATTGATTCGGTTGAGACGTTATTGATTAATTCTCGTGAGCTGGCGAATGATCCTGAAGTTGAACGAACACTTCTGAATGCGGAAGCTGTCTTTATTGCTGGTGGTGACCAGGCAAATTATGTGAACTTTTGGAAAAACACCAAAGTACACCACGCACTTAATTATTTACGTAATACAAAACTAATACCCGTTGGTGGTACTTCAGCAGGTTGCGCTATTCTTGGCAATACTTATTTTGCTGCTCTTGAGGGAACAATTACTTCAATCGAAGCACTTGATAATCCCTACAACAAATATCTTACTCTTGGCTATAATGACTTCTTGAAACAGCCGTATCTTTCCGATGTTGTGACAGATTCTCATTTTGCTAATCGAGATCGACATGGTCGTCTTGTTACGTTTCTTGCTCGTATGAATAAAGACACGGGAATCTTGGGACGTGGTATTGGACTTGACGAGAAGACTGCTGTTTGTATTGAGCCAAGTGGAATCGGAAAAATTTACGGCAAAGGAACAGCATACTTTTTGCATCAAAAAGGAATAAATAGCACCCCGGAAACGTGTTTGAACGGGTCCCGCCTCGATTGGTATCAAAATCAAAGAGCCGTACGAGTCTACAAGGTACAAGGCACCGATGATGGTACAAATATTTTCGATCTCAAAACATGGGCTTATGGAACTGGTGGCCATCATTTGTATTATTACGTTAGCAGTGGTACACTTCATATTGCTTATTGACAGAATTTTCATTTGAGTAACTACATTCACGAAGTGTCTATTTTTGATTGTGATTAATTAAGTAAAGAAAGATTTGCCTCACGTTGTTTTGTAATTCAGTCATATCAGATAGCAGCGCCCACTATTGATTCATTATACAACATTGGTTCGCGTGAATCGACTGAATTGATCTGTTTCATCGATAACAAACATTCATTCATTCGTTGATGACAAAAACCTAACTTAAACATGTTGACTCGTTGCCGTCTGGTGCTTCTTATCAGTCCCGTCCTTATTGCTATTATCGTTTATCCAGTCTCATTTGATGGGAAACAAGTTGCCTCTATCGATGCGCCGATAGAAACGACTTTTGATGTTTTCATAAAAAATCTATGGAAATTTCATCCATTTATTGTTGACGTAAAAGAATTGAAGAAAATCAATGAAACTTGCTCCTATTATGAAATCCTCGATCAAATACCGCTGTTTCCATCAATGAACATTAGCCTCCCAGCCCCATATTATGTCGAAATGAATGTCGATCGGAAAACGTTTTGCTTAACAAGCTCGATTTGGACGTCATTCTATACTATGCATGCCTATCATCAATGTTGTATGCATACGAATACGTTAAAACCGTCAACAACGATAATTACGGATCAATTTACTGGCAAATCTTGGATGATTTTTCAGAATTTTGTAAAAAAGAATATGCTTATTTCACACAAGACATCTTTGGAAAAATTACGACATGAAATGCTAATATATTCTTAACACAAGATGGCAAGACCCTTTTCTATGTCTATAAATATTTTCTAAACAATATGTTCATTAGAAACTATAGATAAATAAAGATAAAGTGAGTTACTGATATTTCCATTCACGCTCTACCTATTCCAGGGCTATGCATTATTTTTAGATTTAATGCATGTCATAATCACCGAAACCAAAAATGCTGCGAGGCGTCTGCTTGCCGGCATGAATTTGACGGTCAAAAAATAGACATTTTCACCCATCAGTACAATCGCTTATGAGTATTTGATTTTAGCCACAAGTAGACCGAATGCCGATAAAATAAGAAGAAATTCTAGTGCAAAGTTAATAGTAAAACTTTGCTAGGTAAGTTTCTTTTGCAAAAACAAAGAAAACATTTGCTTCCAATCGACAGCAACTTATTCCGAATAGGGTACGTCACTCTTGTTTGATAAAATTGCTTGTAACAACCATTAAAAGCGTCATAATTTGTTTTTATGATTTCAATGGTGTGTCGCACTCGAAAACTTGATTAAAATCCTCTGCTAGTATTTCATCAAACAACTGAAATGCAACAATCACAGAGTGTCTATCAACCTGCACAGCCTTGATCGAAAGACGATACATTTATCGATCGTAAATAAAAAATTTCACTCGATGAAAAAATTTTCTTATCTCATCGTTTTCTTTATCGAATAGTGACTCGACGCACACGAAGAGTACAAGAAAAAAAATCCTTCGCTATCGTTCCCTTCTTTCTCATTTTATCTGTACGCGTTATGTATGACGTATTTACGATAAATACTGATACTCATCGAACGTTTTCATACGAGGTCATTATGTACACATATATTCGAGAGCAAAAAATGATCAAACAACTAGAAGAATGACAAAATAAGAATCCCCCAAATGAAAGGATGAATGTAGTTTACAAAGCATGTTATCGCGTGATATTCAGAAAAAGGTAGTGTTTTTTTCTTTATCAGCAGGTCTTTTCTTTCTCCTTTTTGTTCTTGCTGATCAAACTATACGTCGTGCTACTCCATTTACATATTAACTAGGTAATGTTTAACGTTTGAATTGACTTTATCTGGATGGAATATTTTCTTTTATTATGATTATTATTCTATATGTAACGAATGAAAACTTCCGTTCTCTGGTGATTCTCGAAAATTCTTCAGTAAACTGGCGTGCCGAGTCCTGTGTTCTGTGTTTTTTTTTCTTTTTCCTTTTGCCTTAGAATATAACTGTTGACGCATGTGAAACAAACAGAGTGAGTGGAACAACTATTTCTATTTCTTTCCTGTATATTCGCCTACGTCTTGCTAATAAATCACCCCCCTCCCCTGTCGTTTCCAGATGAGACAAGGCTATAGTCTCTCGCTTTTCTTTCTTTTCCTTTTTATTCCTCTCATCGTATTTCTAACGATATATTCTCGACGAGCAGCTGTCGCGTGTGGTTTTTAGCAGTAGATGGAGAAGAAGAATGAGAAAGAGAAAAAGGGAGCATGCGTTGTCGTCGTGATATTATTACTTGATTTGCCCATCGACATAAGCATGAAGGCGGCAGTAGTAGCAACAAATAACAAAAATATTGCTGTTTCTTTTTATCTGAATCATTTTTTGTATGATTGAGTAAGTGAAGTGATTTTGTTTGCGATTCTTTTTTTTTACGTTTCTGCCTTTTTTTTCTTTTTCGACAAACGAAAGAGCAAAGGTAGTATGCGTAATACGGATGACGATGATGCTTTCATCTTCAAATAAGTAACAGGCTGATTGTAGCCTATACGTAGCATAGTGCGTGTGTGTGTGTGTGTATAAGAGAGACGAAGAAAAAAAACGAAAGAATCGTCAATGCACTACTCGAAAGTAAAAAAAACATACACAATACAATGTTGTGAGTTGTTACAGTAAGTTGTTGAATAATTCAATGATGTTCAAATCGATTCATTCGCTAGTAATTGTAAACTGGCTGAATAGAAATGCATTTGGTAAGGAGATTTATGGACTTCGGAGGCTTTTTTCTCTTCTCATCATATCCTTTTCCCTTTTGTCGCCCTCTCTCCCTCTCTTTTTCTTTCAATAGTATAATGCGTATGCATCTTATGAGAACAAGGTCTCGCATCGTTATGTGTAGCTAACAATAAAAATCATCGAACAAAGGCGATGGATGACTTTATATGAATATGTAGGAAATAGGAACGGGATGTAAGTTATATGCATCTTATTCAGCGTACATATGAGCGAACACTAGATGAGAGAAAAATCGTAAGTATGACTCAATCCGTGTTTGTGTCAATAGGGTTAATCTCTGTATAATGCGAAATATAATTAAAGAAGTGTCATTTTTCTTTTCAAATGACTGGAAGAAGATGACTAGACGATGCATTGAGGACGCATTGAACTAGTTATGTAGGATAAAGAGGAAGGCCATCGAAACGACTATCTATTCGATCGATCGGTAAAAATAGCGATGTCTATATTTATAATAGATTTTTTTTTCTAGATATTTTTTGTTTGACTGTTTTCATCTTGATTACGAAGAATATGTTGACTGAAAACAATTTTCATCATCATAATGCAAACTCTGCAATTCATCAACACCGTAGCCACTATGCTCCTTATCAACAACCATCGAATCCAGGTAAATCGTCTTCATCGCAACAACAGCAGCAGCAACAGCAACAACAACAACAACAAACAGATTTACAAATGCCGAAATTTGATTTACATCATGCAGTTCGAACAAACGACGTAGCCGGTATCATCAGAGCGCATAGCCGACTTCGGCAACAGCCACTGGTGGCCGATGCTTGTCTGCTGGATTCTAATGGACATACACCACTTTACACCGCGATTTCGAATGGGAGATCAGCCATGGTTGATCTTCTTCTGCATCTCGGTCATAATCCTGTAAGGATATAAGATTCATTTGAAAGTCGGGTACATTCGTGTATGCGTTATATTTTAGTATTGCATTTCGGTTGCTCGAGAATCAGCATTAAATGTTGCTATAGGCTACGGTCGTCTCGATATTATAAGTTATCTATTAGCTCGTGGTTTTCCTGTCGATTACGCCGGCTTTGAAAACAAAACACCCTTGGAACGAGCGATTGAATGCAATCAAGGATCTGTTGTTGTCACTCTGCTCAAGTCTGGCGTTGATTGGCGTCGGTACGAAGAACGACGTAAAACGGGTGATAAGTCGCTTGTTGAATGGGCACTGGCTCATGAACATCCTCAAGTATTAGGCGTACTTATTGATCTCTATGGTGATGATGAATCTGTATTTAATCAAATCGGTATGATGTAAATCAACACATCATCTTACTGTATATAAATATCCAACCGTACATGTATATCAAACAAATCAGTTTCAGGTATCCATATTCTACTTTCTTCTTATTTCTTTCTGTGTACAGTGTAAATAGAAAAAAAACCGAGAGAGAAAAAAGTTTACTAGCCCGGTTTCGTCTCATTAGAACATGTATATGTGTGTTTCATTGCTTCACAATCAACTCTGATCGTTGTTTGTTTCTATAGATGTGTCTATGATTAAGGAACAGTTTTATGTACATTTCTCTCTCTCTCTCTCTATATATATATATAATCTATACTATTCATTAACAATGTATTTGTCAGTGTTTCATCTGTGATTTCTTCGGTCATTTTTTGTTCTAAATGTTGTATAGTTATAATGATGCAGAGAAAACAAGAAAAAAGATCGCTTTCATTTGTATATTTTTTGTATATAGAAACAAAAAAGATATATTTGTGTGTATGACTATTTGACTTGTATATATCATAATTTCAACCTTTGTCTTTTCCGATTTGTATGTAAGTGTGCGTGTACGCGTGTGTTTTTCTTCATTAGGAAAAAAGAATTAAACATGTGAGAAGAATATAAAAATTTGTCATTAATTGTGACGTCAACGAATATAATTAATCGGAGAAAAGAGACGCATCGGTTTACTCAATGAGTTGATTAATGAAAGATACAATGAATGATTCCATTGTTCTAGTTTTATTTTTGTATATTACAACTTTGAGTACCATTTCAATGTTCGAAAAAAAAGAGACCATTTATCTTTCCATAAATTCCATCGTGTTCGAATAGGTTGCGGTCCAAAACGAGATGGTGTAAGATGCAACATTTGTCGTATGCGCGGCAATTCCAAGAGCATGGTTTGCGCGAGTTGTAACGAACTATTCAGCGTCCAGAAGAGTACGATTCCCTAATTTGTGTAACAAATAAAGGTGGTCATATCGAAATTAGATCAGGAAGTTTTCGAGAACCCTACCGCTGGTAATTTAACAGCGATCAGACTGAAACCAATCACGATTAAGCGAGTTGCTCCACGCTGGATTCGGCCAGCTGAGACAAGTCGTTGATTAGCCGAACCCGGTTTTTGTATGGAGTTAAACTAGCAAGACGAGCAGAGAATATTTGAGTGAACAAAGTCAAGAGCAATCATACAGTGATGTTTAGCAAACTGGGTATCAGAAAACCAAGTGATAAAAGGCCATAAGGATCTGCCTCCGCCAGATTTTGAAACCATAAGATACCCTCCTGAGACATTGTTGCTGTAGAAAAGTATATTCCACGTTATACTTATCTAATAGATAAATCAATCTTATGGCAGATACTTACGTAGTGTGTTAGGCGACATGCAAATCATTCGAATACCGAATGTAAAGTAAATCCACGGAACGGAACCAAATAATGCGAGAACCAATAATTTACCTGGATGTATATTATGTTTCGCATAACCGCGTTTCGTCAATTGAAGTGCCTATTTTCGTCCGAGTTCGTATCTATTACATAAATACTAATTTTACCTCTCGTTTCAACTGCTTCTTTTCTTCAATGATCGTCGCTGTCTTTCCTTGCATTGCTTGTATACTCAACATTCGCATTTGTGGCTCTAATTCGTTCACCACGCTACGTTGAACAGTTTGCAAACGGTCGATAAAACGTTGTTGAGTTATAGTCACTGCAGCACCAACAACAGCACGAAAAGCAACTGTCGACAAGGCAATGGTTGCCCACCATGGTAATGCTAAACCATCGTGAATATATACAAGACTATTAGCAACGAATTCAGCAGGTGTCTGAACGAAAGTTTCAAATGCAATTGTTGATGTCGGTTTCTTTTCAAAGTTCTGAGATTGTTCTTGGAGAACTCTCAATAATTCAGTTGATGATGAATTCCATCGCTGAGTTAACACAGATGTAACTCGGTGGGAGAAAAACTGGGAATGTAAAACAAACGAACGTCGGTACAATAACATGCTGATTTCTTCGACACTAATCTGAAAAAAAGATTCACATGTTCTTTTCAGATAACTTTCTCATCTTGACTGTGCTCTACCGAACAAAAAAGTCTGTTTTGTTTTTCATTATTTATTTCAATTTAAAATATAGAAAATGTTCATGTCTGTAGTTTCAATGCTGTTAAACTAAATCCATCACCAACATATTGACTGATATAATCGACTAATTCGTGCTTTTTCTGTGTAAATCGAAACGACTCCAATTCATAAATAGTGCACATATTAAAAATAATAGCTTCGTGGATATTTGTCGCCTTATCCCGGATTAGTTTCTCGTATAAATCCAAGGATTCTTTCATTTTGGACATGTAAAGTAAAATGACACAGTGGTTGTTAACTTCAATTGGATTCTTCATTGCAGTCAATAGCTTATTGCTTGAAAAATCATTTCGAAATAGAGAAAAGAGTTCTTTGGTTAGTAGAAAGCCATCCGAGAGGTTCTCCTTCGATGGTAGCAGACTCAATGCGCGATCAAATGCACGTTGCGCGTTGAGCTCATCGCCTGTTTGTAATAAAATTCGTACTATTAATAAATAAATTTCAATTTGTTGCTCGACTGGCTCATTTTTGACTATTTGATTTTCTAAAATCGATATAATTAGATCCATACGCTTCATTAAGATATAACAATTAGCTATAGAGTACAGAATACGTAAACGTCTTCGATGCCACAATTGTGTTTGATCCTTTGGTAAAACGCTTAAGATGGTATTGGTTATCATCAGCAAACGAAATAGACGATCAAGACCATCGTGGAAATGGTTGGAATCCATGTAGATCGGCAGTTCAGCATGAAGTAAGCGTAAGCTAAACGGAAGCTTTGATATGGAATTGAGATTACCAAAGGTTTCAAATTCGCTTTCAATCGTTTGGAATAATCGAAGTTTAATCAAACAAGCAAAACGTATAAACCAAATGTGATAATCCGACGGGTTTTTCATTAGATATGTTATTGTCCAATCAACGGCACTACGCCAGCATTGCTGTCGAAGGAAATTATTTAACGCTTCGAGAGTCTGATGATCGCCGCGCAAAGAATCGTAGGTAAGTTCGTTTTCCGTTGACTTCTTCGATGTCATCTGTCGAATTGGATTGCCAAGATATTTATCGAGAATCAAACGAGGCATTGAAGCTGACGAAGCAGATTCGAATAGCCATAAATCTGACACATCGAGTTCGTTCAAACGTGCACGTATAGACAATGCCCATTGAGGATCGTACGCGTACCAGATACTCTGCGAAGACATCAGATGTGTAATGTAATGAATTCGTCTTTTTTACTTATCAAAAGACACACGGTGACTCATTGGTGGAATGATTCCATTGGCTGAATATTTTGTCAATACGCTCAAGATAGATTTTTTTGGTTTTTGTTTACCATGACGTGAATATCATGCGGCATATCTTGAAAATATTTCCTGAAATTTGCATTAGAACTGTACTTCTTTGTACCCTAGCGTCATCTGTATTGCACTGGGCTCAGGGTGATAAAATAAAGGAACAGTATGCTTTCTATAAATAGCCATGAAATTCATTTACCACCTTATACCCTTGAGCAGTTTATTTACAGTCACTGAAGACGGTTCAAGCACAAGATCATCTCTTCTGAGATTAATTATCCGAAAAAAAGATTCGATCAAAGCACGATCCTGCTGTTTGTCATGTATATTCCATCTTTTCTCTTCTTTCACACTCATCATTCAACAACAGTAATACATAAACATTCATTCGTTTGTCATATGAATTATTACTATCAACATGCAAACAAAAAGTCAGTGTATATAGAAGATAAATATACGACCGCAATTCCTATTAATCAACTTTTGCACCTGAAATACGAGCTGATGTGAGAAACGTAAATTTATTCTTCCAACACAATCGATGAGAAAATGAAGGCTTTGCAAAAACGAAGAAAACCGTTCGCAAAGGGCAAAACAAAGCAACTTGTCATTCAGTCGATTTTTCGTTCTTAATGCCCTTTTTGCCTAAATATATATATACCAGAAACGAAAGATGACTTCGTTTTAGTACCTTCGTCGCATGATTTCCTATATAGACACCCTTATTCGAGGTAACTAGGTGTAATTTTTAGACGGTCTATTGACATGAGCGATCGACATTCTGTTTCTCACATAATGAGCCTTTTCCTGTGTGAACGTGCTTTAGGATGAAAACTTTGTCAAAAGCATACAATTAAATCACAAGTTATCTTATACATCTGAAGAATTCGAAGTTTCCTACAGAGAAAAGAGGATATTTTTCAATTAATTTGTATCAACCGTCTGGATGAGAATAAATTTAGTATAGTATTAATCTGCGCAAATTACAAGATTTCGCGTACATTCGATAGGAGACTATCTATGCAGATCACGTAACAATCCAATAAATGTCAATGTTTATACAATAGAAATATTTCACATCAAAGCCTAGATCAATACGGTCGATGGTAGAAGGACGGCAGATTGTTCACATATGGAAAGTTTTCTCACGCCTGCATTCTGTTTTTTTTTATCGATTCTGTCGAATACTAGTGATTACTGAGAGATAAATTGACTTGAGGAGAAACAACTGCAACGAATGAATTCTCTTGATTAGGCTTCTTCCTTCCTCGCCTCCTTCCTTCAAAGTATCTCTTGATCACGCGTACTGTTCGTGCTCTGAGCTACTTCAAGGGCGAAAAAGAAAGAAACAAACGACGATATAAAAAGCAAAGCCACATGTTGACGACGTGATCAGTATCAGACGTTTCTCTCTCTCCATTTCTTTTTTTTCTCCTTCTAACAGAGCATAAATATTGAGTACGAAGTCAGTTTCGTAAATCTAACATTAGTGTCTATAGTGCTGTGCTTTACAACGCACATTCATAAGTGAACTGCGAAAAAACTTTTCTAATCACTTTGTAGGTAGGTTACATGATTGTGTAAGAGAAGAAAGCAAAAGAACACAGAAATAGTACAAATAAGACTTTATAGGCCAAGTCATTTTTGCATTTTATAACCTTCAGAATATACTGACATTTGAAACGAAAATTTCTGTCAGAACAAAAAGAAAAGAGAACAAATATTCATTCTTCCTCTTTTTTCACATTTTAGTTACATTTCACATGGCATCAGTTGAGACTTCCGATATATATTATCCTCTCTCATGGATAAAAACGACAACTGATCTTATCCTCAGTCTATTCAGTAGTCCACAAAAGACCAAACGTTCGTTGCCCGAAGAGGCGGAATGCGGATCTATCGATGGGATCAAATGCTGGCTTCGAGAAGGTACGGCTTGTTTTTCTGCCAAATCAATCTCTATAAAATTCAGCTGATCTAGGTGCTGATATTGACGCAAGCGATGCTTATGGGTACACACCACTGATGAATGCTGCTATGCTCGGTCGACTTGATGTTGTGAAAGCGTTAATTGAAGCCGGAGCTGATATACAGAAACGCGGTCAATTCGGCTACACAGCCTTGCATGCTGCTGCTCAAAGTGGACATTTGGATGTCGTACAAGCACTCGTCAAATATGGAGCTAGTGTTAATTGTAAAAATGATGATGGAGATATTCCTCTGATTCTCGGTATGTTTGAAGAGACAAAGCAAATAAGAAAATATTTATCATTCGTTCTAGCGGTTCGTGGTACCCATGCAGAAATTATCGACTATTTGCTTAAGGCTGGTTCTGACATTCATCAGAATGGTTGGCTTGGACAATCAGCTGTTCACACAGCTAGTGAGTTGTAGCGCAGAACAAATGAAATCGATTTCATTTTTCCTCGCTTCTTTCAGTTGCCAATGGAGATCAAGCAACAGCCGATACGCTTCTGAATCGTGAAATGATGATTGGATGCTCATGTTCGGAATCTCATCGTCATGCTCAAGAGCATCTTCGACAAACATCTTGTCCCACGCATAATTAAAATTCAAATCATCGTCATCTATAACCGGTGTATTATTCTTTTGCAAGACGTTATTGCCATAAAGGATAAAACGTTTTTCGTCTTCAATATCTGTTCGTCGTGGTTCGTTTTTGTCTTGATTTTCTTTTCTTATTCTCACCATATGTACATAAACACGAAAGGAAACGTCGAAGAAACCTATTTTTTATTGTTATAGTTTTTTGTACGAAAGAAAGTGTGCGCGCCTGTTTCTTTCTCGTTATGTTCGCTATGGAGGATGTGTTGAAGATAATTCGTATTTATATATATATACCGATAAAAACCGAAGGAAAATAATAAAATTACAATAAATTTCACTTGTAATTTATTTCTCTAAGGATAAATCAAAATCGATGGCATGTGTATATTGACAGAAGAAAGTAGAGGCCAAGAAGAAAAATAATTTAAGTATATAAATATTGATTTAGTTTTGTAGTGTATGTGTATAGAAGAAATGGGTTTTTGATTTCTGACAATGAGATGGAGAACAGATCTTTCTATGAGATTCTAGTACCAATTGAACACATCCGATGTTTGTCCTTGTTGATTGGCACGATTTTTAACGGCTATATACGAGAGTAATCCGCGAATGAAAAGAAAGAAGCCAGCAAACAGAACGATGGCAAAGATGAAGTTTTGTGCTGGATCGTACACTGCTGCTCGAGGAACCGATGGTGACGTGAAATTACCATTGATAAATGAAGAACTGTGGAATCCACCATAACGCGTCACTGTGATCCATTTAGCCACACTCAAACCAAATCCTGACATTGCACCGAAACGGGCGGCAATGGTTGGAATTAGACAAACAACAGCAAGAAAACCAAGCCAATTGAAGAAGAACGCAATAATGCTAAAGACAAACAACAGATTTTTGGTTCTTGCCGAAGAAATTTTCAACTTACAAAGCCATCAAGAATGTGCAATCTGTACCAACATCCAAACTGGACCCTGTCGTGAACCAAGCGGCGATTGCTGGTTGATTTGTTTGATGAGATGACTAGTGAACAGGAAATAGGAGTATGCAAACATACGTAGTTTTCGATGCATACCTGTTCATTGCCATGCAAATCGATGATTTCCACAGGTGAGATGTGAGGATAATGCGGTAAATGATCCGTATTACGAACTTTACTTGGATCAACGAGACAGTAAGGCGGCGGAGCTTCGATCTCTACAGCCGATGCTGATGCTGAGTTGTCATTCGCATCTGTTGCTGGTGTTATTTCGTACGCTGGTGGTGGTTCATCTAAAACAAACAGTTGTTTTTATTTGATTGATCAAAAGAAAATTTTGTCAACGTCAAAGACTTGTCGAAGCGAATCTTAATTAATCAAAATGTCAGCAAGTAATTAGCGAGATGTGAAGCTCTCGAGAGCATTCGAATGGAGGATAATTCGGCGTGATCGTCTCTTCGTCGAACAAGGAAATATTTATGTATTTTAATAGACATTTAATGTGATCGACAAACGACATCCGTCGGTCAAATCTAATTATAAGCGTTGATTATGTTCATTTCGAAATTAGGATCGTCCACTCTCATTTATTATGCAGCAGACAAATTCAATCATGTGTTCCTTTGAAAACTTTCTCGTTTATTTTCTATTGATGAGAACTCGCCGTATATGCCATTCTTTTTCACTCGTATTTCGTATCAATAGATAATCGGTGGGAGGGAAAGTACCCAAAGGACATAAAACGGCTGAGGGCGTTTCAATTTTACCTGGTGGTGTCGTTGTCGTTCGATCTGTTGTTTCTGGTGGAATTGGTTGTTCCGTGGAACTGTTTATGCTCATAATAGACGATGAATCGACGGAGAAGATCAGATAAATAAACTAATCTGAAATGAAAACAATTCATTGTTTTAATCGACATTTAGAAAAATAGTACGAAGTGTAGCAGTGAAAAGAGAAAGAGAGAGAGAGAAAACATGAATTTTCTGTGAATGGTATCGAGAACAACAAGAAGTAAGACAAATACGATCTGATTGCAAGAAAGAACAGGAAAACAATAATACATTGATTTGGTTGTTTTGTACAAAGACGGAAGAAAAGAAAAGGAAATGACCTGATTTGGAACTCGAACAGAGGAAAGATGATAATTATGAAATCACTGTATTCACAAAAAAATATATTGACTGATAGATGGTCTCTACTGATGAGTTGTGGTACCATTTCCATTATTCGTTGCATTGGCAACAAACGAATTTGAGCTATAAGACCGATGTAAACTGATCATCGATGCTCGATTATTCGTATTTAAAGGCGTATTGACAATGGCATTCGCAGTATACATATGAATATCTTGCATGGATTCAGCTAGATCATCGACGCTGATACCTAAATTTGTTATTTCGGAATCGATTTGCGATAATTCGCGGCGTTGTTTTTCCAAAAGTAAAGCAAATTGCCGTGTTCGATCTTCGTTATATGCACTTAATTCCTGTTCCATCTAAATTCAAATCAATCCATTACAACATTTGCTTTCCTTCCCCGAACAAATCTTTTTCAACACCTTCACACGACTTATACATATTGTGACTAAACTTCAGTGTTATTCTATCACCAAGATCTGTTAGTAACCAAACGAACGTCTCCTATCCCCGACATATCATCCGATAGCCATACTTAGTTCAAAATACATACTTCATGATCAATCGTACTATTCAGTAGGGAATCTCTTTTGAGTTTCGATGTGTGTAGCAAAGTTTAATATACCTGTTTATTCAGTTCGGTAAATCGCTCCTCAATGTTACGTTCTAATTGTTTTCGCTCGTCACAATGTTGTTGTTCCATTCGATGACGACTTTCTTCTTGTAAACTGAGCAGATTGCGTTGATCTTCGTCGAGTATGGTTTTCAATGAAGTACGTTCACGTTCTTGATCGGAGTTTAATTTCAAATTCTGATGATCAAGCATTTTTTGCATGGTCTCTTCATAACGTTGATATAAGACATCGAATTTTCGTCGTTGTTCCATTTTAAGTGTTTTCAATTTCAAATCGAGCTCTTCACGTGTGCCGTTGGTCGACGCATTCAGATAATCCAACCGCGTCTTCTCTTTTAAAGCTTTGTATTGTTTTGTTTGCGTATTAAATGCTTCTTTATGTTGACGTTTAATATCTGCTTGTTTCATCTAGATAAATTTCGGTGATAACAAGTTAATTTATCGACTTAATTACTTTAATGCTTTTAGGAAATTGCTTTTGACTAAGAGCGTGTCGTTTGGCTAATTCTTTCTGACGGCGATTACTATATTCATGAAAATTAGCGATTTCAGTGTGATGCTGTTTGCTGGTGAATTCATTCCGCATTCTAAATATTCAAATAAGAAACTTCTTTCATTAATATTCATACTGTTGTTTACTTGTGTAGATTGGCCAATTGTTTGTGTTCAAGTTCTTTGGTTTGTTCGTGGTGTTTTCTTAGTAGAGCATGTCTTTGGATGACTGTGTCCATGGTTTTTGTACATTTCTAAAGTAAAGAATTTAGTATTTGATATATTGTGGAGGAAAATGAGTGTAACGAACTTCTTCGAATAGTTTTTGTTCTAGAACGTGTAGTAATAGTAGTTTACGTCGTTTTAGTTGCAAACGACGAACATTGTGATCATGTCCTAGTTGATTTTTTAATGTTTGCTCTTCGGTGCGTAGTTTAGATTGCAAGTCGTCTTTTAAACGACGTATCTCACACTCTTTTTCGGTTTTACCGCGTGTGGACGAACTCAAGATTTCCTGAAAGCGAAAAGTTTGACTTTAAAAACCTATCCGAACGGTCGTTCGTACTTTTTTGAATGTATCCTTTTTCATTTTATATTGTTTTGATTGTTCCTGTTGGAAACGTTTGAGTTCATCTTCGAAATCTGTTTGTTGTTCACGTTCAAACTTTCTCAGATGATTTTGATTGTATTTGACGCGATCAGATAATTCCTTTTGATGTTTTTCTAATAAACGATTGTTCTCAATGTGAACTTGTTCTTGAAATGAACTGTATTCGCGTTCAAGTTTCGAACGCAATTCGAGCTTATCCGTACGACAACGTTCTTCAAACTAAATCGAACATATTCTTCACTGTCAATTTTCATCTGAAATGTCCACGTACTTGTTTGAGTTGTTTCTGATGTTGCCGTCGCATACGTTTGTATCCACGGAATTGTTCACGTTGTTGATCATCGAGGTCGTGTTCACGCTGTTCACGAATGACAATACGCGAAGTTTTTATCGTCGAAAATTCATTGGCAAGCGGAGGATGAAAACTGTGCTCATGATGTGTGGAGGAATTATCAGATGCAATAGACTACGAAGAACAATAATGAGTGGATTATTTTCATACAAACTCCTGAGATCTTACATCATTTCTAGTGGAAAGACTTGTTTCATCAACGTTGATTTGAAGGGGTGGCAGTGGTTTAAGGAGTGAGAGATGTTTTTCGTTGTTGATTTCAATTGACGAAAACCGTCGATTCGAATTGGAATTCATTTGAGCAGGCGTTGGTTGCGATGCTGTCGAAATCTGTCGGCCGAGTAATAAACTATTCATTGGCATCGAAGATGGATGTTGAAGACTCGATTGACTTGAATTTAAACTTGTTTCATCACTCGGATAGATATGATTGGTGTCCGATACGAAATCTACACTACGACTGTCATCATCGTCTAAGACTGGATAGGATGTATTATTCGAACTATCCATATCCATCATAATCATTTCATTCGACTCCATAATACTTGAATTGGGCACGGAAGAATTACTGGTATTAATACTGATCTGCTCGTCATGACCCATGAGCACTTTCTTCATTCGACGATAACGAATATTATCGAATTCTTTGACTGCTTCTTTAGTACGTCGAATAAGATCAATTAAGATTTCACGATTGCTTTTGTGGACAATGAATGTCGTCTGAAGAAAAAGATGAACAGTTTCAACGAAACGCATACGTCGATTCGTACTTGGAGTAATTCCGAAGGAATTGGCCGATCGTTCGGATTTTTTTGTAAACATTTTGCAATAAACGCAACAAAATCGTTCGAATACACTGGCGTAACTCCGTTCGCATTCGGTTGCTGATTCTCTGTATTCATCATCAATGTCGGTGGGTCGTTTTGTGCAATGTGATAAAGTGCAGACATGGGATTCATGTTGAATAATGGTGGTTTTCGTTCAGCTAAACGAAATTTCCGACAGATAAAATGAAGAATAGAAAAGAAACTGCAAACCTAATTCGATGCAAGTGATTCCGAGCGACCAAATATCGACTTTTCCGTCATATTGTCCGTTCTCCATTGCTAAGATAACTTCAGGTGCAATCCAATAACTTTAACACATTGAAAAACAATAGTTTCATGACAAAATTCGTCTGAAACTACTTACGGAGTACCGACGAAACTATTCGCTGGACTAGAAATTGAAGCTGAACCGAAGTCGGCTAGAGATAAGTGAAAAAGAACGTATTTGATTTCAATTGTTTCCGATTTTCTTCTTCTCACCTAATTTAACGATAGCATCTTCTGTTAATAGAATATTTCCTGCCTTGATATCACGATGTATTCGATGCATCGAGTGAAGATAATCCAGTGCATTGAGTGTATCACATACAATCGTTGCTATTTCACCTTCTTCTAATGGTTTTTTATGGACTAAACATCAATGAGATTGGTTTTTCTTTGCGTCTAGAAAGAATTTTTCCGAGCTCTGACAAACCTTCGATTAGATCAGCCGCTGAGCCAAGACAATACTCCATTACAAGCCATGTTGTATACTCTTTTAGATAACATCCACGATATGAAATACAGTGACGATGATTTAATTCTCGCAGGAATCGAATTTCTTTGAGAATATCTTGCCATGTCTATTTCGAAAAAGATTATCGATAGAAAAATGTCTTTTCTCTTTCTAAATACATACTTCCGTATTTTGTTTTCGTCCGGTCGACATCTTCTTAATCGCAACAATTTCATTTGTGTCAGAATTTCGGCCCTACGTTATTCACAGACAAAAACCATTGAATGAAGATATTAGTGTAATTTTCATACGTAATAGACAGCTCCAAAGTTTCCATGGCCAATCTCTCTTAGATCAACAAATAACTTTTCCGGATCGTCTTTTGAAAATAAATTTCCACATTCGCCATCACTTGCTGAAATTTCTTTTGCCGATCGAGGAAATGGCATGTTTGATTCTTTTAGAAATTATGCTTTAGGTACATCTAAAAGAAAACAAAAGTCACGGGAAAGAATTCGTTACAAGTCTATGAGTGAGTGAGTGAGTGAAGCGAACGCGCGATGTCTTCTTCTTCTTCTTCCATTGCCATTTTCTTGTTTAACAAATAGGCTTTTTTTCTTCGTTCTTCTTCCTTTTACTTGTGTCGACGACAAAGAGGACGCTACTGAACAATGACGAAGAAAAAAAAGTAAAACAAGAGGCTTTGCTTGTTGTTATTCATTGACTTTACTCATTGAGTGATTCATTAATGTCGAAAAACATTGATTTCAATGAAATGAGGAAATCGCTTTATTTAGCGATGCGCAGATTAGTTTTCATACAACGGAAAGCGATGTCAGAAGTAATTACTTCGAATTCTTCCGACTATGGAAGTCTATCGTTCAACAGCAAGAAATACGAGTCAATTCGGATGCTGTCGATGCACGTGTAAAGAGTTGAAATTGCTAAAACATTGTCTTGTCCTCTGCTTTTTGTTTTTCGAAATCATCTGGACATGATGCAAATAAGTGAAAATGAACGACTTGCACGAAAGGAACATACAAAAAGCACATGTTTTATATTCACTGTACAAGTAAAAAAAAAAGTAAAAAGACAAACAAACAAAAAATGAAATTTCCGTCGATTTCAATCGTCGATCAGGCACAAATTCAATTGAGAAACACGAGTTCTGTTTTTCTTCGATTCGAACGTTGTAATTAGAAATAGTTTGCTTTTGATTATAGAAGAATAATAGTAACGATGATAAAAAAAAATGCACCGGAAAACACACGCACACACACACAAATCACATTTCTACTAGCAGGCTTTATTCTTTATCAAATCACATCAATGAACACCAACGATCATCACTAGGCAGGGAAAATTCATCTGTAACTTGATTTTTGCCGTCGATATTAGGCATATAACAACGATGATCAAGTGATTCACGTTGGTAAAATAGCAAATAAGCAGCCGAGGAACATTGTTCAAGGACACTTTCAGAGACAGGCTAAACATACGATTAAGTCTATGAAATTCAGAGCCGGAGAGGAAGAGCTTTTACCTTGCATGAACTATCGTTGAAACAGTACCATTGCTGGTTGATATGGTTTTTCACAAAGGCAACATAATGTCCACCACCAATGACTCCATAGTGGCACTGAAAAACGAGAAAAATTCAATTCGATTTGATTCATTCGGGCACTTTCTCTTACCACAAAGGCATATAGGTTGTAAGCTGCATTATCAGTATCGAAACTGTTATCACCGAAACTCGTCGATCGTTCAGTCGTTTGAGTAAATCTCGGTGGCCGTGGAATACTTAGCTGTTCTTTTGACTGTTTCGGTTTTCTTTTATGTCGTCTAAAACGGGTCTTGTTTTTTGTTGATGTTTGAATTGCTGTTTCGGGCGGTGGTAAACCAATATTGGTATCCGCGTGTGCATTGCCATTCATGAGACGTGATGGAGACAGGATAAGAATGTTATCTAAAGATGCAGTGGATAAGCCTTCTGGTGTTGTTGCCGATGGTGAAGACGAAGAAGATGATGAATCACTGAGATTATCTTCGTTTAGAGATGTTGCTCGAGAGCTTGTTGTTGTTGAACGTTGGGCAAGATATTTCGCTGGATGAAATGAACGAATCGGAAAACGAACGGCTCGAGAGGATTTTATCCAACGATTGTTCGACAATTGAAAACGTTTGATATGAAAGATCTAAACATTGAACTGTGTGAATAAAAATCACACAAGAATCGAAGGTGATCTCACCAAACATGGAGGTAATTTCCAAATATCGAGTTTTTTATCAGCCGGTTGGGATTTTTTGCAACGTTTGCAATTGAATAATTCTTTATTATCAAGATTTTCCCAATTAATAAACGATTGAAGACAATCCTCTAATGTAATGACTGCAGATGATTCATCGTTACTTGATTCCATGTTATTCCATCCGCGCGAAGATTTTACACTCGGGTGAATTTCTACATCCTAAGAAATCCACAAGATTTATTCGATTCTTCTAGGAAAACACAATTTACTTGTTCGCGAGCCGATAAATATCGTAGGTAATACGCAGCGGATTCCCATTCAATGGCGATATTTCCTTCCGAATGTAAAAATTCTTTGTCATCTGATTCGAAGGAACAACCCAAACAAAAGCTAAATGAAAGTTATTTTTAGCAACGCGTATGGTTTCGTTTAGTTCCTTCATTCAAGTTGATCTTACCGATTCCATGGACAAAGTGAACATCGCTTTCCATCTTCTGTAACATGTTTCAATACAAATGGGTAACGTTGGCCAAGAGAATCGTCGCAATCGAGTGCATGATTCGAAACGTATGTGGCATCGGTATTTTTCCTCAATAGTCGTTCTAATTGCTTGGAAATCCGTTCATAAATGTGTTTATTTGTCGTTTTATTCGAATCGACGTTGTTATATGGAATCAGAATCGGTTGGCCGAAGAATAACATACGATAGCGAGTCAAAGGTGATAAATACCGTTCTTGTCGCTCCAATCGACGATGTACCGCAACGATATATGACGTGATCACTTGGTCACTGTCATCTGTTTTGAAAATAGGTAATTCATAAGCGACAAAGTTGTGAAGATTCAACTGTTTGACTTTTGTACTACTCAAATCCATGACTGTGTAACGACGAAGACACGATGGGGATGTGACATCGAAGAATGCCAATTGTTCGACTGGTACTGATGATAAATTTGACAGTTGACTTTTGACATGATCAACTGTTAATTCTCCATTCAGTTTTACGCCATAGCGTGTTGGTTTTGGCTCATACAGACGAAAGACTAGAAAATGAAGAGAAATCATCTGCTGATTAATGTGTTAATCGAATTTGCAAGTCAAACGCACGTTTAACTTCGATGTAAACGGATGTATCGTATGGTAGCGGCAATGAAAGGATATTGAATGGATCGAATCGGACGCTTTTGAATTCACACACTCGGCATTTGACTTGCGAACGGAGTAAACCGTGAAATAAATCGACAATGATCGATGTGTTTCGAGCTAAATGATTTGACCAATGTTCTTGTGCAACCTAAGATAAACATAAACGAAAGTTAAGAGAAGGAATCGATCTAATCTTGTTTATTCTTACGTCTTCATCTGGCCGATCATCGCTGTCTTTCAATTCGACGTAAGGCTTATCGTACACACGATTGAGATCTTCGTGTAAACCATCGAGTAGAAACGAAAGAAATTCTTGCGAGTCATGCTGTTGAAAATCTGTAAAACGAGACGAGCCAAATTTCGCTACGGATCCCTAAAGTATCTCTTTTTTTGTAACAAAGAAAAATCAGGCAATCATATATTACTCGCAGTTCAAATGGCGCTAATGGTCCACGAACATTACCCCAAAGTTTTGCAACCAATTGCCCATAACATAGGGCAATGTTTCCTTGCATTCCAATAGGATTATCTCTGTTTTAACAATGAAACGTATAGAAAATGAAACAGCGTTTTCGAGAGAAGTCATATCATACTTATTGATTTCGAATAAATGATATTTATGTAGGAAATAGAACGTTAGTGGAAATGAATGGCTGAGGCATTGAACAGCAGCATTCAGGAAACATGTGTTACCGAGATTAGAAAGACCGATTTGACCGCGGCCATCTTCTTCAACATTTCCTAGTGAATTACTCGACGATGAGTTCGATGCAGCTAACGCTTTTGATCGTGTTGCTAATGTATACAGTTCTTCCGGCCATGTCAAATCATTGTTTCGTATCTCAAGTAAAATTTCTGTATTTTGAGTAAATCCAACTTCTTGACATGTGACTTCATCGATAGATTCGAAATCGATTGCTTGTAGTTCATTCTAGAGGAACAGTTTAGAACGTGATGCAGTCGATAGTTAGTAAGATGATTTACTTCGTTAAATCTTATCCACAATCGAATCTCTTCGAGAGATTTACCAAATTTGACAGAGAGTTCTTCGGCAAGTGATCGAACTGTTTGATATTGACTGACAAAGTATGAGCAAGCAAAATAATGTCGTGACGAGTTCGATGAAGTTGACGTCGAAGAATTATTTGACCCTATATGAATCCGTAAGGAAAAATGCTAACTTTCCTCGTGAAAAATTCCATACGGAACATCGTTGCTGACACAAAATTCAGTAATGGGTAGGCAAATTGCATTGATTGAGAACTATTACTATTGTTGTTCGCTACCGGCGGTGTTTGCAGAATTTGATTGCGATAAATTTTAACGATCAACTTCGAATACAGAAAGCGAAGGTCAGTGTCAGCCAGTTAATTATCAAAAAAAAGCAAACTTACAGGATAAAGATCAAGTTCCGGTTTATTCAGTTGTTTCCGATAAGCAACTTTACGACACACAATAGGTCCACTACAATTGTAGTACTTTCGTATAAATATCCAGAGTAATTCTGGTATCATTTCGAAATGAATTCCTGAACGGAGACTGCTTTTCAATTGCACACAATCATTCGAGATCACTTTTTCGACTATTGAACTGTTGTTTATATCACCAGGTTCACGGCTAGAAAATCTCAATGATGGTTGATACTCTCTTCAGGAAACAATATCATTTACTTGGTCTCGGTTTTAGATGATTTAGCAGATGCACTCTTTTTATTCAGTACTTCTTTGCTATTGGTAGGTGATAATGAACATGTGGCTTCCCATCGAATCCACCAATCGATAGCAATTAGAAACCACATTGAACCAGGCTTCGACGACGGACGACTGTATTGCAAAGCTGATTCGAAAAGAGGACGTTTTTCACGTTGAAGGAAATGTCTTGAAAAGAAAAGAACAGAACAGGTTTTCAATCATGCATCCAACATCACATACTTAACAATAGCAACTTCATCCTGTGGGGATACCGGTCGTAGTCCTAGAACGATATGACATGTTTGAAAGATAAGATCAAACAATTCAGTTATTAATCCGTCTTGTTGACACCATATAAGAAAATCTTCGGGTTTCAGTATCTGCATGTTATTAGTTAAAATCTTATCAGCATATTCGTCGGGTGTAATATCCAATTGACCATGAGGAACAAACTGAGCGACTTCGATCAGGCATGAAGTCATGTAGAGAATATCAGAACGATTGAGTATCCCATCATGATCACGATCGAATACACGAAAGAGAACTACAATTAAAAGACTAAGATTGGCGAAAAGAAGTAAAAAGAATAGGAATATTTACATTTATATCTTTCGAATTGTGGACCACGGCAAGCCGCACTCAGCCCACAAACGAATTCTTTGAAGTCAACACTTCCTAAAAATGGTTCAACGTAGTCAATTATCTTTTTTATGTTGAACTAAATTCACTTTACCATCACGATTTTCGTCGAATGCTTCAAATACACCTTGCACAAGTATTGACGGAAACACCATCGAAAGTATATTACTAAATAACTGCGAGGATATCTGCTGCTGCTGCTGCTGCTGTTGCTGTCGACTATTAGTACTTCCCCATGAATATAATTGATAATAACTCTGTTCGAGATCTTTGATTTCTTTTTCTGATACTAGAAATTCGTTTAGTAACGAATGTAGACACACGTTTACTTACGTACAATGTGTGACACCGGAGAGTATTGCATATTGATTAGAAACTCTATCGATTGAATGACTTAGCAATTCACGGCAACGCTGTTCATCCAAAAGCCAATCTGTTATTGCTGTCAGATGTCCTTGATGATATTCTAGCCATTTAAGAAATTTTTCTTGTGTTACTATTTCATTAGTTTCGAAGAATCTTTTCAAATCTTCAGGTAATTGATCACCGCATTGACGAAGGAAGTCGGCAACGTCGTACCAACGCAAAATTCCAGTTGGAGCAAATAAGGCATAGAGAACTAAAGAGAATAGTCGATTCTGATTGTATATGAAAAATCTTACGTTGCATGCGTTCTTTTTCCGTTCCACGAAAAATCACACCGAAACAACAGATAAGATCTTTATAAGACATGAATGATCGAGACGAATTTGTATAGATTTGAAAGAGTCGCTAAATAAATTCGCAGAAAAAGTAGATCGGAACGAAAACGTACAAAGACTTGCATACAGTTGCCAATTTTTCAGGTAAAAAATTGGCGAAAACATCACGTTTGAAACTGATGTAACTCAATTCATTGGTGGCATTTGTTAAATCCCGAAATGTTGCTTCGATTCGTTCCAAATCCACTGATGAAACTAAAAAAGAATGTCAACTACAATTTCAATCTCTTCAACTTCAATCTACATACATCTTTTTGCAGCTTCATCATACGATAAGATTTTCGTCGATGTACTACCCATATTTTCATATTTTTCTCATCTCGTTTGATTCCCCTAGAAGAAAACTCGAAATTGTTTTGTTGTTTTGGTTTGAAAGAAAAAGAAAAATAATAACAATTATTAATAATTGTGTCGAAGTCGTCAGCGATTATTATATTGGTTATCATGTTAAGCAAATAAAACTAATATAGATGTTTATTAGAAGTAGGAGATTTAGACCAGAGCGCCATCTTTTTATGGATGCGTGAATTGTAATGTTTGAGATGTGACGTGTCTTTGACACAGTCAAAAAAGGAAACTAGACAAAGTAAATGTCAGGAAAAAGAACACGAATGTTTTTCTTGGAGGTTTACACGTGAAAAAATCAAATTGGAAGAGAAATGAGTATCATCAATGAAATTTTTCTTGAATTTCTTTGAGAATTGAAAAAAAATCATAGATGTGTATTACAGCAAAGCTTTCGATACAGATGACAAATTATGTTTCACAAGCATTTATTATTTGACAGGAAAGTGTTTAATCACACGTATGCTCAATAATCATTAGGAAAGATAATGTATGAAAATGACGAAAGAAAAATACGAACTAACAGAAAGGAAAAAAAGAGAAAAAGAATGTATTACAATCAATCTTTCTTTGATTTTCCTTCTCCGTGTTGCATATGTATTAAAATTTCACTGATAATCAATCTTAATCAACCTAGTTCCGTTTTCGTTGTCTTAGATATATGAAATTCGACTCCGAAGACATCTAGTTCGACGTGATCTTCCAAATCGAACATCGTGCTTTTGCTGCTTTAATTATATTTTTTTATCAAGCGTCACGCTTGATCAATACATATATTTTGTTACTCTTCGACAAGGTTAGTTTTATTGTATATTTGCAGTAACCAAAGAGGAAAGAAACTGTTTGAGATACGTATACAAAACGAAAGATTGTTTTTATTTTAGAAGTGATTGATTCGAAAAACTTGAAAATGGCCAATGATGCAGCTGCGGATGAATTCTTCGATGCCGACGGTATATAATTCATGTTATTTTCCTTGTCTAAAGCTTATGATTGATGAACGACATAGTCATGAACGTAGGCAGACAACTTTAATATTACTGACGCGTGTTCTCGACATATAATGATTTATGATCTTGTCCTTTGAGTAAAGTGTCCGAACAAAACGATAGACGTTCATAGTAACTTTTTCAAATCAATACTACCGAATTGTCTCTTCACCCGATTTCACTCATCGATGTTAGAAACAATACTAGATTGTCTACAAAACTAGAAGTAGAAACAAAATGTGGCTGTCTTCAGATATGATAGAACATTTGTATTAGCACTAATGACAAATAGATTTACCTGCTGGTGCTTTTTCATCACTAATCATTTGAAACAAATGAATAAATACCCCCGAATATCTCTCCTCTTATATAGACATCGATCATTACACGAATGGTATACAACGTGACTTGATGAGGAGTTGGAATACCCTCTCGCGAAAGCAATTCGGTCGGTATGTATCCTCTTTCTAACCAATAATTAATCTTTGAATAACAAATGGCGTGATCTAAGATGACTAATTAAAGAACTAAGTCTTCTCTCTTCTTCGTTTTTTTCGCTAGTAAAACACATGAAACAAAACGATACGTAGTCAGGTATACATTATTTATTCGGATGAGTGCGCAGATAAATCCATGCGATGTACATTCATCACACTTCACGTTATTCATATCTTTCGTATTATCATTTTCTTTTCTTCATTCTTCTGCTATATAATATTCAATCCGACGAGCATTTTCGTTCTTCTTTTGTTACACTCTCGAATTTGAGTTATTAAGTACAGTATACGAAAGCCACACCGCTCTTTAGTTTTCATCCTAATGGCATCATCGGATAATCTATATTCTTCTTTAAAGAAACATGCTGGACGGTAAGTTGAAATGATGACAACTAACCAAGAACAAGAGAAAATTTGTTGGCTTATTCTCACTAACACCTTGTCGCTTTTGTTTAGAACAAAACTTCCAGTATCAATGTTCGATCGGTCGCAAATAAGTATTTGGAGTATACTTAAACAATGCATAGGCAAAGTATACTCAATGATTAATAAAAGGAAACGAGTTGCTTTTCTTTTGTCTACAAATAGGAACTATCGAAAATCGCCATGCCGATTGCGTGGAATGAACCTGTTTCATTTTTACAACGATTTACAGAAAATGTACTTTATTCATACTTACTTGACAAAGCTGATGAATGTTCAGATCCGATTATGCGAATGCAAGTATGTTCAATTGAACATAAGAAAAAGTCGCTTTCATGTATCTTGTTATTAAGTACGTTGCCGCATTTGTTGTGTCATCGATCGCAAGTAATATTGATCGTTTATCAAAACCATTCAATCCCTTGCTTGGTGAAACTTATGAATTTACTCGGTGAGTGATGATGAATTCAATTAGTCTAACATGGTATCTTCTCTTTCAACTGATTTTAGTGACGATTTACCTTTTCGTTATTTCTCGGAACAAGTTAGTCATCACCCGCCTGTTAGTGCGTTTGTATGTGATTCAAAAGATGGAGGGGCTCGATGGAAATTCTATGGAAGTATTTTACCAAAAGCAAAATTTTCTGTTAAGAATATGGAAGTGAATCCGAAAGGATTGTTAACATTGGAATTGAAACGGTAACCCATAGCTAAACCATCGACTTTTCTCTCAATCTATTTATTCCTTTTCAGACATAAAGAAGTCTACACATGGGAAAGTGTCACTTGTACAATTCATAATATTGTCGTCGGTCGACTTTGGTTTGAATATGTAAGTTGATGGCTTTCGCGTCGGATAAAACTTCCATGGAATTTTCCTTCACAGCATGGTACTGTAGAAATTGTTAATCATTCCAATAAGATGAAAACAGTTCTCAATTTCAAACCGTATTCATGGTCATCGAAAGAATTGCATAAAGTTGAAGGTTACATTCTCGATTCTCGGTAGGATATCTGTATTTCATTTCCGTTGAACAAAAACACCTGAATTTTATGAATAGTAAACACAAAGTACGTGGCCTGTATGGTTACTGGACAGAAGCTTTGTATTCGATTGATATTGAACATTTTGAATCGTTTTTAAAACAACAAAAAAAAGAGGCAAAACAAGCTTCGAAGAATTCTCAATATCGTGCCACAAGTTCGGCAGCCTCGGCAGAAGGTGCCGATCCGGATGAAGATGTACCAGATATTGATGTATCTCACGAACAACTTAATCTACCACCGAATTCATTAACGCTCTGGCGAATTATTCCAAAACTGGAATACGCCGATCAAGTAAAAGTCGCACAAATTCAGTGAAAAAACATTTTGCTTTTCTATGGCTTTCTTCTAGTATTACAATTTTTCGATATTCTCCATGGCACTAAACGAATGGACTGAAGAAGATCGTAAGACACATCCGCCATTGCCACCAACTGATTCGCGATTTCGTCCGGACATTCGTATCATGGAAGAGGGTAACATTGACCGAGCTGGAGATGAAAAAACTCGTCTCGAAGAAAAACAACGGCAAGTGAGACAAGCTATGGAAAAACGTCGAGAACATTGGCAACCAAGGTAAATCTTTCACCCGATGTTTGCAAACTAACCTCGATTAATTCTTCTTTTCAGATGGTTCCGTCTTGCTAAACATGAAGTAACTGGAGATGAAGTTTGGGTATCCAATGAAAAATACTGGCAACGAAATTGGTCAAATTGTCCAGACATCTATTAATCTGCAGTTATACTTACATATCGACGGTGCTCATTTCCTTTTTCTTATGTCTATAAATTGATCTTGAATGTCATTTCATTGCATGGATAGACATATTTATAGTTAAACATAATTTCGCTCAATATAAATACAAACTATTGAAAAAAAAAACTATAATAAAACCTCTATATGTGGACACTGACTTCTTCTTTCAGCCCCAAAACTAATAATAACTTCTATAATATCGATGATAGATAACTCGATATCTTCACAAAGAATGAAGATAGAATATGCTGTGTACATTAGACTATGCCAAACAATTAACCAGTACATGTAACAGAAAGACATCAGAAAATAACAAGACAATTAATTTTATTCTTCTGAGAAACGATTAATCCTACTGCTACTATCCTCTTTTCATAGTCTTTATGCCCGTAGATCAATTTCTCAAAAGAAAATTTGCTATGACCAGTTGTTTGATCAGATAAACTGGCCTTTCAATATAAAAAAACGCTCTACATCGCTGTCTAGAAGCTTCGCTCATGGCTGTTGCTCCAATATATTTCTTTACAGAATGGTCCACACGTATTCCAAACTCTAGCGTACGCGATGAATTTCACTCCGTATTATTTATGAAGAATAGCTAATTAACGATAATATTCATCACATTAGTTGAATTTTATCATTCACTGAGGCAAAAAATGGTAGTACTAGATTTGAAACAGATTGAAAAATTCTGAGTGAAAATTGGTAATAGTAAACACTTCCATTAAGTGCTCACTTTTGATGAGATCGATTAACATTCACGTTACAGAGGTTGCACTATACTTTCTCGTACTCTAATGCTGAAATGTTACAAACGAACCTGGTTTTCTTCTTCTGAAATCGATTAGCGGAAAACTCGAAAATGAATGTCGCAAATACGTGTAATTACGTTTGTACTATCTATTTGCTGTAAACTCGACTAAACATACGCATCTTTTCATTCATGTCTAAATACGTGTGAAAAAATATATTCCTTTAGACAATTACATCGTACACTTAAAGAACGGTCGGTTTGATCATTATATTGTGTTCTATGCATTGAGTCACGATTGTTTTCACCTGTGGCTTATACGTAAACCGTTATATGTTCGTAAAGGACGCACTTTTGCCTTAATTGAGAATGATGCCTGGGTTTAAGTATGGGAACGCAAAAGCATATATATATACAATCTACACAATTTTCTTTCTTCATTCAATCAGATTACATTCGCATTACAAACAAATATGCCTTCTGCTCAAGTAGCTGTCATTACAGAGAATACTGTCGATGTCAAATCACCGTCTCAAAGTTCGGAAAAACAGCAGGTCATAGAGATGCGCGATGGTGACACTTTGCAAGTTCAAATGTCTGTTGATGGTGCTCAAATCATATCCGCGTTATCACCACGTATCACAGTGACCTTTCATAAGGTGTCCAAAGTAATCAACGTTCCCGCCAAAATGATCGATCCAACATCGAAAGAGCGATTTATTCAACGAACTTTACTCGATCAAGTTTCTGGCCAAATTCACCCGGGACAAGTCGTTGCGTTGATGGGTCCATCAGGTTGTGGTAAAACAACCCTGTTAAATACACTTGCCGGTCGAGCATTGAGTGGCGTCACTGGCGATATTTGGTTCAACAAGCAACGCTATGATAAAGCCATGAAGCGTAAACTCGCTTATGTTCTTCAGCAAGATCTATTTTTCGAAATGTTAACTGTCAAACAACAATTGACATATACGGCTCTGTTACGGTTACCAAATAACCTATCCAAACAAGATAAATTGGCCCAAGTTGAACAAATTATTGACCAATTACGTATTCGAAAATGTGCCAATACGCCAATCATGTTAGTATCAGGTGGCGAAAAGAAACGTGTCAACATTGGAACGGAATTGTTAACAAATCCCAGTGTTATCTTTCTTGATGGTAAGTTTTTCAAAGATTAATACCATTTTAAGCAAAACAAAGCTCATTCGTTCCTTTTTCTTTCTCTAGAACCAACATCCGGTTTGGATAGTACATCAGCCGTTGCTCTAGTAGAAGTGCTTCGTGAATTAGCTATGCAAGGCAAAACAATCATTACATCGATCCATCAGCCATCGTCACAAATATTTCAGTCGTTCGATCAATTGATACTCTTAGCTGATGGGAAAACGATTTATATGGTAAATTGAGTCATCTATCTATTCGTTTGAAAATAACGCAAGGTATTCTGTTTTAAGGGTAATCCGTCTAATGCTCTCGCGTATTTTGCTACAATGGGACATCATTCTCCAGCACAATACAATCCAGCTGATTATGTTATGGATCTGGTGAATCAAGATATGAGCATTCGCGAAGAACTTAAACAAGCCTATCTTAAAAATCGAATTGTAGCCGATGGCAAAGCTATATCATCACAATCTTCGTCTGCCGCTCAGCAGTATCTCTTTCCTGAACCATCTGGTAATGAAGCAGATTTAACCAATCCAGACAATGTAAATTTGATTCCGACTAAAAAGGAAGGCAAATGGCCACTGAGTTTTCTGCCTCAAATGTTAATTCTCTGCTCTCGGTCATTTCGCTTAACTGGCATGTCTCAACTGACATTGCTTAATACTATGCAAGCTTTGGGTTTAGCTATCGTCAGCGGCTTATGTTGGTTACGAATGGATTTTAGCGAAGATACACTCAGTGACCGTTCATCATATATTTTCTTCCTCATGACATTCTGGCCATTGCAAACATTAATGGGTGGTCTCCTATCGTTTCCATTCGAACGATCAGTTATTGAAAAAGAACGTGCAAGTGGTTCATATCGTCTATCATCCTATTTCATAGCCAAATCTCTAGCCGAAGGTCCATTGAAACTTATTTTGCCAACATGCTTTCTTATTATCAGCTATTGGATGGCCAATATTAACCCAAACTTTGGTATTTTTCTCGCCATTCTCGTGTTTCAATTGGTCGCTATTCTTGTGGCTGAATCTCTTGGTCTTCTACTTGGTGCAGCATTAAAAAATCTGCATCATGCAATCACTGCTGCAACAGTCATCCTACTCTCTCTTATGTTGGTCGGTGGATTTTTCGTCAAACATCTTCCTCATTGGTTAGGTGTCTGGGGTAAATGGTTATCATTCTTTAAGTATTCATATGATGCCTGTTTACAACTACAGTTTAAAGGTGACCGAGTTTATTCATGTGTCGATGGTTCAATTATTGCTTCATGTCGAAATAATACTAGTGGGACGTTTTATAGCAAAGATGCACTCCAATATTTTGATATTGGAATTGGCATTGGTTGGAACTTTTTCGTGCTCATTGGCATGTTCTTTGCTTTCCGAACGCTGGCATACCTGGCTTTACGTTTTATCAACAATCATACCGGTCGTGCATAAGACTTTAAATGTGCATATTTTCCCTTTGTTTTTATATAATATTTCCCTAAATAGTTGACAAATAAACATTGTAAAAAGAAATTCGACCCAGTATTTTCTTATTTTTGTCTGTCAGTCGGCTGTCGTTGTCGAATTAGATAATGAATAGCGATTAAAGTCATATCGAGATCCGATTTTGATATATGACAATCGGTTGCACTATTGTCTGGAAAACGTCGTAGAAATTCATCTTCGGAACGGAATAAAACAAACCGATTTATTTCTTCTCAAATCAGATAAAAAGAAACATCAACGAAACGATAGGGAAAAAACTAGAATCTTGTTTTACATATCGAGCCAGGCATGTTCATTTGTTGTGCGTAGCAATTGCATATGTGTATGATTAGCAATAAGAATAGTTCCGCGTGCATCGATAAATTCGAATTTGGTTGGCCGGTGAATGTTTGTAAATAGCTGACCAAGCACATGACTATTCAAATCCTTAATTTCAACCATTAGATCATCGTATAGTGAGTAATAACGATGGAATGGATCGAGTAAAACCGGCAAGTGTGGAAGGTTCAATTCGAAATGATGTCGTACGATAGCCCGATTAGCTTCGTGTCGTGTTTGAGATTGTTGGCTACCATGCCAAAGAACGAGAACGTTATCACAAGCTACACCGAGAAAATATGGTGCGCCGATTGTCTCACCAGGGCATGAATGAATTAAACCATGAGCAACTGCTCCATCATCATTAATCAACGACATACGACACTATAGAAAAGAAGGAATCTATCATGAAGATAAGATCAATATCAAAGAAATCTACAGTATGTGCTTGAGGATCTAATTGTGTATAGACGATGTGTTCTTCGGTGGTATTTGTTTCAAATTTAGTCCAACGTTCATTGAGTAAATAGTCATCTTCTTGTTCATGAATAGTGATGCCTGTTCGTCGATCGGAACTGAAAAATAATCGTTCGCCAGACTTCGTATTGACAAGGATATGTTCGAGATGGCGATGGGCATGATCTAGCCATGGATGTTGTAGAATGTTCTTTGTCCATAGTTTTGGATTGACGGGTTCAATCGCGCCGAGTTTAAGTTCTTTTTCAATCCAATGACGCGTCGCTTCACGGCAAAGATCAGCATCGTGAAGTTTATGGCATGCACAATGCGGATTCGTTTTGCATGATTGCAGACAATGTGAATGACTTGGAATACAATGTGACGGATTTTTTGTTGAATGTATAAATGTGGCCGGGCAAACACATGCCGTCGACAGCTTACCTATCTTAACACACGGTGTCCATGGTTCTGTCTAATAAAAAGAAGTTTGGATTATTAGAAGAAAGTTGGTTTGGACGTACATGATCTTGTGATAACAATTCAAGATGAGGCATGATGCGTCCTTCTTCCATTTGCCGACATGTATTTCGTCGGGTAAGAACGATAACCAGAAGTGTTGTGCCAAGTAATAAAAGTAACGCTAATAAAGTCGGATACAGATATGATTTGATGCTTGATAATCGAGATTTAAGCAAATGTTTATCATTGTAATCAGTCGTATCGGCGTACATTTGTAGTTTTTTATCCGCAGAAGACGAATTCACGTTCGCGGTTGAATCAGGAACCATGATAATGCGCACAGTATCTGACAGTGACGAGAAAATACAGAAGAATAAAGTTCGTCGATGTTTACTTCGATGTTTAAATAGTGCAAAGAAGTGAAAAGAAAGCGCAAGAGAGAGAGATTACTTCGAAAACGTAATATAGATCGCGATTAAATCAATAGAAGAAGAAGAAGAAGAAAAGGCGTGTTTAATATATTGTTTTCATTTTCCTTGGGGAATCGTTCTGGTCCATGTAGTTTGATATGATTAATAAATACAATGAAATTTGACAATGCAATATTGTTAATTTATCATCCTAAAGTTCTCTTCTTTTCTCCCGAGTTTGGTCATTTTAGGTAATCAGTTAACATTAATAAGATAAACATTTTACTAATAGTTCATGACATCAACCGAAAGAAGAAGGAAAAAAGCTAATATTTTCTCGTCTACGTGCTTCTATTACCAACGAGACGTTAATCAACATTCTATTCATTGTTTACTGTGAGAAATTAAAATTGAAAGTATGAATAACTTTTTTGTGCGATATAAACATTTCACTGATGAATCCAGGAAATTTCCATTTAAACGGATCATTTAATTATTCGATGTCGTTTGGCCTTATCTCGGCTGGTTGCATAAGATGATTTCTGAGCTAAAGAACGTCTTTTCTTCGACTTGTTCGAGACAACTAACACATTGATAAGAATGCAAAATAGATGCTAATCGAAACGCATGAACAATCATTAGATGGCTTGTCAAACATATATAGATATAAGATTGCTTGGGTTTCAAATAGTGTTTCCATTTGTTCTTTGTCATTAATTCGTCGGGATACAAATGGATCTTGTCTAAACACTAATAAATATTTTTTCTAACATTGATTCGAGCCGAAAAACGGAAAATCATGTGCGGATGATAGATGAGAAAAATAAGGAAAGAAACGTCTCGATATTTTCCTAGACAACGTCGACATTTGCAGAGAAATACGAGATATCAGAAAATCGAACGTTGAATGACTTTTTACTCGCCTCATTTCCGCTATCAGCAGCCTGAGCAGTATTATCCGACATTGTATGTATGCAACGGGCACTCTTGATTTGTTTATTCAAATCTTTTGCCTCTCAATGATGTCCTTCGATTTTTTGCTCTTCATCAAACAGAGATTGATCGAGATCGATAGATGACACATGTGTATCTCCCTACATATGTATGATAGTTCTATGCTCAGTTGATAATATTTTGCGATTGACATTTGTGCTGCTCACATACTTCTTTTCCTCGCGCGCTCTCTCTCTCCTGCGCGCCGTGGTAGTCGTAACACATGCATCCGGCAATGACGATTTATTGATTCGTTGATGTTTCTGTTTCTTCTCCTGTTGTTCGTGTCACTGTTAACGACGACAATGATTAATTATCTTGTTGAAGAAGTAAGACCTTTGTTTTACTGAACAGTTGTCATTCTTGATCGAACCCCTGCGGCAAAGAGTTTAGCGTTGGCGTTATCATCGTCTCATTGTCACTCGATAAAAACTATCCGAAAAAAAAATAGTGAAATGTCAAGTTTTCCTTCTGTGTGTTTTTTCCTTTTTCTTTCCCTTACTATTTGATTTCAAGTATTAACCCTACGGGTGTTTCATGTTCACATTCAAATAATAACAGATGACGATCGTCAAAGAATAATAGCAAGCATAACGAAAAACATCATACATAGAATCTTCTTCCTCCTTCTCTCTCTCCTCCGTCTCTTCTATGCATCTGTGACACTGGCAAAGAGTGTATGTACGAGTCTGTATGTTAATCAGTTCCTCAATATTTTTATGCTCGAGAGTTTGCCAAGGTAGGATCGGAAAAGGAAAAATGGCATTGGCATTAAGCATTCTTCTTCGATTCGCAACAAATTAAACTCATTAAGGTAGAATTTTCAATGAGTCTGCTTCGGGAAAAGTAGAATCCTGACAAGATGGCAATCTTTCGAGATCTAAAAAACGTGACTAGATCTCTTTGAGTTGGTATTTTCTTCAACTTGTGCTTTTCTCTCTTTTTCTCCTGCTTCTTCTTCTCTTTCGTCTGCTTTTTCCTTATCTTTCTCGTTCTGTTACTTGATAGCTAGTTTCTCATCGCATCAGTCAAATGAATGCCAATGTTTATCGACTGTAGGGGATTGGTCTCTGCGAAGGAGTTTCAGCGTTCATCGATGATGAAAATATTGAGAAAACAAAATGTATGTATTTGTCTTAGCTTTTTTTTTTCGACAATCCTCAATAGCCAGATTGATTGCTCGTTCATCATACTGAGTATTGCTGATTAGACATGAAGAATGAAAGAGGAAAACTAAGAAGTCGAATGAGAGAAAAAAAATAGAATGCAAGTAAAGATTACTCAGTTTATCGATTGAGTGTTCGACTCTTAATGTCTTTCTTTCTTTCTTTTTCTCATTCTCTTTTGTTCTATATTTCCTAATTAATAACGAGATGCAGATTCGATCTTCTTGTCTACACCACTAACTAACTTGAGATTGTCTGTTGTACTAATGTAAAGAAGTTATACTATCCAGTCAAGAAAGAGAGCATAAGTCCTTTGACCGAGACAATGAGTAAACATCGGCAAGATTGGTAAGGTCGTATATGGATAATAGCTTATGTCACTTAATGTTCATTTCTTTATATAAATACCCATTTGGCCATTTTCCCTCGATGGTCTTTACGTGTTAGCCTAGTTTTCATCTTGATGACAACTGTTGATATTGATTTGATGTGCTACTCTTTTCATGCTTAAAATTGTTTTCGAAGGGAAAGAAAGAAAGAAAGAATCTTATAGATACAAAGAACACCAATTGATGCGATTCATATTATTGTCAACTATGAAAATGACTGTATTATGTCGTAGTCAATCATTTTCTTTTCCAGTCATTATATTTTTGAGAAATAACACCAGTGAATTATTTTCTAGTCAATGCCATTGCTAGAAAAGTTCGACGTCAACATTACTAACGACATATTGTTGTCAAAAACGATGAAAATATCCGTTCTCTCATTTCTGCTCTTCCTCCTCTCTTCTTTATCGTTTTATGTGTCGAGCAATCATGATTACCTGTGTAACGTCATATATATATATAATAAGAAACATGTTAAATAATCCTATGCTTGGGATAGAATAGCAACACAAATGATGATGATGATAATGACTAGCTCTAATTGTCTTTAGATATGCGCATCCCCAAAGAAAACATTCTCTTCATTTCGCTATCGCATAATAATCATTGCTTCAGTTCTATTACGAGACGAATCAAGCATCTTATAAGCGATTTACGCTTCTCATCATTCACTGATGATGAGATGAGATCGATCAAAGAGATAGAAGTAAACATGTAGTGTAAGCATGCGCGCGATATTGGTAGCGCACTTGCTTTACAGTTGGTGTCACTGTTGATGAAAACAGCAGGAAGACAGAAAGAAGAGAGGAGAGAGAGAAGGAAGAGAACATAGGCTATACTGAGACAAGAAAAGCAAGAGAAAGAATACAGTGCAGAAGCATAAAGAATTTCATTAGTGACAAGGAATAAGATGCGCGCTCCCAGTATTTACATATAGGACCGAGAGCGATTGACGCAAAAGCTATTGTATTGTTCGCATCTTTACAAAATGTGCAACGACGTTCATAAGCGTTGCTAATTTAAAGACGACGGGGACGCAAAGCAAATCAAATGTAACTATTATTTGATGCGGTTCATTTGTTTGTAGTTTTGTCAAGAGAATCTTCACTAATACTTTTCCGATCTCTTTTCAATTTTCACTCCGCATCAAATTAATAGATTCTTCCAGACTATTTCCTCCTTTTTTCTCATTCTATTCACAGATAAAATAAACATCAGAGTATACGGCAACAACAACGAGCAAACATCAATTTACTCTTCGCATCATCGAGCTGTACCTGTGTATGTGATCACGTGTTTAAACTTCTTCGGTATTCTTACTCTTCCTGCCGTTATTGAATAACATCGTTCACATGTCGCGAGCTATACAACGTCTGATGAAAGATTATCGAAAGGCGGAGAAATTGGTGGGAAATTCAGGCAATGAACCCTTCGTTGATTTGGCCAGTGCAGCTTCATTCACAACGCAAACATATGCACAGACAATGGCACAGATACGGCGAGATCCTGAGTTGACTCCTAACGAGAAAAAATATCTCGTTGCCGTTGAACGTGAGTAAAAGTCTGTCTTTCATATTTAGGTTTACTTCAAAGCATACTTAGATGGAGTCATTAATCTTAAATAGAACTCGACGCCGTACTGCATCATTAAATAAAGAAATGATGAAAAAGAGACTCGAATTTATGATTGTAGATCATATCTATGTGTACCATTGACATGCCTAAGAAGACCTCGAGGCAAAAGCAGGACATTAACCATGAAGATTATATCAAATTCAAAACAAGGCAGATAGATAGAAAGAACGATGTCGAACTAATGGAATTCCTCTGTGTCTCTGAAAAAAAAATGCAAGGATAATGCCGAAAGAAATTAGTTCGTTCTAATCGAGGAGCACGGCACAGATGTTTCGACATTTCTTGAATATTTAAAGAAATTTATTCGATTGACGATGTTTATGTTTATAGGCGGTGATATGGCGACAACTCGGCGCTATCTGGATATCGCTTCTCATGCATCAACAATTTTACTTGATGATGATGTATCACTTACACCGATAAATATTAATTGTCTTGATCCATTAGGACGTAGCGCATTGTCGATAGGTCTGGATTTATAAATCTCTAATTGAATTATCAACAACGTCGGTTTTTCTTTCTTTGTGTTTGATTGTAGCTATTGAGTATGAAAATATCGAAATGATCGAATTACTGCTCAGCTATAATGTTGATACAGGTGAAGCGCTGCTGTATGCCATCGACGAGGAATTCGTTGAAGGTAAATGAACTATTGGTTTACAATTGATTAGATAATCGTTGTATATAATCATATTCTTGACAGCTGTAGAATTACTTCTTCAACATGACGATCTAAAACAACAACAGCACAAGAACAACAACAACGACGAAGATAATAGTCGAGTAAGTCAGTTGTACATCTTTTTTGTTTATTAATGATAAAGGACATCATCACTCTGTTCTATCTCAGAATTTGATCGATGTCATCAGTAGATAATTTGCTACTAGAAAAGAAAATATTGACAAAGCTGAAATCCAATTTCAAACAGTGTTTTTCTTATCATGAGAATCAAAGATCAGATGATTATCGTGTCATCTCGATAGTTATGATTACATAAAGAGAAAGCAATTAGCTAAACAATTCCTACGAATAGAAATAACATCCAATTCTTCTTTCTAATTAAGTACTCGAATGCTCAAATTCTAAACGATAAATCCAATCCATTATTCACCTTGGCCCAAGATGAACTTGAAAAAGAAAAGAAAGAGCAACAACATCAAGATGTTACTCACAAGGTAAGCTTCGACATCTCGCTCTCAATTAAGTAGACTCAGTTTTCACATTGCATACGTAAATGAATGCATGTTATTACATATATATCTATGTGGGGAGAATAGTTTAAATCGGCCTGGTCTTACTTACGTCCATCGAAAACAAATGCTTTATCGATGAATGAAACTGGCACTACCGAGGATGAAGAGGTAGGTGATTTTGTTGACTAATACAGACAACAAAATCTACAAAGCGATTACAAACAACCTGCCCTCCTTATACCTTGTCTATCTACCAAGATATTTTCTTTGCAATTCATTGCTTGGCATATTACCGTTGAGTTTCTTTCGCAATCGATCAGCTAAAAGATAGCATTTCTTTGCTTTGTGTACTATTTATCTACTAGTTTAGCTTATACCTTCTGCATGACAAAATCGGGTGATTTTTTAAATTATTTTTCATCCGTCCCTATTCTTTAATTTTACTTATTATTTGCAATGTACACTGGTATCTTCATACAATCGTTTTGGTTATTTTTTTGTACCGTTCTTCTTCTTCTTCTTCTTCTTCTCCTTATTCTTTGTTTTTAGAATCCGAAATCTAAATGGGCATTTCTCCTGCAGGCAGTACGAAAGAAAGAGCAGCAGCAATCGGTAGGCGTTCTGACCACATTCAAAACGAGATATATCAATATAATCTCTTCCAGTTTTTTTCACATTTTGACGTGCATGACACTTGTTAATGATTGTCGTCGCTGCTCCCTTTCACTTTCGCACACACACACACACACACGTACTTTTCTTTTTGTTGCATATCTATTCACAAGCGCCTATGATTTATTCCTGTTGTTGCCTTTCACTTCTGTTCACGCAATGTCACAGATAACAAAAAAGAGTGCAACACCCACGTAGATTTTTTTATTATTTCTCTAGCAGCTTGTGTTGCGTGTGAGTGTGAATAGAAACTTGTACATGTTTAGTTTGATTGTGAATGTATCTCGGAAAATCCTACAGAACGCAACAGTATTCATACCCTATAGGCTACCTGACTAAGCAAACGAAACCACATGACATTTATTTGCACAATAGTTGTATGTGTGTGTAAACAAACAAATCATTTCACATTAGGAAAACAAAACGGTGGATTTGTGCTTTTCAATACATTTATACATGTTTTAGGTAACTGAACAATTGAATTTGAGCACATCTCGATCGTATACACCTGATATTACACCAGTTATATTGGCTGCTCATCGAGATAATTATGAAATACTTAAAATTCTACTTGAAAGAGGTATACAAATATGATTTGTTGGCACATTTACTTACGTATCTAGATATGAGATTGGTAACATTCCCTTGTGTCCTATACTTTCGAATATTGGTACTGCGAAGAGCTGAATGATACTTAGGATAGGGTTTATCCTTCTTTTCGAGAATAGATCTGATGCCTTCATTCGATTCTCAGTCTAGTGTGTCTTGAACAAAATCAACTAATTAGAAATAGATTCTCGGCGATGTTCACATTCTGTACCCATTTTTGATCTTGAGAAATAGACCTTTTAAGTATGATCGATCAATGAAGACGTCGAAGTCGGACTTACTAGTTCTAGTGATTCGTATTTTCCTAATCATTTTCGTTTATTCTAGGCGAAAAAGTAACCGAACCACATGATGTTCGTTGTGATTGTGAGAAGTGTATTGTATATAATAAAGAAGACAGTTTGCGACATTCGCGATCGCGCATAAATGCCTATAAAGCTCTTTCATCTCCATGTTACATATCATTGTCAAGTCGTGATCCCATAATGACCGCATTTGATTTAAATCGTGAATTGAAACGTTTATCGCGGATCGAAAATGAATTCAAACAAGAATATGAACAGCTTGCTCAGCAATGTCAAGAGTATAGTGCAGCTCTCCTAGCTGAAACTCGTTCGTCGAAAGAATTGGAAATTATTCTGAACTATGATTCTGAAAATCCACCCGTTCTGTCCGAAACACCAGAGAAGATGCATTTGTCAAGATTAAAACTAGCCATTCGTTATAAACAGAAAAAGGTAGACACTCTTGCAGATAAAGTTCCATTTTTTATTCGTTCATTTCTAGTTTGTTTCACATTCACATTGTCAACAATTATTGGCTTCACTATGGTACGAAGGTTTGCCAGGTTTCCGTCGTCGTCACTCAGTGATAAAAATATTAATAACTGCACTTGTTGGCCTACTGTTTCCAATTTTATCAATTGCTTATTTAATCGCGCCACGTAGTAGTATCGGTCGAATTATGCGACAACCGTTCATCAAATTCATTTGCCATTCGATTTCTTACATTTTCTTTCTCAGTGCGTATACAGATGTTTTGCTTGGTTGAAGAAGCTTTCGCAACTATACATTTTTTTATTTAAGTTTTACTGTTTGTTGTTTCATTGCGTATTGATTTTGGTAAACTGCTGTCGGGTATAGAAGATGAAGTGAATGAAAGGCGTGGTCCACCGCCTAATCCTGTCGAAATTGCGGTACGAAAAATCTCTATGAAACTAAGAATTTGCCTTCATACTTTCTTTCGTTCAGATTATGTTCTATGTTGCTGGATTTATCTGGGCAGAAATCAAACAGCTGTATCAAGAAGGCATACATCAGTATATGGTAAGTGAACCATTCGGAAGTACTTCAAGTGCCAGTGTTCATTCTGCTAGGCGGATACGTGGAATTTATTAGATTGGGTTACGAATTGTCTTTACGTCGCGACGATCGTTCTTCGCGTGATGGCTTTTATTAAAGTATGGTTTAATCAAATTTGAAAAGAATCTCATTGCAGTGCTTGTAGGTCAATCGAGAAGAAACTGATCTTCAACGGAAATTGATCAGTGTCCAAAACACTCCTATTCCATCCAACATTACCCATACATCTGTACATAATTTATCTACAGGACCAGTAACGTTTTCTACTGGTCACAATGTCCGTCGACGAGATTGGAATGCATGGGATCCAACGTTAATCTCCGAAGGAATATTTGCCGCAGCAAATATCTTCAGTTCATTGAAACTCGTCTATATTTTCACGATAAATCCACATCTAGGACCATTACAGATCTCCTTGGGACGTATGGTTCATGATATATTGAAATTTAGTGTTCTGATTCTACTTGTTGCGTTCGCATTTGCGTGTGGCCTCAATCAGTTATTTTGGTACTATGCTCGAATGAAGAAAACTGAATGTGATCAAGATTCAACACCTGATGAATACTGTGCAAAAGAGATTCATAAACATTTTTCAAAGTAATGGATACTTTTTTCTTAGATGAGTTGTGTTAGAAAGATTCTTTTTTCTTTCTTTGTTTTAGTCTGTTTGAATCGTTACAAACACTCTTCTGGGGAACGTTTGGTCTAATTGATTTACAAACGTTTCAAATCTATAAAAAGCATACTTTTACGATGTTTATTGGCTTGTTAATGTATGGAGTTTACTCATCCATTATGATCATCGTCTTATTGAATATGCTCATTGCTATGATGAGTAATTCATATCAATACATTGCGGTAAGTGATTCGCTATTTTCGTTTCTAATGCATAGAAATATCTATTTAGAATTCCACGGAGACTGAATGGAAATTTGCACGGTAAGTAGAAGTGATTGTCCAATCGAATAATTTGATGTTTGTCTCGGTTAAAGGGCAAAACTTTGGATTAGCTATTTCGAAGAAGGTGGCACGTTGCCTCCACCATTCAATATTGTTCCAAGTCCGAAATCGATTTGCTATGGCTTTTCGTACATGTACCGCCGGGTTTTCGGTTGTTCAAAAAAGCATCTGAGAAACAGATGGCAAAGTATCAAGGTAATTGAAGAACCTATCGAAATCACCAGTCATTATAACAGCTATATTTGTTAATCTACTCTAGAAGTTACTAAGTAAAATCAACGAACGCGAAATCAAATACCAAACAGTGATACGTGAGTTGGTCAAACGGTACATAATGAAACGCCAACAAAAGGATCAAACAGAAGGCGTGACAGAAGATGATCTAAATGAAATAAAACAAGATGTATCTGCATTTCGGTATGGCATTCCGCTGAAGGCGCTTTCTCCCACAACTCTCTCGTTCTTCATGTGCGTTTAGATTTGAACTATTGGAAATTTTGAGTACGAATGGCTTCAAAGTGCAATCGATGAAGAAAAATCCAGGTTTGTATAATTGAATCAACGTATGAAAATGTTATCTTTTGTTCATAATCAACATCTTAGACACAGGCAAATTCGAACCAGTAGAGGAAACAATAAGATGTGAGAATGTTTGCTGTGACTTGATTGCACTTCTTCTTTTCTTCTTATCTCATTCGTCTCGAAACGGAGTTTTTCAACACTTTCATTCGTTTTAGCTGCACGTGTTGGTCGAAAACGTGGCAAGATGAATCTGGAAAAAACAATTAACAAGAACATGTTCGATGTGTCAACATCAATTCGCGATACAAGTCCATTACAAACATCGGATTTGATGAAAAACGATTCACACGAATCATTCTCGTCCACACCCTTATCGTCAATCCTAGCACATCCGAAACAGAAGTTAACCGCCCAATTCAAACGCGCTATAACAATGATTAAACAACGAAGTGAACCAGCACATGAATCGACAACACCACAATTTCTCACTTCAACCTCGGTGCCTGATAAGTCAACCTTGTCGATCGATCCAACGTTTCTGACAAGTCTAATCGAAGAATCCAATCCTGATGATGAACAACATGAAAGATCGAACCTACCTTCATCAAAATCACAAACATGTGTGCATGTGAAATCGCCAACGCTGACTTCAATGTCTCATCATGAAACAAATTTAAATCCGCCGTTGACTTCAACTGTCATCAATTTGGATTCGAATACTCAAAACTATCATGATAATGAACATGATCTATCGTATCGCATGAAATCAAACTTTCAACATACGCAGCCGACTGTCAATCAGCAGATCATAACACCACACACAACTCCATCATCAACGGCCCTAAGTCGAACCCGGTCATCGTCCTCAACCACAACAGGTGAAGTAACGATATTAGAAACAATTCTTTAATCATGAATTTCTTTCATCATATCATTTCTTTGCATATATCTATTGTTTTCTTATTATTCATCGATATTGTTTTCCTATTATGTAAGTGCTACGCTTAAGTGCTTATAGATTAGACAGCTGCATGAGGCTTAAGATTTTGGTCGAACGTCATATCCAAGAGATAGTTTATTACATCGCTAGTGAGACTATTTTAATTCACATAGAATTGAAATGACGGTAAGTATCTTTGATTTGATACCTCTGTTTTGTTGAAATGTACATATATTTTTCAATACAAAACTATCGTTGACTTGATCCTTTATTTAGGTTATCTGAACCTATTACGTGTTGGTCGTGCACCTATGGCCTCTCCTGATCCTCTGTCGTTAACTTCTGACGAAAGTTGCCAAACTCCTGATTTAGAACTTCTTTAACTATACTCCGATGAATCTAGTTTTTCTTTGTGATATGATATTCTCTCGTGTTCAACAACAGTATTGAATCGACTTCATGTACATGCAACATATGATGCCTTATGATTCTCGTCTCTTGTTCTATATCCATATGTATCATTTGTCTGTGTGCTGTGTTCAGTTTTCATCTTCTTCGTCTTTGTGAGCTGCCCATTATCAGATAATGTATTCGATCTTATCAACATAGATTTCATACACATCTTATTTTGTTCCTATGATATATGTATAGTGTTCTTGTTTTCTTAAATTAACATAAAAACCGCCAGTTATTTTGTGAAAATATGACTTGAAAAGAAGATCTATGTTCCTAGAATGGCTATTGTGTTCCTGAACATCAGATGAATGCTGATACTTTTGTTCTGCTCGGTGTTCTATGACGACATCAACATATTGAAGGACGTGGGTGTTTTTTGATCATGAAAATTTCACGAAGATACTTTTTTGTGGTAAAACGAATAGAATTAGTAGAAATCATTTATCAATGATGAGTAAGACTTAATACGACACTTTCAACTCTCACTGGTGATCAAGAAGAATGTGCACAATTGAATTTGATCATCGAACTTCTTTTTACACATAGTCGATTACAAATAGCAAGTGAATATAGATGTAGATTTATTTGGAAAGAAAAATATTCGGAATCATAGTTTTGCTCAATGTTTGTCATCATCGGCTGGATTTTTGTAATGATTGGTAACATCTATAAATAAAGAATAGTATTGAATACTAATAGGTTTCATTCATCAAGAAGGATTATTAACACTCTAGATTTCAATCTAAAAGAGTCGATGACTTCACCCTCAAATCACTCAGCTAATAAGGACAAATATATGATGACATCAGAGCTGGAAAACACGCGAAGTTATTCGCTCATATAGAAAATGATAAATCTACTAGGAATACATGGCCGAATAAACAGGTTTACAAATTATTGTCATTACCGTTATCGAACTCATCGACTGATCGACCCCAGTGTTTCAATTGCGCCATTGTATCATGATATTGTTTCATCTAAACAAGAAAGAACAGATTGTTAGATGGAAAAAAGACAAATTTCCTCGGTCAGTCTTACGCGATCAATATTACGATCAGAGTCACTCAAAACATGATACTTAATTGGACGATTCGGAACTATTGACATAGGAAAAGAAAAGTTATCGATCATCAACATCCTTCAATCAAACGTTCACATACTGGATATATCCCGAAATAATTGATAAGCTTGACATGATGAGAATATGAGAAAAAGACAAATAGTTAGAGACAAGATAAGGTATGGACGATAAAGTGCCATGTATTCGTTGTTTGAGAAAAACTAATGTAAATATGTAGTTTTACGCTCAATGTATTATATATTCCAAGTAATTTTATTTCCTCTCTGAATAAACGCGATTGGCATTGATTAGTTCAGAATTTTGTTATTATTTTTGACATTTATGTCATCACGAATCATTTTGTCTGAGAGAAAAACCTTCTGTTTAATCGCACATGTCATGCAAGCAGTTTTCTTTCTTAGACAAATGTATAGAGCAGATAATTAAATTTACTTCCTGGTAAAAGAAAATACGGAAAAGCAGAATGTCTTCATGTTAATAATTCATTGTACACAAACTATTTTCTAAAATTCATTTCACCAAACGTCCTTGCGTAGGTGGTCTCGTTTCAACGTATGATGAGAGTAGAGATGCTCGATCAGTACAGATGATAACCGACTGGCCTAGACGATTTCATTTCTGATAGTTTCGATTCGGAGTCTAATTTTCAACTCGAGAAATCTCTTGATGTTCGAAGTTTATTAAAGATGTTCAAAACAAAGGTCAGCAAAGATTCATTATGTAACAGGTTGTGTTTAAGCATAGGATACGATCGGCATTCAATGCGGTACTTTGCGTAAAAACCATTTATGAAGTAGAAAGTCATACATTAGAGCTCGCGATCGACTTTTATCCTTTTTCGCAATCTTGGTTTCACGATACCATTTGGAATGATCAAGATCCAAACCGGATTCCATCGAAATCTATGCATATCTCATCAGTTTGAGTAGAAAAGGCTTGAAAAACTATTTACTTCTCTGCCATATTGCCGTTGAAGTGAACCTGTGTGAAAAAAAAGAAGAAAAAAGTCGATATAACATGTTAAATCCTATTGAAAATCTCACCGATCGTTGTGGAAAGATGAATAAAAAGTAGAGATAAAATGACAACACACGAGAATGTTGGATATTTCATAGCTGTTAAACAATTTCGCGTAATCTTGGGAGTCACAGGCTGACCTTAATCTTAATTGATGAGTAATAGGAAAGAAAATCTTTTTCTTCACAATTTATAGTCGTATTAACGCATCCATTTATCAACTGGAGAAGAAAATTAGGAATCTTCAGTAGTTATTTATAGAACAAACAACTTTCCTTATAGTACTTTAATTCGGTACTTTTCAAAAATGATTTAAATATATATCACAAACCAAGCATGTATTTCACACGCAACAATTCACGGCAATCAACTGTGAATTTTCTACAGACTCGTCGGAATCCATTCTACAGATGTTTTATACAAAGATACACCTTCATCGTTTTGAACTTAATTAACGCCATGCAGACGAATGATGACGTGAGAAAGAATTGGTATCAATTATGCGTGTATCTATTTTAAGAAGAAAATCTTCGGCACATTGATAGTCGAGATCACTTTTATTTCAGATCGTTGTGACTTTTGCGGACAAGAAAGTAATCAGTGACGTTTAAGTTGCATTGAACGGAAATTTGTAATAGATATTCGAATATATCCCTTGACGGAAAAGAGACAAGAGAGATGATGTAAAAAAGATTGATGTTGAAGTGAACAAACGACGGCAAATGAGAATATTTTCATCCATTTTATCATTTGTCGGACATGTTATCGAACCCTCGTAAACGAAAGAAACAAATAATTAACGTAATATACTCAATTTCACCGATCATATTTATAATCATTATGAAACATGATATATGTCAATAATTTCCAAAACAACCTTCTAGTCAAAACTGTATTAATCATCAATTACGAAAAGAAAACTTCATGATAAAATCGAACAGCTTTTTATTCTAAACATTAATGTTCTCATTAGCAATTACATATGTAGATGTATTTTTCCTCTCACAACCTATTCAATTAATTGTTGTCAAGGACATCTCATTCTTCATGGCCTATCATTACTTATTTTTCTTCAGTTCATCGAAGTTTAATTATGATTTGTAGAAAAGAAGAAGATTTCGACGATGAATCACATGAAATGATCGATATAAATAGTTCGATCGAGATTGTTCCGATGGCATCTTTTTCACGATGACTTGCGCGTGTTGCTAGTCTGTTTTCCAGACAGACCATTGATAGAGATCAGAAACATGAATTTTGATGAATGATAGTCAGCTGCTAGTTATGCGTTCGCCTTCGACGACGACACAGATTCTTCGAAATTTGCTTGGTTTGGTTTACTCATAATTATAAACGAACGATATAAAGACACTCATCGATCTCTCTTTGTGTCAAATGGACATTGTCGAAATGGGAGGATCCTTGTCAAAGAAATGAACAGGTTTAATGATCAATATATTCAACGTGTGAATCGAAGAGACTATCTTTGAAACAAGCGACAAAGTAGAATAACAAACGGATAGAAATGAAAACTGACATTGTTATTCTGGCAAGTGTCGACCGATCTGTATGTATGCAACAGCAATAGATAATCACCCATCTGTCTGTCACTCGTTTCCTTATTTCATTTCTTTTGCACGTCAGAGATGTGTGAGAGTCGGTAACGCCCACCCTCGGGCATACATATATCTGGCTCGCTTTCTATCAAACGAAGTCCGTTGCTCTCTTTCTTGTTCTTTTGCAAATGATCCAATTATCATTTTGATGTGGAGAAAATGAATAACAATGGAAATCTTTTGTCTAGGTGATAATTCACATCAAGAATGTCTTTATATTCAATTGCGTTTGGATTTGCGAGAGAGAGAGAAAGAAATTCGTTCATAGATGAGAGTTATACTCGTGTTCGATTAACTGACATCTAATGTGCTCCCTTTCTCATTCATCGTCTCGAAAGTGATTTCATTTTAGGGTATATACCTACGTGATGATGGTATGTCACACTCGTCCAACGTCGCTTTTTCTCCTATATACTGTCGATTAATTCAATGATTGATTGAATATATAGATAAACAAATATCAACGTCATCAAGCAAGGAGATGTAACCACCATGATCAAAATCAGTCGTTCGGTTGCTCTCGGGGTTTTTTCTTTTGCTAGTTGAGCGAAAAAAAGAAAGAGACCAAAAGAGAAATTCTTTTCCTCTGTATTGATCATATGCGGAAATATGTTTTGTGATAACCATCATTTACTAATTCATTTCATTTCTTGTTCAATACCGAACTATTCATTTGACAACTAATTTAAGTCGCTCTCTAGGTGGTATACAAGATGATAAAGCAGACTTGAAAACTCGAACTGTTGCATCATTCATCAATTTGTGTTTCCTTTCTTCAAACGCGTTCAACAAATATTGCCGCGTCGTAATTCGACTTGATTGACGACTAGATATTAGCTTTTTTTTTATTGCAAATCAAACATTATTTATCTTTTCTATCAGCCAAAAAAATTTGTACCAAATATCTATAGTGAAATATTATTACAGACCGAATAAAAAAAAACCTATTAATTATCATTTCTTCCCTCCTCTTCGTTCTCTCTTTTTGCTCTTGCTCTTTGTATTTTTCCAATCAGATAAGACATACTTCTCGTTTATCATTGGACGAAATCAACCATTTAATCAATCGGCCAATCGAGTTGCAAATAACTTCAGAACAAGAAAAAGAGAAAAAAAAACGCGCTGAGGAGAAAATGACTGTCTCTTGCCTTCTCTCATTTCCTTTCGCATGAATGCATTTATCTGATTAGTCGTCAGTAGAAGAAGACACAAATTGCCTTGCACATCGAACCATAAAACAAGAGAGAGAAGTAAGAGCAAGAGGAGAGAGAGGGAAAAAAGACGAAAGAAATAGAATCTTGCAATCTACCCAGTCAGACATAGAAAAAATAGTTGTTGTTATCTATGTTACCGGTCGACGCGTGTAACTTGTAGTTTCAACAAAAGATCCTATCGGAGACAAGATATCAAAAATTTCGATAAAACCCTTTTTGTGTCTTATCATTACATTCTTTATTCAATTAGATCAAACTAACTATGGATACGTTTGAAGCGTCAGCAAATCATCGGAATACCTGGCCGAATTATTCAACGGAATGTTATTCAACTGTTGACTACTATCGACCATATGGAGCAGCACGTAATTATATTTTAATCAATGAAATATATCTTATTTTCATTTAAATTTCGTTTTTCAAGCTTTAGCGTCGCTTCCATGGGCCGAACCAAGTAAATATTCAGTTAGTAATTGGCCAGCACAATCATCATCAGCATTTCCTTATCCACCTTCTCATTCACAACCGCCTAATGCTCACTCAAACTTCCCTTCAACTATTGCATCATCAGTGGCAGCAACAGCAAATTCGTCTTCATTCGGTCAGACTTATTATCCACCCACACCACCGAAAGACTTTCCTCATGATACTCTACTTGATTCATCGAACAAGCAACAGCAACACAATATATCTCCAACAACGAATTCAACAGTCTATCCTTCGCATCACAATTGGGGTCACGTTCTCAAAGATTCATCCCTCTTTTGGTCAACAATGAAATCATCACCAGATTCCCAAGCGAAAAACCTCAACTCAAAGAAAAAACCTAGTCAAGGTAAGTTGAGAATAAGGCCGTTGACATCATCATCATCATCATCCTTGATTGTTTTTCTTCTAGCTGAAGGGCGGGAATGTGTTAATTGTGGAGCTAAAGCTACACCATTGTGGAGACGTGATGGTAATGGAAATTATTTATGTAATGCTTGTGGACTTTATCATAAAATGAATGGACATAATCGTCCATTGATTAAGCCAAAACGACGTCTCGTGAGTAGCAAAAGCAAAACAAGAATTAGAAATTCAAATGTGCTATCATTCTCGTTTTCATAGTCAACAGTTAAGAAAACAGGCGTTCATTGTTCGAACTGTAACACGAGTACAACAACATTATGGCGTCGAAATGGACATGGTGAAAGTGTTTGTAATGCTTGCGGATTGTATTACAAACTTCATAAGGT